TTGCACACAGTTTTCCGGAAATTGGCTACTGGGTCTAAATCTCTGAGTTCATTTTTGATTCGACTAACCTCTTGAATTATCTACAGCTTTCTTCGGAGCTGTACAAGCTCACGTTGATTCTCTACGCAGTTGCAACACATTCTATATATGAAGTCATATATTTTTAAGCATTATTTTTGGAATATAGATTGATAGATATAGATGAGTCAACGCTTACAGAGGATTGCTCTATTAAACTTATTTCGAAGCTAGTTCGACTCATTTTTTATCGACTTCCAGTACTCATTTTCTAAGGTTGATCTCTTGTTCTTATTGACTAATCTAAGATTATCTTGTGGCTCCCAGGAGTCAAGTTCATTACCGACCCACTGAACGAGATACTTGTACTTGCCGGATCGCATCTTTTTGTGGTCTAAGATCTTCTCCACCTCTAAAATATCACCTCTGTTGATAGTAGCTTCAGATGTTTCTGCTTTAACAATTTTTAGATCGTTTGGCCCCTTGTAAAGAGTGTGTCCGTTTTTCGACTTGATTTGGATGCGGTAGCCATCAATACCTACCACCGAATACACAGCCTTAGACCATCTTGCTGCTTCTTTATCAAATGTTTTCTTTTTTAGTCGATACAAAACCTCACCCACATAGCCCGTTTTGGGGTCATAGTATAATTTGGACAACAGCTGATCCATCGCTCTATATGGTTATAAAACAAAAAAATCCCCTGCCAGGTAGTTGCTTATATGTCGAGTGGTTCGGTGGTGATACCATCCGCAAGTACACGACGCTTGTCATAATAGTAGTTTAGTTTAGAGCTGTTTTAGTCTGGGTGTACGTAATGATTGAATTACTCTCCTTACTGAGTCTAAACCCCTTGTTGGTGCCCTGTAGCGTGATGCGATCGCGAACAACTGATTCAAAGCCATCTGGGTTGAGGACGTCGCCATTGCGGCCACCACTCTGCTGGACTCCCTTCGCTGAAACCTTGACCTTGCAAGATTCGTCTGGTAGGTAGCAAATGTAGTTCTTAGAGGCCAATGATACCATAGCATCACCAGACCACTCATCCTTGAACAAACCTGGCGTTCGGCGATCAAACTGAGCCATCTCTTCGCTATAATCACGTGGGGACCACTCGTACTTATGCTGCTGAAAATGCTCACGAAGCTCGGGCTTGATACACTCAACGAATGGCTTCTCACAGCTGAACGCAATATAAGCCGAGTCTGAGTCCATTTCTTGGTACTGGAATTCCGAACGGTCGAAGTAGAAGTCAATGCAATCATAGTAGAATTGCAACATACGGAGCTTAGCGAGCTGATAGATTGCAATCGATAGATGAATTGGGTTCTTATTGTTGAGCTTTCGCTTCTTCATAGTGAATTCACATGAATCATTCAGCTCTTCCATTCCGTGGAAGGTGAAGTGCTCAATCTTGGCCTTGATTGCCTTATCGTCCGACTCATACCTGACCTCCTTGTGCTTGCTCATGTCCATGCCAGATCGACCAAACGCACTATTACCAACCAGTTTCATCATCTCAGCAATCATAGCCTTATTATTGCTACCCTCACTAAGCGTTTTCAGCTTAGTCAACAAGTCTAGAACCAAATGAATCTTAGGATTGGTTGTCGATTCATTCATGAATCTATCGATAATGAGCGCATCAAATGATTTAGGGTTCGTAATGATTTTTTTCAACTCTTGGACTAAATCATCCATATCAGAGTCAGCTAACTTCTCAATAATGATCTTACAGATGGATTTAACATTTTCATCACCCTCTCGTCGCGCACTCGATACGGCTTCCATGAATGGTGCAAATGCCTTGTGAGAGCTAGCCTTGATGAAGCTGTAAGTCTTGGTGATCTCCATACCATGAGAAATGTACCATTTGAGTAGCGGTGCATAAATGAGGATCTTCTCACCAAAGTAGCTCCCGATGAGTTTGCGAGCCGGCTTTGCTCGGCTTTGCTAGTGCTCCTCGTTGTACTCGAACATGTGCTGACCGATGACACTCCGATCGCTGCAGTCGATAAGGGTGTTCTTGAAAATTGGGGTCATTTCACTGAAGTAGGGTTTGAGGTGCTCTGGTGTACGGATATCACACTCGAGGAAGCCAAATATCTTGTCATTTACAATATCATCGACGATCCCTGTGTATGCTTCGATGGTGGTCAACCGTCCACATGGCATCTCATTACCAAGAGCCCACAAATACAGAGCATTAGCATCGTAGCCGATGATCTTTTTGCAGATCCTACCCCCTCGAAACTTGGTCTCGTTGCGTTTCGCGTATCTGTTGAAGATGATAGAAGGACCACCAGCAATGTTCGTCTTCATCTTGGTGTAGATGTCCTTCTCCTCTCTATCGATACTGTACACCAACCTGTCTGAGTTGAATTCAAGTAGCTTCTTGTGGCGGAAGCCCTTTAGCGACATGTTCTTGCGAGCAACGTTGCATCCCACACAGCTGATCAAGATATTACCATCGATGTGTCCGAGCTTGTTATTGAATCGGTCAGTCGAGGCAGTATCAGCTGTGAGCTGCTTGTAGCATAGCCCAGACAGGTAATTTTGTCGCTCTAGCAAGTCGTTGAGGTGTTCTAGCGTCATACTGAATTCACGATCGGCATCAGCATCCTGGGTCTTATATCCACTTAAGCAACTAGCGGGAAAGTCAAACGCTTCAGCAGGCTCCTTACTTGGTTGCTGGAGGTTGTTGAAGCACGTCTGATACATGACTTTCTCAGAGAGACCAGGTAGCGACACACCATCAGTGAACATATCAAGTTCGAAACGTTTGAATAGTTCTCGCTGGGATTTGATGGCCTTGATGAAGGGTACTACATCGAGGTTGTTGTACCAAATGAGTAGATCCTTGATTGACTTCATGTCATAGTGTTCCCAGACGAACTGTACCCGCACATAGTCCTCATCGCTGATGCTAGTGCTACGAAGAGCACTGTCGAACGCCGACTTAGGAGGGACTTCCGGCTGACTGAGTACGTCAAATGAAGTAATGTACTCGTACGGGAAGATGCCTTTTCCTAGGCCACAGACGCATCGAATCTTGTCATCGCACTTGCACTCACCGAGATATGTCGACAAGTACTTTGCATAGCTGGTGCCTGCCGGAACATAGTCGCTAATGTCAAGCATTTTCATGTCTGACGTGGCGATGCACATGTAGCTAGGGTTCTTGATGACTATGTGATGTTGTCAGTACCGATGACTGCAAACAGGTCCGCCTTGATAAGGTTGATGTCGTAGCGTCCAGAGTTGAATCCGAATACTGGTACCTGACCAATGCACTGCTTCAGCTTGCCATAATCCGAGCGCTTCTTACCGAATGTGAGCTTGTTGTGGAAATCGAAGAAACAAGCAAACTCCTCGTTCTGAATCCAAGCATTGACATCATCCATCTTGTACGTCTTACCCAAGTCTAGACCAGGAACCTCAGCGTCAGTCAAACCATGGACGTTGATGATTTTGCGGAGCAAAGACTCGTACTTCGAGACGTTGTACTGCTGAATCTTAGCCGCAACTTCCTTGATGTACTGGAACATATCCTTGAGCAACTCCTTCGGGTCATCGCTGACAAAGCATCGCACCTCCTCAGTCAAGCTGTCGGCCACGGAAACAGTGTTCGTTTGTGAAGATAGTATTCTCTCCGTTTTTGACGCCCGTAGGCTTGAGGATAGCCTCAAAATCATAGACAATGAAGTGATCGATGTAATGGTCAGCATCCTTGATGGAGTACTTAGTCAGCATGGAACGAATGCTGTTCGGAGCGGGTTGGTAGATGGTTGGCTGAGCTGGGAACGATTCGATGTTCACGAGTTCGCATTGGTTCTTAGTGTGGTTGCGTAGCTTATCAGAGCTAACAAACACCATCTCACACGTAGAGCATTGGTACTTCTGCTGGAGCATATCAACGTTCGTGATGTAGAGAGCGTGATTCGTGCGACAGGATGTTGATCGAATCATAGTCCTTGTCCGAGCAGCGAATGCATTCAACCTTGCCCGACTCAACATCCATGTTGAAGACGTTGATGTTCAGCTTAAAGCACTCCTCAAGCTCATCGAATTGGAGAATGTCGATAGGCTTGAAATTGCGGAACAGACCCAGAGTGTAGGTGATCTCCTTGTACGAACAGTACTGCTTGAAGGCTTGTTTCACCAGAGCCTGGATTCTGCGAGGATCCTTCTTGGCTCCCTCCTGCTTGTGATAAGCAATGCAGTGGAAGTCACACTTGTTGTTCGTCTTGGGGAAGTTGATGACGTGCTTGTTATCACGAATCGCCTTAGGAATGACAGCCTCGCCATCACCCAGAGCATGGTCGCGTTGGTAGATATAGATTTTGAAGCCAGTAATCCCCTTCACCATGTACCCGGAGCTGGGGTAGTTGAGCTTGTCAGCCAACTCCATGGAGCGAATCTCCGAGATCACCTTCTTACGAATATCAGCCTTGCTGTTGATAGCTACAGGAGTGCTAAATACAGACGTGTTGCTGATATTCGGGTGGAAGTAGCGAGTCTCGCTGTCATCAGTTCTGCTGACAAGCTTGTATCCAAGAGCGATGTTGACCTTGAAGGCAGACTTCTGGGTTGCAAGCACGTTCTCAAGCTTGTCGTAGAAGTCAGCAGGCTGGATTCCCTCATATAGGTGCGACTCCATGTGTTTGCCTTGGTAGAAGCGGTACTTACTGTCTTCCTTGAAATCAGCAGCCAAATTCTTTTGGAGCTTGCCTAGACTGATCTTGTACTGCTTCGCTACCAATTTTTGGTTGATGGGGTGGGAAATGTTGCTAATGTATACCATGCGCCCCGTCTTGCCACGTACCTTAATACGGTAGCTGCTACCCCATCGGATTGGGTTAATATTTAATCTCTTAAGACCTTCAAGCTCGTATGCGAACATTGCTATATATCGGTGGCTATATTATTCTCCGAAAAAACGACTTTATAATATTGGGTCTTGTATCAGGATTGACTTTATATCATAGGCGACATTTTATCCGAGGAAAAAAAATTAATTTATTAAGTTCGGTTTCATTATTAAGTTCGACTTCACCATCAATAAGTTCGGTTTTGCGAGCTCGAATCTGGTCTCTGTTCTTGTCATCGTTGTCTTTTTGATAAGATAAACGGGCTTCGCGTGTGCGCTGGTAGTAGCGCTTCTGCGCTGCTTTGATTCGTTCCTTGCTAGCTTGGTATTGCTCAGGAGAGTACGCCATCTTTGTATATTAGTAACTTTATATTTATCAGGATCAAAGTATGTCAAGAAATCAAATACTACTTCGAAGTATTTAACTCGGGAGCCACATTATTCCATTCAATCGACCGCAGGAGTCATATCCCAAAAGCTTCTCCAACGCTCCGCATTATCGTCGTGCTTCCACCTCATGCACAAACAAAATGTTTCTGGATCCTCCACGTGAACAAACGTCTTCATCATGAGCGGATCGTCCGTCGTGGTTGATCCTCCTTTCAAACGACTGAAAACGCGATCTGTGCACTGAGCATCCAGAACCTTCACGAAGACCTCGACCTACACGCAAATGTCAGTAAACTTACACACACCAGAACTACGCGCTCACACAGTACCTTGCGTCTGTTGCCAATGGATTGATTCTCTTCAACAGATCCGGGTAGCATGTTGACGATGGGAACCTCAATGCTCATACCGTCGAACCAACCATGCATATCGCGAGAAAGCGCAAGCCTGTTGTTTGAGTCGCGATCGTACTTGGCGAATTCCCGTTTGTGGTCTCTGCTTTGCTTTCTCGACACCAAATGGCAGCTTTCTGCCTTGCCGTACGGTAGGAAGAACTTCTCGTCCTCAATCCGCTGAAAACGAAACTCGTCAGTCGATGAGTCCAGATTCGAAACGCTTGTAGTCAACGATATCGATGAAACTGTGTTTTGAGGAGATTCCGAATCGTCTGGAACGTAGTCGCAGTAGAAGACGCGCTGGAGATCAGTAGACACAGCGTTAGCTGGTGCAACACGCGTCTCAACAACCTGGTTAGTTAACGGAGAGCCCAGCGTTTGTGGCCCAGTCCTTAAGTCAGTTTCGAACAGCAAAGCAGCATCTTCTATAAAAGAAACAGAGTTAGCCCTCAATGAAGCAGTATTACGATGCAGCGACAGCATATAGAAGCACGTACTTGTCTCGAATAAAACATGAAAACACAATTTCTTGTCTTCATACCAAAACGCGACATTCTTGTTGCCGATGCAGCGCGTAGGATCGTAGTATCCAATGCGTAACGTCGCCATCCAGTACAGTTTGCAGCGAATCCCTTTCGTGTTCAGCGCGTTGTCAACGGATCCAGTGACAAGCCACAATCCAGTTTGTGCGTGTTCTTGCTCCGGAACCACCACCAGCACGTGGATCTGATCGGTAGAGGGTGGAGGCATCTCGTTCTTCTCGAACAACCAGTGCTGCAAAGTCTTCGTCGCCTTCATCTTCTCTCCATCGATCAACGCTTGAATGTCCTCATGAATCTTTCCGTCCTCCAGATCCAGCGCAGCTTGGTCGTCGTCTGGCAGCCACGCGCCGCGGCCCTCGTCTTTCTTCGCCAGGAAGAGCTGCAGGTCACCTGCATCGATGTCCTTCAACTTGTTCGTCTTCTTCGCCTTGATCGCGTCCTTCAATGCGGAAACCGATGCACCCTCGTCGATATCCACCTCGAACGCACTGCCCGCCGCACCAACGATCGCGCAGAAGAGCTTCACCATCTTTCCTCGAGCCGGCAGATTCTGGAATGAGGAAGGAGGTAGAATTTCTGGCGTACTTAAGCGAACATGAAGGAGTGTGACATAGATTTTCAACCAATGATGAGACGCCACGTCGCCCTGGTCCGAACTACTAGTAAAATCTGCCGGCGTAATGTTCTATTGGTTTTATCAATGACTTGTGTCGAGATCGCATAACGAACGTCGTCTGATTGGCTAATATTCTCATCACTAAGGGGCAGTACTCACTCTGCGGGGCGCCAGATCCCATTGTCGTGCATCTTGGACGGGAACGGTGTCGAGGTAAGACGAACAAGCATCTATCGAACGAGCTAATGTGCTGCGTCATCACGACTAACGCCTTGTTAATGATGTTAACCTCTATTTGGTGTGTGGGGGTATACCAGTAGGGCGCATCCACGTACTGCAACCGGTAATCAGCATGCTGGAGAGTCGTGCCATGACATTGGAATCGCGAAAGATGTAGGAAGAAAGCAAAGCATGCTTCGGTAGCAGACCTTGGCGAAGAAAATCGGCGTGCGTCACCAGGGAAGCAAGGCACAGCTGGAGCACAGGAGCCACGTGTGCGTCGGCTTTCAATGCGGGAAACATTTGCTTGGTACAGTCTCGAATAAATTCGGCTTGCGGATCCTTGAAGTGAGGGGGCAACGCAGCAAATTGAGAGCTGTTTTGAGGCAGGCCAGCAACTACCCGCCCGAGATATTGATCACCAGCAGCTTCGTACCGAAATGAACACCACCCGCATCTCAAACACACACTAACAATTGACGGACCACCGGTGCTGCCACTGCTAGCGTACGTAGCGACTCCTTTTCGGATGGAGTGAGTCCCGTACGCCTTTTCTCCCGTATCCTCGAGCATTCTCCCAATTGTCTTGCAAAATCTTGATTTCTGGTTGGAGCCCGGGAACAGTTTTCCAGGGACTAGCGTTGGGTTGGAGCCGAGATAGAGTCCGAGTGCCAGCACCCAGCAGCAGTCAGGCTGCGAAGGATTCGCGTAGATGTGCCGGGGGTAGAAGGAGGCCAACGACAGACGCATTTTAAACCAATCAGAGTGGGTAAATTGGTGTAACGAGCACGCGATACGCATTCGTGTTCAAATCTCTTGACGGAGGCTGCAGCCATTCTGGCTGGAAATTGGAGAGATCAAAATTTGTTGATTGAAAACGTAAGATGTCCAGGTTACGGGGGCTTTAATTTGTCTATACTGGCGATACTATAATTGGAGATTGTAGTTTGAACGAGCGGTCCCGAAACGCCCTAAGATCCAAAAGACGTGGCTCTCGCTCTCAAGTGGTCGAGAGGGGTCGTCGTTGAAATCGCTGCTGTCCCGAAAGAAGGTTTTCAGGAATGTTCTCGGTGGTAAATTACGGTAAGGAAAAAAACTGCCGGCGTAATGTTCCATGACCCACTACTCTTGCGGGTATCGCATCGATACAGCCAACACCAACGTAGTTGAATCCATGCTCGTTGTTCCGGAAATTACAGGTGGGGCGTCGGTTCCTCACCAGTCAAGCGATCGAAGACTCGAACTGGCCGTCCCGAGTCGGGATACTCCGAGTACGCACCTCACGTACAACTGCACGACGACAGCGGCACTTTGGAACCTCAGGCAAGACCCTAACGTGCTCAACCTGGAGACGTTCGACACTATGACCGATAACTCCGACGTGTCAAAGTCAGCACCAGTTGCTACACTAGTCGTTGCTGACTGTCAACAAGCGCTACAGACTTCAGTGGGGCGAGTTGTTGTCGGGGATTCGTTCTTTGGGGTTTCATTCGCCACAACAGCCACGTATTTTCACGTGTTGAGCATTGCCAAGCACCTCTCACCAGTCATTTCTTCTCCTGGGAGCTGTCGAGTGAAGCTCGAGCTGGAACACGCGACCTTCGCTCAACTATATCCAGACTGCAGAATCAAATTCCATTCTACCGACATCGCCAGCCTCATTCGGACGGAGTCGGTGGTCGATGCTACAGCGCAAGCTCGAAGACTTGAGGCGAGCACGTTTGGGTTCGTGAAGGATTCTTCCTGCAAATACGACTGCGGGGACAAAGGTGACGACGTAGGGGAGATCGACGTCGACAAGTGCTGGGCTAAGGTCGACAGTAAGTGAACGGAGCAGCAGTGCAAGCTGCAGTTCTACGCAAAGAACAGCGACTGCACGACTGAATGCGGCTACGAAGGCGATACTAAGACGCTGCCAGCAAATCAATGCTACGACTGCTCGTCGAGTGATGATGATTCATGCCGGGTCTTGAGCTGTACCGCGGTTGTTGGTGAGGACACGACGACTGGTACGTTATCGTGGAACTTGGAGAACGACACTGTGACTGTGAGCAACTCCAGCTACCAGATCGTTGAGACTGGCAACTGCTCCGACACGTCCGACCCAGCCACGAACTGTTGCCGCATCACGTGCGAGAACTGCTTCCTGAACGTCTCCATCGCGGTTATGTTCGCAGATGTAGAGGTTGTCGGGGTGTCATTCGAAGAAGCGATCGAGATGGAATTAACGGGGAACGCCAACCTCCAAGTGGCCCTGTATGCGCCGAATGGATGCACTGTGGATGAGACGACGCAGCTTAAGAACGCGAGCTTCACTATCCCCCTGGGCGAGACGGGAATCAGCGTCGAGATTACAATGGGGCTGGATCTGCGCAGGAAAATGTCGCTTCAACCCCATGGCTCCATAGTAAACATCGGTGCGACTGCAGAGCTCCAAAGCTTAACAGCGGGTTCGCTTCGCTCCGAGAAATTCCACGACGTGCAGATCACGACCAACACGTCGAGCAAGTTGGCTCAGAGCAGCATCGATCTGGAGATGGACCTCGAGTTAACTCCGTCCTTCCAGGCGTCTCTGTCACTGCTAAATGGTCTTGCCAAAGTGGGCGTCAAGACTGAATTCTTGGTGTTTGTAGAGCTGAACAGCTCCTTCCAATACCCAGACCCGTTTTCAGGTCTGTCTTCGCAATATCTCGACGAGTCATCGCTGTGGCACGGAGGGGATTGTCGGCTTCCTCACTTCATGGAGTACAATGGCAACGCCGGTTATGGGGAAGTCAACGTCTCGATCCCTCTCTCGCTCGCAGTATCTCGCGACGACGGAGCTAGACGTCTTGTCGTCTTCGGACCGGTCCAGCTTCAGCTTGTTCAGCGGGTGTGTGGCCACCGCCTACGATGCGGAGGTGCTTCTCTCCACAGCGATCGATGCGGTGTCGGCTTTGTCTGGTGAGAAGATGGACGCGTTGCGGACGATTCTCGTGTGGACACTTGGCATGACCGACATCGACCCAGAATTCGTCAACATTACTGAGGTCTCCGCGCGACGGGTGAAATTTTCCTCACGCTGTCGGTGCCTCCATCTCTCGGTGAACTTAACCCAAACGCCTCGGACTTTGTTGCCGAAGTTTACCAGCGAGCGAGGAATGAGACGTTTGCGGCTAAGGTGAGCGACTACGTGGGGCTAGACATCGGGGCGCAGTGCAGCGCCAGTTGGTGGGGAGCTCAGTGTGATCGGCCCTGTAGCGCTCAGAACTGCGTGAGCGGTAGCACAAGTTGCAACGCCGTTGATGGGACGCTTGTATCTTGTAGCTTGTGCAAATACGGGTACTGGGGGCCAACCTGTGAGAACTCGTGCCAAGTGCTTGCTGACTGCACGAATGCACGCTGTGATCAGACCACGGGGGATCAAGTCGAGTGCGTGTCGTGCGATGGTGATCAAGATGGCTCGTTGTGTGGAGGAGGAGACACGACGTCAGGGTCGGACCCAGTTCAGCATTTCGCGAGCGTCTCAGTGCTCATTCTCACAGGCTTTTGCTTGCTTGCCATGGTGTGATCAGGGGGAAGCTTTTGGTTGAGAACTGTCGGTTGAGAGCTGAGAGGATAGCCTTTTACTTATTTTTTAAAAAATAAGTCTTAAAAATGTCTATGCAAGGTAAAGTGAATTAATTAGCACGGGGCTCGATCGGTGGTTTCGATATGGGTATTTTCGTCGACAAGGCAAAAGTGCTACGAATGGGTTTTTTAGCGGCTGACTCGCTCGTCTGTATCTGCAAGCCGCTTTGCTGGTGGTGACCTCTCTCAGGAAGAAGGAAGTTCATGAATGGCAGGTCACGACAAACTGCCTTCTGCTGACAGCAACCCAGCACCGGCCGGTCACCTCGGAGATCTAGCGCTGTCGTTACTGGACTCGCTGCTTCATCGGAGAACTCCGCTGTCTCCACGTGGCACCAAGAGCAAAGTGTCTCCGCAATGGCTGAAGCGGCCTGGAAACTCGCGGGCGCCCAACAGCAACCCTCGCAGTCGACGCGAGTCAAGAAGTAAGCGAGAAGGAACCAGCATCCGCGAAGGACACACTCCAAACGCGTCCATAAGGCGCTCGAGTTCGGCGAAACAATTGAGGTCCAGCTGGAGCACGCGAAGACTGCGAGCCACTTCAGTAAGTTCTCGAAGTTTCAGCACCAAGATCGCGGCGAACGACACCGACAAGGATGAAGCCCCCGAGGTCGTGACGAACTACGTTTACGACGTCCCCGAGAAGAAATCCAAGCCAAAGACTCCAGGCTCAGACTACGACGACCACGACGATCAAGAAGATGATGACTTTGACCATGAACTGGAAGACGAAGAGGAAAGCGAGGAAGACGCCTTTGAATTGCGGCCATTCATGTCGGAGGATGAAGACGAAATGGCGTATTTTGCGCACCGAATGGGCGGTCCAGACTTTAAGTTGCTACGTCGTCATGTGCTACACCCACACGGCCGGATTCGTTCGATATGGGATACGATCACCCTCTTCTTGACAACGTGTAAGACGCTCTGCAATATTTTTTCTTTACTCGAAACTTCTCTAACGATAGTCTCTAACTTGGTATTGCAGGGGTTCTTGTTATTGTGCCGTTCGAGCTCTGCTTCTTCATGCGCGATTCTCGGCGTCGTGATATTCTTCACTTCGACCTCTTCGTCGACTCAATGTTTGTTGTGGACATTGTGCTCAAGTAAGTAAGGTCATCATGGAAACCTCTTGTCCTATTAGATACTTGCTGACCTTCCTTCCCTCTTGACCAGCTTCAACACGGCTGTAGAAGACGATGGCAAGCTGCACTTCTCCTACCCGTCCATACTTCGAAGTTATACGCGTGGGTGGTTCGTGCCCGAAGTGCTCTGGACATTACCCTTCTACGCGATTTTTGAGGGGCACGACCCGGGGGCGTACAACGAGCGGGGATCCGCAGATTCTCCTCTCTTCCAGTTCGCAGCACAAGCAGCTTGGCTGTATCCAGCAGCACGTTGCCTGCGTTTGATGCGCGTCATCGGTCTACCACGTCTCCAGCGTCGTCTCGAGCGTTCGTTGCTTATATCGTCCAAAGTGAGCAGTCTGGGGAGCTTCCTGTTCGTGGTGCTGGCACTCTCGCACGTCTTCAGCTGCGTGTTCGCGTACTTGGCCTTCGACGACGAGGACCAGCTCGAGTTTGCGATGGGCTCACGCGTACTGCAGGACTCCGAGGTCAAGACTCGATACATCGCAGCCTTCTACTGGTCCATGATGACCATGACGACGGTCGGCTACGGCGATAGTACGTCAACCTCTCTCGACTTGAACCATACGAGGACTAACCCTATTGTTGTGCACTGACTGCAGTCACGGTGAAGACGAACGCTGGGCGGCTCTTCTCGATCGCAGCCATGGTCGTAGGCGCCGGCGTGTTCGCGTACGGCATCACGAACGTCGTCTCCCTCTTCCAGCAGCTCTACGAGAGCGACACGGCGTACCGACGAGATATGGACCAGATCAACGACTTCATGCAGGCGCGGATGCTGCCGCGCGCGCTGCGCGACAAATTGCGCGCCAACACCTTCCACTGGCGCAAAGCTGCTCGAGGCGAGAACAAGGAGCGCGACCGCGCCATCGTCAAGCGCATGGCGAGTCTCATCCGCGCCAAAGTGGCGGACCGCTTCTGCGAAGACATGATGCCGCACAAGATGCCGTTCCTCGCTGGCTGCAGCGCCGAGTTCATCCACGACCTGTACCTGCGCATGCGTGTGCAGTGCTATCTACCCGGAGAGGACATCATCTCGCAGGGAGACTACGGCTCCGAGATGTACTTCCTCTTCGTGGGCCACGCTCAGGTGCTGCTCGGTCTGACCAAGGTGGCTCTCTTCGGGCCCAACTCGTGCTTCGGCGAGTTCAGTATCGCCAACCCGCGCAAGCCGCGACTCGCAACGATCCAAGCTCTCGACTTCTGCGAGACCCACTGCATCGAACGCGAGCAGATTCTGCGCGTTCTTCTCTCACATCCGATCACAATGCGTTCGGCGCGTCAACTGGCCACGCTGCGGTCTCGCAAGGCGCTCACACTCATCTACGAGAGCGGAGGGAAGTCGCGCACGCTGTTACAAGGGCTCGCTATGATGTGGCGCTCCGAGGGGATTCAGGCGGTGCTACCGGCGGGTGTATCGGCTGAGAGTGTGCCCTTCTTGCAGGAGTTCACAGCCAGCCCAGCTGCTGCGCCTGGGTTTGTAAGGAGAGGGTCTGTGAGTGGCAGCATCTCTCTTCCTGCCGGGACGATCAACAGCCCGCAACACCTAGACCCAGCGCAGCTTGCTCAGTTTCACTCAGCGACAGCCCTCCAGACCCAGTTTGCAGCTATGACAGGGTCAAGTGGGGCCTTGACGCCTGCGCTCGTAGGTTCGAACTCCAGTCCATCGCTCACTGTCGACACGTCACACTCGTTGGCAGCAACCCCGTTAACTCCGTCGCAGCAAAGAGGTCGCACTGGACCACTCAAGCTGCCGAAACCCACCCTTGATAGACCGTCCGAGTCCGGCGTCTCCTCCATAGACACCGCACGCAAAGTGGTGGGGACCATTGCGAGTATCCGTCGGCCATCCCTCAGGAGAAGAGTGTCCACCACCAACATCACGAGCGGCAGCCCAGTTGCCGTGGTACCTGCAACAGCAACCCCAGTTGTGGCACCTCCACCTCAAGATGAACGTCTCGACCAACTCCTCACTGAAATACGCAACATTGCCAGTCGGCAGAATGTGCTGGAGCAGCAACTGAGAGAGATACTAGCAAGCGCGCAGCCGAAGCCGGAGAACAACTCTCCCTTACCAGCGCGCAGCAGGTTGGACAGCAAAACGATGGCCCTCGAACAAGGCCGCTTCGATGAGCAGCACTGGATAAATGACCACGCACCACCTCTCACCCGCGCACGCGGTACCCGCCACGTTGACCAACTGCTGCATTCTGATGGGGAAGGCATCTAAGACCAGCAAGAGTGGGGCATAAATACACACGTTCATTGCTGCGGAGGCAACGCATACCATGTCTTTCTACCGTGCCCTCGAATGTCTGGAGTGCAGGCTGATAGATCCCTAGTCGAAGAGGCCTGGCGTTGAAGGAGCCTGCGATACCTCACCGCCCGAAAGGCGCACGAGCCACTTGCGGACGTCGTCTTCTAGAGCTTGGCGACCGTCACTGCAGCCGCTACTGCGAGGAGGCAGCAGCGAGATCTTCTTGCCCTTGTAGCTCAGACCCACGACGAACGCTGCAATATAATGAAAAAGTTAGTCGCAGCTTCAACAACTTCCACACTCACGACAATTCTTAACGTACGAGCTGACGCATTCCCGAACTGCGTCTGCCACAGCGCGCGCTTGTCTGTGGGTTGCGCGTTCAAATCCACCCAGCAGAACGTGAGCGGGTCGCGCTGGAACTCGGTCGCGAGCTTCTCCATGATACTGAACTGGTCTTCTCGTCGTTCAGCAAGTAAAAGGAAACAACCGTCAGTCAGACTTCGATCTAGTCACAATTCTCTCTCCTCTGCTCTCCTCACCTCGCACGCTGCAGCCGTGCCTCGTCTCGTCCGGGAAGAACACGAGCGTGCGCCTGCCCCTCGCCGTCAAGTACAGCGGGTTCAGCTCGTAGATCGACGGCGCAAACACCTTGGCCAACTGACTCAACGGACTCGTCCGCGGCGCCTCCTGTCGAGCAGCTCCTGGTCCTCCAGCGCTCCCGCCATTGGCGTTGGTGTTCTCCTCCGTCGTCTTGTTCCCAGCCGAGAGCACCCCCATCACCGCCGCGAACAGCAGCATGAGCAGGAAGGGCGTGGCCAAGTGCGACAAGTCCCAGTGCGCCGACATGGTCTGGTAGCCCCCGTACCCCCCATACCCCCCATAGCCCCCGTACCCCCCATAGTCATTGCCGTAGCGCTGCTGCTGCTGCCTGTAGAAGTTCTGCTGCCTCTGGCGTCGCTCGTGCTCCGCCGCCGCCGGCGCGTTGGTCAGTCGGTCGTACGCGGCGCCGATGCGCATGAACTCCTGCTCGGCCTGCGGGTTGCCCGGGTTCTTGTCCGGGTGCCACTTGAGCGCCAGCGCCCGGTACGCGCGCTTGATCTCCGCCTCGGACGCCGAGCGCCGCACGCCCAGCACCTTGTGCGGGTCCTCCGCCTGCGCGCCGACCAGCAGCGCCAGCGCCAGCGCCAGCAGCAGCACCACCTTGGCCCGCATAATGTGACTTGTGACAGGGGTGTCGAAACTGCTCGGCGTCATCGCCGGAATGGGTCGGTTGCGTATACCTGGTGTGTATACAAGCCAATAAAATGGGTAGGTCGTCTGTAAAATGGGTGTATGTAGCAGCCCAATTTCTCCTGTCAGTTTGAATCCGCCAGTGAGTGAGATGGACGAGAGCCTGTCAAGCGTGGACCAGTTCCTGCGGGACAACGGCTTCAGCCTCTCGGGCCTCGCGTCCGCGAGCGGCGACGGCGACGACTTCGACCGCGAGCGGCTGCTGGACGACGAGCTGCTGCTGAGCGACGCCGACGAGCGCACGCCGCCGCCCACGCGCACCACCGATGGCAACAGTCCGAGCCACTCCAGCGACGCGTCTCCGCGCTTCGTGCTGCTGGAGGACGAGCGCCTGCTGCTCAGCGAGCGCCCGAGCGGCGACAGAACCAGCGAGCGCCCGCAGGACGAGGCAGCGGCGCCAACAGTAGCAGAAGCAGATGGCAGGTCCATGGAGCAGCAGCAGCAGCAGCAGGAGCTTGAGGACTCGCTGGACCGCTCCATGCTCTTCGGGGGCTCGGGGCTGTCGCAGTCCGCGCGCGGCGGAGAGCAGCAGACGCCGTCCGCGGCCTCCTCTTCGTCTGCGCTGGGGCTGCAGCTACGAGCCGGAACTGGAGGAGTTGGGGCTGGCGACAGGTCGCCGCCGTTCGCGTCCGTGTACCAGATGACGCCGCAGCAGCTGCAGATGGACCGAGTAGCGATGGTGTCGGCGGCGTCTTCGTCGTCCCTGCCGCCGTCGGCTTCGGTGTCGGCGTTTGGCTCGTCCGACCGAGTGCTGGATGACGAGCTGAACGACGCGCTGGGAGTGCCCATAACGTCGCTGGGAGGAAATAGTACAAGGGTGAGTACGTCGTCGAGACGGTCGCGGGACGAGGGGGACCAGAGCAGCAGAGCAGGCTCGGGGAGTGAGTCCAGGTCGCAACAGTCGAGGACGTCGCGGGCGTCCAAGACGCAGCGAACGTTGTTCACAGAGGAGCAGGACGGCGAGGTGAACGACGATGCAGACAGCTCGACGGGAGGAAGCGTTCGTGGGCGTGACGACCGTGGAGTAGGTTCGGCTCGGAGTTCTAGTGGTGAGAAGAGCAGGTGGAGTGGGGAGCGTCTTTCGTATCGTGGGGCAGATCAGCTTCAACGTGAAGAGAAACGAGAGGACAGCGACGATGGAAGTGTCGTAGACAGCGCTGGGACTGAGACTAGCCACGTAACCGAGAAAGATGAGGGGGATTGGAATGGACTCAACGATCTGCTGAGGAGGAACGGACTGCCAGCAGTTCGTTTTCGTCGCGTTGGGTCAGGGGAGGTGTTGCCAGATAAGGACTCCCTGTTCAGCGTGATTCATGACTTTGGCGTGCAGCTCGAGCGCAAGAATGAGGTTGATGCTTGAGAGTGGATACGCTAAAGGCTGGTGCTGTCGATCCTGACGGTAGGATTATGTTGTATGTTACAGGCGATCCAAGACTTGGTGCTGGCGTCCAAGCGAAACTCGCGCGTTCAAAGCAGGAGAGAAGGAGAGTTGCAGAACAGCGAGAAAAAGATCGAGGAAACGCAAAAGACCTTGGAAAAGGCTAAAGCAGAGATTCAACGCCTGAAGGTGCGGCGTCGATACTGCGACGCGAAATTTTGCTTGAGGATTTGCGTCATGCTGCTGTGGCTTACCAAGTATAATATTTGTATCAATGGGTCTCCGTGATTTCAGGCTTTGCAAAAAAAGGAGAGCGAAAGCGCCGAGCTGCTGTCCAGAAAACTCAAGAACTCGTGTATCCGACTGCAGCAGCAGCTTAAGGTCAGCGAGCATCGGGTGAAAGCCAAAGAAGTCATCGTAGAGCGGATGCAGGCCAAGCTGCAGCAGCAGGTCGACAAGGAGAACATGAGCAAGACGCGCGATCGCCGCGCCTTCCGTAACCTCCAGGACCGGGACCCACGACGCGCTAATCCGCGTGACATCCAGGCGCTGGAAGCGATCGGCGTGTACGAAGCGCAGCGTGAGCAGATGCAGGAAGAGATCGAGTATCTGAAGGCGCAAGTGGCCGCGCTCAACAGTGAACTCCGTGACAAGGACAACTTCATCGCGCGGCAGGGTAGCGCGGCATTGAAAGGCGAGCCACCCGTTTGGGACGAGGTCTCTGATCTGGCCGGCGCAGGACGGGCGTCTGGGTCGCAGTCTCGATTCCAGCATCGTGCTGGTTCTTCGTCTGTAGCTTCGGACGAGATGATGCTGGAGCAGCTCGAAGCAGCCAGACGCGAGCAAGAAGTGGCCGCAGCTAAGTTGCGCCATCGAGAGGCGGTGATGATCAAGAAGATTGCGATGATTGAACAAGAACTATTGGCAGCTCGTGAGATCATCGGCGAGCTGAAGGAGGAGAACGCGAACTTAATGTTGGAGGCCGAGTCACGTCCTAGTATCCGTGACTACCGCTTGAGCCAGAGGCGCATTCATCAACTGGAGCGCCAAGTCGCTGAGAACAAGCTAGCGCTGGAGGAGGCCAGTGACCTCAACGAGCTGCGCAAGTACATGGGGACAAAGGAACTGGTGGAGCGCGATCGCTTGAACCATCGGCTCCATCTTAACAGGCTCAACACGCTGCCACGCGAGACGACGTTGGAGGTCGTAAAGCACGTGTGTCGTGTACTGCACCTGACAGATATCACGCTCATTGCGCCGAGCCTCGACAAGCTCTGCAGCGTGGTCGCGGCCGTCCCGCGCATGGAGAAATTCATTCGCGACGTGTGCGGATTCGTGTTTCTGCATGTGAACGAGAATGCAGAAACGAAAGAGGCGGATGCCAATCGATTCGAGCTGGAGCAGGTGCTTCCAACGCTGCAGCAGTGGATGATGGAGCGGAGAAAGCTACACGCGTTGGAAGGCTTCAAAGCGTCGGTGATCACAGAGCTGTGCAAGCGGACGGTTGAGCCCAGCATTCTCAATGACGCAGAAGGTGGCAATCAGAGTGAGAGCCCTCCCAGTCACCCAACCACCCTCTCTCGCGCGGTTCATATCGTCTCGGAGCTTGTGGAGCTTGAGAAAAGTGTCATGCATCATCGTGAAATCTACACTCAAGCTGCCGCTGAAGTCGAGGTAAGCTGGGCGTATGACGTGAGCCTTCCAGTTGAGCGTGCTAACTGTTATGCACCGCTTGTTTTGTATTCCTGTAGCGCCGTCCAAACGTGTTGATCAACCAGATCGTGAGGCATTTCTCGCACCTCTTCCAAGTCAAGAGCATCGAGGGCGTTCTTCCGACGATCAACGTACGTTCTATCGCTACGTCACGTGACAATGATTTCCTGTACTAATTGTACACACTGATATGCGCTCCCTCAGGAAACCTACTTGTTTGTGAACGAGATGAAGAACTTCCTACACGCCGTCCGCGATCTTCTTCATTTGAGTACGTGTCCAGACAACTGAGCCAATCCGCTAGAGCCCCGCAGCTGACTTTCCTGTTATTTGATGTTGCAGAGAAAGATACTTCGCTGGTGCACTGCCTGAACGCTATCAGAGAGCGGCTAGAGGATGCTGCTGACCTCGGTCGTACCGAGAAGCCTGACGGCGAGGAGGCCACGAATCAGGAGGATGCGTACGATGGCGGCTCTCCAAACTTTGTCGTCGAAAGGCGCCGGTCCCAGCCAAATTCTCGTGGTGGTGGCAATGAGGACCCCGGTCTTGTTGGCGTTCGGCAAGTTCGCGAAATGAGTATCCTGGTGCGCGAGCTGAAGCGTGAGCTGGGTGCTGCCACGACGGAAGAGATCTTGCCGAGAACGAAGCGGCTGATGGAGCTGCTGAGCCTGTCAATCCACAACGCCGACCCGGAGGACGACGACGAATACAAATAACCACTTCGGGTCACGGGGATCGAGATGGAAATGCATAAAGGATGGATACATTTTGTGGGTGAAGAGCGCCTAGACGGTCGATGCCTAGACAACTGTGGCTACCGCTGCCCTTCCGTAGCATCGACCGGTTGCTCTATGGTGATGCTACACACGTCCAAGTTGCCCTTGACGATGGAGATCGGGAGTGGAGTCGCTGGTTCCATGACGGTGTAGCTGCAGTGCGGGAGCTCGTCCTTCGGGGACTGGCAGGGCTCGACTGGGACGATAATGCCTCCTCCGACTGCGCAGCGGGACGGGTGGTACACGCCGTAGAGAGCCACTTGGACCAGTCCGAGGGCGCCGTTGACGGATGACGGGACGATCAGGAACAGGTCGAACACGAGGAAGCCGTAGACGACCCAGAGCAGGTTGTTGATGGTGCCAGCGAGGATCATGGCGAAGGGCAGCGAGGCCGACGACCGCGTCTGCAGGACCAGCTTGATGGCGGCCAGTGGCGACGCATACAGCGCGAGGCTGGAGGCGATGGCGACGATCCCGATGATCAGCTTTAGGGACTGCTGCGAGCCTGGCAGCACCCCGTTCTTGCCCAGCATGACGTATATGGTCACCGCGACGTTGCACGCCAACGCAATGCAGCAGGTTCTGAAGACGGCCTTGCGCTCGGTCGCGTACCGGGCGTACACTGCAAGGAAGACGACACTGAGGGCGTCCCCGATAGCGTAGGTGGTGAGCACCGGGAAGGTGTTGCCCGTCACGTAGCCGTACAGCATCCTGCAGAGGCATAGGTGAAAGGTGAAAGAAAAGGTTAGTGATCCATGGGACTGTTGTGAATGTCATGAAGTATTATAGTAGTGAGGTGGCGTACCAGATGTGGTTGCAGACCCAGAGCGTGGCGAAGGGCAGCACCGATGCGTTGCCGACACTGCGGTGGCGGTGCATGCGGAGCACGGACGAGGAAGGGCTCGCGCACATGTAGAGCGCCGACAGCGTCGTGACGACCCGCATGACGTCTTCGAACGAGGCGCCCATAGCTCCAGGGCGACGTAGACGAAAAGGCTGGCTGGTCGATTTCCAAGTGAGCAGCGGGGAGACGATGAAGGAGGCTCTAGACATGCAGGCTCGGAATTCAAGCTGCGTCGTATCGAAACCCGTTCCGTGCCCCCTCTCGCTTCAGTGTCGCCATTCCTGGGATTCACCTCCGGGGTCCTCTGAGAGTCTGCTCGTCGACGACGCATCCGATCCTGGACCGATCGGGACCAGCCCTCGCGTGCTGCGCATCGACCCTCGTGGTCGATGCGCGCCAGTCGTTTTCCTGCAAGTGGACACCCCTCTCAGTTTACCCCATGCAACTGGGGCTCACCAAAAGATCCGCGCCGATCGCCATGTCGCCAGTGGCACTGCAAGTCGTGCAAACGGAGACGTGCTCGGAAGCTTGCTGCGCCCACGAGAAGCGGTGCGGGAGACCAGGCAGGAGACTGACGCGAGCCTCACTCGCCCGAATTCTTTTCTTATGCCCACTACTACGCGAGGGCCAGTGAATAAAAGTATTGTATTGTGTCCCGGGATATGGTAAATCTGCGAGATTGGTACGCGAGGGCCGCAGGACCGAGCACTTTTCGAGACCTCGTGCATTCTGTCCATTAAGTTCGGAAGCAGTCTTGACTGGAAATGCCGCAAAAAAGCTAGTACATGTAGTCATGATACGAAAATTTTACGCATTATACGTTATTGGTCGGTACAGCACATGTACTTCATCGAACTCCTTTTGATCATAGAAATTTGGTCAGTTCTTTTTCGGTAAAGCTTACACGTGTGAGAACCAGCTTGCTTGGATTCCTCAGTTTAAGGGGGCATGCGCTTGGAGCCCCGTGCACTGGCGGGGAATCCCTGCTCCTACCCATAGCAGGACAAGATTCGTTGCGTGTTCTTAGTTACTTGTTGTGACAGTCTATTAGCGTTGCAGGAGGATCGCCATGTCTAGGCACGCCGCCCTACCCACAAAACCGGTCGAGTAGCGAAATACTTGAGACGTGCTTGACGAGGTGAATGAATCTTCGGCCTGCAACGCGTTTGCGACCCCCCCCCCCCCCCCGCCCAGATTGGACGGTGAAGATACTCGCAGAGACCGAAATGCCCAATCAAAACGGAGCAGCACTTCGAAATCCGAATGCATACCTTCAAGACTAAATGATGCGACTGTAGCAGCTCAATCTTTTGGGTGGCTACATGTCATCGATCTCCTTTCTGTCGCACCAATAATTCATGAAGTATGCCACTAAGGCATAGTAACGAGGAACGCGAGCTCCATCAGTGTTGTGGGGTGAAGGCGCTTCTACGCGTGCAAATCCTCCTACCTGGCCGGCGAAATTTCTTCTCTCAAAATTGGAAGCAGCGGTTGAACCCAGACTTCACGTTGCTCTCGGCTCAGCCGAGTCGGCCGGCAGATCTCAAAAGCCACTCCGGTCCAGCAGTAAGTACTCCAAGTCCAGTGCTTGTCCGTCAGTCAGGACCAATGCCCCTTCACTTTCGGTTTTGCCGAGAGCTCGGCAGACCTCAGCGCCGCAGAAAGACCAAGCCTCGTTCGTGGTTGTCAACCGGCGCACACATGAAGGCGGCCACGGACAAGCAAACCAGTCGTCGCCTGGTCGGCCTCCCCAACAACGCACTCGTCCAGATCCTCACGGCGACTGTGGCGCGGCTGCACAACCTCGAGATGGAGATCAATGAGCTGGAGCTGGCAATCGACGACGACCAAAAGGAGGTCGAGTCGTTCACGCACGAGATCGACGAGCGCTACGACCGGTTGAGAGACATCGACGAGTTCGTGGTCGCGCTCGAGGCTGGTGCGGTTTCTTCTGTGCCGGACGTGCCCTCGGTTCTGGCGGAAATGGCGGAGGAGCGTGAAGAAGAGCGGATTGCAATCACGCGATACAAAGAGGCTCGCGGCTGGCAGGAGCAGCAGTTCCAGAAGCTCCAGCAACAGTGCAGATGGCTCAGGAAAGAGCGCGTCGCGCTTCACAAGACTTGCATTGAAATATGCTCCATCTTCCGACGCAATGGCGTCTTCGCGCTGATGACGCGGAAGTTGGCTAATCTCCAGCGTCGTGGGGCCTGAAGGGGAGCTCCCTTCAGGCCAGACGGTACTTGTAGGAACAACGTAGAGAAGTTATACACTGATAGCGAGGGACGGGCACACGCACCCGACTAAGTTGTAAAAACTATAGTTTTTTTTATTTGTTTTGTGTTGGTCAGCTTGACCCAGGTTCGATGCACAATTAGCGCGAAAGTGTCCAAGAGTCGAAGCGGTGGATTTGAAGGGTACAGGATACGCTGTGCTTGGTGTATCCAGGATACCCCCAAGCAAAAGATGAGCACGGGGGGATTGCTTCGGCATACGAAAAACTCTATGCGCACTTGACCTCATTGAAAGCGAAGTTCAGAGCGCAATCGATGAGATCGCCTCGGTTGTAAGGCGGACTTGCTCGAGAAGCTGAGGAATTAAGGCAGATACAAGGCTGGAACTATTTTAATTGTAAGTGGCTCCATACATGCAATGGTCAACGGTACGATGCGGATTCTACTACGCGGTTTCATTTGCACGTATTCGCAGTTCGAAGAACTGTGTTAGCCGGCTTAGGCGAGTTTGTCATAAGGGCTCCTAGTGTCCCTATGGGTGAGGCCCACGAAGATCAAGCGTTCCACTGAGGGTTCGAGTCTCACCCGGAGCGATTCCGATACAAAAGCCACGTAAGTCTATTTTCCGGCCCCGACTAACCCCCTACGTCACCCCCCTAATGGAACTCCCGATTAACCTCTGCAACTGCAACCCCTCAAACCGCCGCCTCACCACGACCTCAGGAAGGGAAACCGATCAACTAGAAATAATTTAGGGTAACTCACTTAGACGTCGAAGTGCCAGCTTCCTGCAGGCTCCGAAATAAGTGCTCACATTGGTGCCTCCCGTGATCTCCGTTCTCCCTAGACGCTTAATGACACAATGAGCTCGTTGATAAGCAGCTTCTCCGCCGATAGCAGATACAGTCCTGCCCAGTCCAAAGCGTAAACCCTTATATTATGCGTGCTGTAACGATGTCGCCTGACTGTAGCGCGATTGTCGCTCGATGCCAAACTCGCCTGAGAGAGAAGGCCCCAGGAACTTGACCAGGTGGCGTATATTTAGGGGCAGCACACGTGTTATTTTTTTAGAATTAAAATTCTTTACTGTTTCTTATACTTTCAAATAATGCCGGGCACATGCTGCGGCTGCAAAGCAGGCCCCGGAGATGGCCGCTACTAAAGTATACTTCGAAGTACTTCCTACTCAAAATATATTTAAGAAAATTACCTTCGGAGTGCCCTGGCCGCATTTTTATTATTTGAAAGTATCGGTGCTGTCGGAATTCTATATCGCTCTGAGAACTGCGAATCCCCCGGACCACCAGTCCGGGTACCCCGAATTGGTGTCCACGGCGTCTCTTAGTCACCCTCGGCGGAGCCAGCCTTAAAAAAATGGGGGGGCATAGATTTTTTTAAAGTAAAATCCACACCCTACATTTCGATTCTTCTTTTTGTCATCGCTTTAAACTTTGCGAGGACCGAGTCTTTGTCGATGCTATTTGTAAGATCACGCTCGATAGTCAAAACCATCAGGTTTGACATCCAAAGATCTCCCATTGTTGTTCTGATCCGCGTCTTAATTCTTTTCATGGCTGAGAAAGACCTCTCCGTAGTAGCAGTTGTTACAGGCAGCACACACACCAAGTTAATAATTCGGTGCAAGGTCGGGAACAGCTCGTTGTTATCGGTCCCGACGAGTTGGATGCATAGTTGTTGCGTTGTCTTCAATTTTTGGAACCTTTTGTCGATCTTTGCCAAATTGCGAAACCGAGTGGCCTCTTCTCGAAGGTCGTCCAGCTCATCGGTGAAATCATCGGGATAAAATGTTTTAGCCAGCTCAACAATTTTAGTAGCGCTCCAATTCTTGAAATTATCACGTGGACTGAGCGATCCGCACAATTCCATGAGATTAAGAATTTCTCCACTAAATCGTGAATCCATTTCAGAAATCAGCTCACGAAGGATACAGTTGTATACTTCGTCACGATAGTGAGCTTCTTGTGTAGGCTGGACACCATCCCTGGAGGAGTACGCTCCTGGAATTCCAGCCCTACCACACCCCCGACTTCTCATTACGCGTCGTTTCCACACGTCATTTTTGTCAGGAATGAGAGGGGTGTCATCAACCTGTATTGATTTGCAAAAGTTGACCGATGAGTTCCAAATCGATTCAAAACTTGGCGAGTTCCCAGTCATAGAACTATCATCGAGCATTTCTTTTAGTTTTTTGGATACCTGCTTCGTCATATTCACAGCTGACACGATATCGACGTCATCTTTCTGCAAAAATTGGGGCAGCCAATTTGTTTTTCCCAAAATTGCAGTGAGAATCTCCATATGAAATACGAAGTCGAAAGTCCACATCTTCTCTAAAATTCCTGACGCCTCAGCGCGTTTGTGGGGGTTCACACCATCGACCACTACACGCTCTAACACACTTGTAATTGGGGCCCAAAGCATCTTGACTATTCTTAACGCGCGAATGTGGCAATTCCACCTTGTTTTGCTAAGACCCTCGGTAGAAGTTGGTTGATTTAAACCTCTACCAGATTCTAGATGTCCTTGATCAAGCATTTTTTCCAATTCCACAGCGGCTTCGTCAAGAAGTTGATCTTTCCTTTTACACGAAGCACTTACAGTTGTGTGAATCCCTTGCACGGTGTCGAAGCATTGCACCACCGAGACCGTGTTCATAGTCACTGCAACTAGGACGAGATTAAGTCGATGCGCGAAACAGTGAACATAGTAGGCGTAAGGACACTGGGAGCGTAGACGTCGCTGAAGACCAGTAATATCACCCGACATGTTGGACGCACCATCATATCCCTGGCCTCTACAGTTCGCCAAAAGCAATCCCCACTTCTCTAACTGCGTTATCAAACCATCATACAGTGTCTCCGCATTCGTATCACGAACATGGACAGTTCCAAAACATATTTCTCTAATAGTCCCCGTTGCAGCGCACACAAAACGAATTACGATAGCCATGTGCTCTTTCTTCGCCATGCAGCTTGCTTCATCCACCAGAACAGAAAAATATCCATCTGCAATCTCGACCTCCATAATATGCTTTCGAACAACATCAGCCGCACATTTGATCAGTTCACGTTGAATTTGTGGCGATGTGTACACAGCGTTTTCCCAGCTAAGGACATTGCGCGAGAAAACGATGGCGCGTGCTGTGCCATGAACAGAACAATCTCAAGAAAATTGCCTTTATTTTGTGACGTATCGTGTGCATTGTAAACAAAACGTTAGTCCAGTGATGTCATTTCATACATAAAAATTAAACCGCTCGTATACCTTTTCGTCGCTGCCCCGAAATGCAATTTCCTCTTTTGCTAGGAGAAGGCAGATCTCCAGAATAAAAGTCAGGCGCTCCCGGTTTTGTTGTCGTTCACCAATCTTTTGAGAATTCAGAGCCACACCAACGTCATTCTGACAGGATCTCCGATTGTCGAAATCGATCAGAGCTGAGTGGTGCTTCGAGCTGGTTTTTGTCCCAACATGTTTTGCAAATTCGTCTTTTGTAGTGGCCTTTTTCCAGTTCCTATAGCCCGTTGTAGGTTGTGCATACACTGTGAGCTCCCTTTGCTGCGTCATTACTTCTCGGCTGAGGTAGCAGCATAAGCAATCGTCGAAGGAGAGTATTCGAGCCATGATTTTTTTTTCAAACCACTGGACCCGAAAAGCACGCATGCATCCACCGATGTCACGGGCCGGATATTGCTTGAGTTGCGGTTGGTAAGGACCGAGGCGAACGTAGGATTGTATAACGTCACGCAGTAGCTGAGGATCGGCAATCAGTTTGCTTAACGAAAAATAAATTTGGTGGTCTGTGAGCAGGATCCCGCCTAACAAAGTCTCCAGCGGAACATTCTTCGGCTCTATCAGAAATTTTGTTGAGCGAACACCATTCCAACGCTCTTGTTTTTCGCGCAGCGTTACAGGTTGGGGTCGTGGCCCAGGATCTGATTCAATACTGGGGGCCTTGTCAAAGTCTTCGGGCTCTTGACGGGGCTTCTTCACAAAGAAGGTCGTGATTGCCGGCTGCTTCCTCTTTCCTTCCATGTTATTATCAACCAAGCGGAGGAACAGTGTGAACTTCATGCATGTGCCGTCTAAATAAAAATAATCTAAAAAAAATCGAAACGCCTTCGCCGAAAAATGGGGGGGGCATGCGCCCCCCCATTTCGGCCCTGGCTCCGCCCCTGCTCAACGTTGTCATATTTTTTGTGCAGCTTAGTCACACCGCTGTTGGTTGCCTGCACCCCCCCCCCCCCCCCCCCAAGTTCCACTACACGTATGTTTCGGGTGTTAATGAGGACTGAACGAGAAAAGTTGCCATTTCCATGGTCTTCCTGGGCAATTCTTCTGTCGTTCCTGAATTGGCACACCTTGCAAAGGCGGCGACGATGTTGAAGCGACCCCAAGTCGCACGACCGCTAGTACCATGCGACCGGGAAAGTATAAAAATTGCCACAATTATTTAGGAGGGGGAGGATCAATCTGCACTGGCAGAAATTTTATACACTCGATCGATCAGCGAGGGCCCTCGCTGCAAGGACGTGCATCGAAATCTGCGCTATGCTCTAGCGTAATGCCCGACAGAAAATTACTCCAGAACCTTGTGGAAGTGAACAAGCTTCTATCGACTCGTATCCATCTCCAGCGGCGGTAGCACCAAACAGCTGACGTTATAGATTGAGTTCCCATGCGGGGGGGGGCCGTAGGATACAGCATCACGAGAGTTAAAGTGCTCCATTGATAACTGCGCAAACAGAAGATCCAGGTGCATGAAGGAATCCATGCCGCGGGAACATGAATGCTTGAGGGCAAATATACTGCTTTTTTTCCGAGCGGATTGGTGCAGAGGGCTCTTCACAGACTACACTGCCCGGACAGGAACATGGGAGTGTTTGGTTCAGTTCAGTGTTAATAGACGAAGGCCAACCTGTGGTTTGAGCTACGTCGGTCAGCATGCCGAGAAACTGGCAGGAGGAGCGTTGCCTCCAACGTCTTCAATCCCATCTGCCAGGCGTCAGCTCGTAAAGCTAGAGAGCTTCTTCACGAGCAGGCGTCACATTGCGTAAGTTACGCTAAGCAGTCCTGGGACATACAATTGCTTCGTCAACTACTTTTAAAAAAAAGGATCACACACAGGAGCTATTATGAAAAGAATCAAATGTTGCAGTAGCTTGACGGGGATCTTTCCGTATCCATTCGACAGTCGACACAAATGCTGTGCGCAGCACGGGACGCTGATTACAAATAGAGAAGGTCCTGGTAAGCAACAAAGAGCACAGGGGGGGGGGAGGTTCCTGGCCTGCAGAACCTCTGCGCCCGCAGTCTTGGTGCCACGAAAGAGCAAATCCCCACCGGCGTCTGCGAAGTGGAAACTTCGTGCCCGGCATCAATCCAACGAGTCCAGCACGCGAGCATTTGTATCCGTCTTACACCATGTTTTTGGCCAGCTCCACCCAACGCTACCGAGCTCTGCGTGCCAGTATGTACAGTAAACTGGCTTGCAAAACTTGATACGTGTACGTGGTCACTAGCGTACTGTACTGTACACTGTTAGGTTCCAGTTAACGGCATGACTCCACAGTGTTTCGTTGTCCACACACACATTTGCCTGCTCTCGAGGAGAACGCGTAAAAACACACAGCAAATCAGAGACCTTCTAATAAAAGCATTCTGGGGGTTGCACCCCCAGACCCCCGCAGTAGAAAAACTAACTCCGAGTTGCGGCAATGGGTCCGCTCGCTGGAATGCTCGTCGCTGGGTCCGCCTCCGCAAATACCGCGCGGCCCTGCTTCGCGACGGCTACGCTCCTCGCAACCGCTCACTACCGCCTTCTAATATGGTGGACCTACCCCTAAGGCTGTGTGTTTTTCAGACTTTTTGTGTGCTTCTAGTAGATAGTATAATAGAAGCCTTCTACTATTTATTTACTCGCTCTCGAGTCGTCACGCACTTTTCATTCACGCCGCCTTTCGAATCAAGCGGTACGTTGCGAGAAGGTGCACGACCACCACGATGTCGATAGAGACGGGGGGCCGGCAACTTCGCCGTGAAGGTGGGGCGGGGCACGCAAGCAACAGACCTGTAGGTAGGATAAGTAAGGCGTGCTTGAGCTTGAGTCTAGAGAGGGACCTGGCCCGAGCTCTACATCAGAGCAGTACACTGCGCTGCCGCGTGTGGTACAGCAGTATCCTCTGCTGGCGCCAGCGCGATTTGAACGCCTCGCCCCCCTCCAGGATCCAAGTCTCTCGGCCCGGGAAAAACCAGTCCACGATGTCTCCGTTCACGGTCAAGTAAAAGGGCCAAAGGGTGCGGTTCTATGCTTGACAGCGCAGTTCAACTTTCTGGGCGACGACGGGTCAACCACGGGGCGAAAGCAGACCAGCGGCATGCTGCTCGCTCGACTGACAGGTCCGTCAGCTGTCGGGTCTGCCGGCCCGCCGCACGCGACGAGTGCAGCGGGCAGCTCTCGCTCGCTCACTCTCGGATTTTCCACGAAGCAGCCCAAGCCACACGCAGAAGCCATGGACCAGCAGCCTTTCACCACCGCCAGCGCTATGGGGGCCAGCTACGCGCTCCTGATCGAGGAGCTTAAGGCGACGGTGGAGCGCATGCGCGAGGTTGAGGTCGAGATGGACGACGTGCGCTTGGCGCTGCGCGACGACCACGAGGAGGTGGAGACGTACACGGACGAGATCGCCGACTGCCGCGACCGCATCGAGGCCATCGACGAGTTCGTGCGCGAGGTCGAGGCCGGGAACGTCCCGGCGCTGGGGGACGTCGACACAGTCGTGGCCAACATGGCGGAGGAGCGCGAGGAGGAGGAGGGCATGCTCAAGATGCTGGGCGACGCGCGCGCGTGCCACGCGGAGCAGCTGCAGTCGCTGCAGACGCAACTCGCCACGCTGCAGGGCGAGCGGCTGCTGCTGCAGAAGAGGAGCTCCCAGATCTGGTGCGTGCTCGGCCGCAATGGGGTCTTCGCATCGGTCATGCAGCGACTGGCACAGCGCAGCGCCAAGGTGCTGTAAGGCTGGCACGCGTCCAGCATATTTATTAGGAAGGCGTATGGATGGAAGCAAGTACATGTAAATACAGTAGATGTCAACATACAAACGGTGTGTGTGTGTAGAGAGAGAGTTCTTCGTGCGAATGGATAGGATAGGCCTTGCAGAACGAAGTGATGACTCGACGCCGCTTGATTCATCGAGAGTGGACAGGGCCGTCACTTGGTCATTTGGTCGTCGATGCCGGTGTACTTCACCCATCTGCTGCTTGGCATTTTTCTAGGCGAACGCAGTCACTCATCGCTCGTCGCCGACAGCTGGGACTGGGGCTCCGGCAGCAGCGAACGACACTCGACTTGCAGCGCAATTGTGGCGATAGTGGCTCTGCTGAAGTGTAGTGCGGGAAAGCTGCAGTGGTGATGAAACGACGACGCTTTTTTGGTTTGGATGTTGGTGCTTGGGTTTCGAGTGTAGACGCAACTTGTTAAAGAACATGCTCGCCGCTAGTAATGGATCAGTGTAGTAGCTACTGATCAACGTTCGACAAGTAGAGCATTGTAATCTCGGGAGAAATCCGCACAGCAATACTTCTGCTAGCCACTGCCAGTAGCTGCAAGCAGCACGGCCAAACATTGGTTGTCGCCAGTTCGCAGCCGCCAATGCAAGAACATCGATAGAAGCGGATTTTAAGCTTAATAACGCGTCTGGTACAAGTCGCAACTTGCGTACGTCGTGTGAGTGGTCATCAAAGAGCTCTCGTCGCATGAATACGTCCGCACATCGAAACCAGGGTGAGACGGAGCACAATCACGTCCAAAGCGCTGCTGACAGCACGGTGATATCCAATAGCAATGCAAACGCAAAAGACTGTCGATGTACTATCAGATGTTGTGGGCAATGCCAAGGGTATCTTGCGCTCCAAAGACGATTGCATATGTACCTATACATTGTAACCTTTGTCACAGACAACGGAGCCAACACAATTGTACCTAGATAGAGCCACGACAGTGCGGCAAATTTGGCTGCGCTTCTAAACCTTGCCTTCAGTAGTTTTGTCGACGGATCAAAGAGTCCAACAGATCGTTCTACGAACAAAACACACTCAATTTTATCATCATTTACTCGAGAAGAAAGACTCAGCGCGGATACCAATGGTACGATACCAAACAGCAGTCCTTGCAGTTGTACGCACTTCGACTCTAGTACGTAGCAATTCGGGTCAGCCAAAAGCCCAGCAGCAGCAGCAGCAGCGCGCGCGCGCGACTTGTCTAGTAGAACTCGATCTTGTCCTTGTTGAAGACGCAGTTCTTGGACGGGCCCTTGCTCGTGACCTTGGGCTCCTTGCCGTTCGTGGACGTGGTGGTCTGGCACACGGCGTTGACGCCCTTGCTCGTGTGCACGTGGATGTCGTTGGTGAAGGTGGCGACGTCGCCGTTGTTGGCGTTGACGGTCACGAGGCTCACCTTGGGGTTGTTGCCCCACACGTGGTTGAGCGAGACGGTGCGCTTGATGTTGCCGCAGGTGCCGCACGAGCGGTAGAGCTTGCCGAAGTTCTCGGCGTAGAAGCCGTTGATGTTGACGTGGCCGTAGCCGTTGTGCTGGATGACCTTGTCGTCGGCGTTCTTGGCGCCGCACGCCAGCACGTTGGTGACGCTGTTCTTGTTGCCGCCCTTGATGCTCAGCGCGTCCTCGCAGACGTCCTCCCACCAGACGTTCTCGACGGTGCAGTCGTTGTCGTCGCAGTGCACGCCCTCGCGCTGGTCGGGTCCGATGATGACGTTCTTGAGCTTGGCGCCGGGCTCGAGCTTGAAGACGGCGTCTCTCCAGCCGCCCTCGGACTGGTCCTTGCACTTGATGTCGGAGCGCTGGTAGGTCTTCATGCCTCCGTCGAAGGTCTCGCCCTTCTTGATGATCTTGACGCCGTTGAAGCGGACGCTCCCCTTGGAGGTGGGCCACGCGGAGGAGACGGAGGCGGTGGCGGCGAGCACAGCGCAGAGGAGCGAGACGATGCGGGTCATGGTGAGCGGTGGGGATGCAGTAGCTGGAGTTGGTTGGGCGCTTGAGGCGGAGGGAGCAAATTGCAGAATAAAATGAGGAAGTGAACTGAAAACATGATGATGTCTGCATGGTATTAGTTGAGGCCATGTGCTGTTCGAACGCAAGTGGTGTCCCTGGTAGAAGACAATCAGTAGAGTAACCGGTCGTTGCAACTGTATCCGAGGGTTGCTCACACATCCTGATACCGTCAATCGCACACGGTAGACGAAATGGAGTTCCAGATTGCTGGCTGTAACTTACTGTAGTTCAGCTACCATTTTGGTGTGACCCCCTTTGCAATCTTTCATCAATTCGCTTCATTTCAAACTAAGACCTCAATGCGTCAGTGAACTCGACACAAGTGTGCGATGCTTGGCTGAGATTAGCCACGCATAGCAAGATTTACTCCGGTTCTGAGCTACAGAACATCTCGACACATATACAGTGCAGTGGCGTGACTGTGGCCCGAAGTTTATGTGATGGCAACATCAACGCGAAAAATCGACTAAGAAGCACCTAAAGAGTCGACTAACTACATTTTAGAAAGATGCACTCTTCGACTAAGAGCTTTTACCGTGCCTTACAAGACAGCAGGACTACGGCCGTTTCTCTAGATAGATTCAAAAGGAGCTTCGACACAGAAGAGGCCTGTAAAGTAACTTCCGCGTGAAGCAAAGTAAATTTGGGCAGCTAACACCGAATTGACGACAGGTCAGCTCGATCTATTCCTTCGTGAATGCGGGTCCTGACCTCGGATGCTCGGTAGGAAACTTCACAGTGGACCAGAGTGCGAAAACTGATCGAGGCGCTTCTACATGCGCACGTTGCCAATGGTGTCTTGCCGGTATGGCGCCTTTTCCAGCAAACCACCTGACGATCAGTTGTTCTGACTGTTGGTCGGTCCCTCAGCATTGATACATGCTGTCGCTTGTTGGCAACAGCAACAAACTGCTGCTATCTACCGATTCTTTGACGCCAGTTATGCAGTGCACCTCGCCTCGGCTTCAATGGAATGCTCTCGACGAAGTATTTACTGTTGGGTAGTAGGAGCTATAAAGCTCCGCTGGTACATGGATAACGAAGCGAAGAAGTCATACGACTATAAAAATCTATCCGGATACATGTAATTCGGTAGTCGTTGCTGTGGATTTGTAGAGTACAAGACACGGTGCTTCAAACATCCTTGTGACACTGGAAAGCGATCCGCAGTACATGTAATGATTGAAGCGCAGCCCACAGATGCTTCCGCGCAAGACCGGATTCTACGGTGGCAAGATGTCGTGAAGAAGAGTTGTCATGAATGAAAGTGTGTACAGTACATGTGCAGTACAGACAACGACTTACAAAGCCGGCATGCTTAATGCCATCCTCCTATATAAAAACAACGATAAATTCCCTCCCGTCAAATCTGTAAAACTGTCATAAAACACACGGTGTGTTGCATAAAGTACACAAGAAAGCATATAAAGTACACAAAATCAGATGGTATACAAAGATGAAGTCATTTGATTGAATCTGATTGGCTGGTTTGCTCATGTTAAGCTTTGCTTGACTTCGTCTGCCGGCTTTTTGTGTCTGCCGGCTTTGTAAGTCGTTGTCTGTACTTTTACTCTCCGTTGTCTTTGCATCGCCTTTGAAAGGAGCGACAACAAAGAGTTACATGTAACTAAGCTGGCTCCATATAACTAGCCAACCTCCATCGCTCCACGCTGTTGAATTCACATGAAACTGAAGAGCTACAGAGCTCTGCTTCGTACTGTCGCCGCTGGTATCAAGTACATGTAGAAGCGTACTGTAGTATCACTCCACTGTTGCGATCGTGCATAGAAATTAATCAGCTAACAACCTCAACGGAGTGGCCTCATCACGCGACGTGCGTTTGCTGTTCGTGCATATCCATGTTCGACCACCACAGCAACCCAACAAGCAAACTCCCTCCTTCACGGCTCAACCCCTCACCGCTTCCTACGATTTCAACAATCGCGCTTCACAGGCCGCTTCCTCCCTCACTTCATTCTGCAATTTGCTCCCTCCGCCTCAAGCGCCCAACCAACTCCAGCTACTGCATCCCCACCGCTCACCATGACCCGCATCGTCTCGCTCCTCTGCGCTGTGCTCGCCGCCACCGCCTCCGTCTCCTCCGCGTGGCCCACCTCCAAGGGGAGCGTCCGCTTCAACGGCGTCAAGATCATCAAGAAGGGCGAGACCTTCGACGGAGGCATGAAGACCTACCAGCGCTCCGACATCAAGTGCAAGGACCAGTCCGAGGGCGGCTGGAGAGACGCCGTCTTCAAGCTCGAGCCCGGCGCCAAGCTCAAGAACGTCATCATCGGACCCGACCAGCGCGAGGGCGTGCACTGCGACGACAACGACTGCACCGTCGAGAACGTCTGGTGGGAGGACGTCTGCGAGGACGCGCTGAGCATCAAGGGCGGCAACAAGAACAGCGTCACCAACGTGCTGGCGTGCGGCGCCAAGAACGCCGACGACAAGGTCATCCAGCACAACGGCTACGGCCACGTCAACATCAACGGCTTCTACGCCGAGAACTTCGGCAAGCTCTACCGCTCGTGCGGCACCTGCGGCAACATCAAGCGCACCGTCTCGCTCAACCACGTGTGGGGCAACAACCCCAAGGTGAGCCTCGTGACCGTCAACGCCAACAACGGCGACGTCGCCACCTTCACCAACGACATCCACGTGCACACGAGCAAGGGCGTCAACGCCGTGTGCCAGACCACCACGTCCACGAACGGCAAGGAGCCCAAGGTCACGAGCAAGGGTCCGTCCAAGAACTGCGTCTTCAACAAGGACAAGATCGAGTTCTACTAGACAAGTCGCGCGCGCGCGCTGCTGCTGCTGCTGCTGCTGGGCTTTTGGGCTTTTGGCTGACCCGAATTGCTACGTACTAGAGTCGAAGTGCGTACAACTGCAAGGACTGCTGTTTGGTATCGTACCAATGGTATCCGCGCTGAGTCTTTCTTCTCGAGTAAATGATGATAAAATTGAGTGTGTTTTGTTCGTAGAACGATCTGTTGGACTCTTTGATCCGTCGACAAAACTACTGAAGGCAAGGTTTAGAAGCGCAGCCAAATTTGCCGCACTGTCGTGGCTCTATCTAGGTACAATTGTGTTGGCTCCGTTGTCTGTGACAAAGGTTACAATGTATAGGTATACCCAGCTGTCCGTGCGGCGCGGTTCAATGATGGCAAGCAATTACTCTGCTCGAATCTGTCTTTGGTGCCCGTGCTGGACAGATCTCGGGTCTCGGCGCTCCTCTTCGCGGCCTGCATCACCTTTGGTAAGTTTTGCCGCTCGGTGCCTTTGCGATCGAGTTACCACCAGCAAAACGAGTGTCGCTAGACCTCACCTGCTGGTGCCGAAGCGATCCAGGCTTGGCATGACCTTGCACAAATGCTGTCAGCCCTCAAGCCGTGGAGGGCTTGTTGCTTGTTGAAGTCGTGACACTCCAGGCCCTTTTCGCAACGCTTTCGCTAGTAGTTACAGCCTTGCCCTGTCGTAGATGACCGAGACGCAGTCCTCTTCTCACAATGTAGATCGAGATGCACTACGTACTGTAGAAGAGCAAATGCACGTTGATTAAATAACGGGTTGGATCCAAAAAAACCTCGCATTTGCTGCTCGAGCGAGCGACTAGCTCTAGTCGAAGGCGCGACTAAATTCCTGATTAAAGGAATGCTGAGGTGATCACGATGCAACAACGTCAGCTTGGCGAGCTGCGTACATCTGCCTGCCAGGAGGGAAAATGACAGAACCCGTGGTCAGGTGAACTTAAGTGCAGAAGGCGTGGTAAAAAGCGTCTGAATGATGGTCAGTTTTTGGGCCCCCGGTTATGGCAGGTTTTACAGGGTATAATACCACATTTGGGTATTTCAGCTGGGGTAGCTTGCGTAGTTGACCAGACACAAACCTCCTCTCCTGAAGCTTATTCGGGTTGCGCTTGCGTCTCGCTGTCAACACTGTGCTTGAGGGAGCAACATGAAACATCTATAAGCACCCACGGCGCTGAATAGGCGTCCTTTAAGAGAACATGGGCCACTAAAAACCGAGAGGGGTTCCATCAGTGCAAGAAGACCCGCGTAAGGTCCATTCCCCGCATCGGTTTATACCTTCTTGAGGGAATCTAATTGTACATGTGCTCGTGTAAAGCTACAGGGCTTGCATATTGAGCGCTATGAAAACTTCTCTAGCCAAACACCGAGTGAATCCTTTTCTAGCCAAACATAGAATTTGACATAGGTTGGTACTTAGTACGGGTTTTGACAATCCAAAAGTATTCACCACACCTTCTGTCGCACAAGTCGGATTCTGTCATTTGGCTCGGCGCCTTTAGACATTTTCCCCTGCCAGGAAAGTCGACTATCGAATCGAAGGATACGATATGCTGAGCACTGCCACGCCAGGTACATGACTCGTGACTTCTCTCCTTCTATCATATAGGTGGTTGCACTTCGTTCAGTGAACGCATCCGTACTATCATCAAGACGTTCTTGCGCTGTTTTGATGAAACATTTCATTGTTTTATCGAGGCCACCAATGGAGGTCTCGCTTTAAATTTCTGCCGAGATGTGTGTTGGTGCCATGAGCTCAATTACCTACGCCTTCGTCGGCGAGACGTCCTTCGTGAACACGTAAAGTTCGCGGTGGCGGCCGTACTTGATTCCCCAGTACGTGAACCCCACAGCAGAAGCGAGCACAGCAGTGAGTGAGAACACCACGAGGGCCTCGAACTGGTGCGGGTCGTGGAATACCACACCCGAGAGCAGGATCAGGATGTAGAAGAACTGGTAGGTGGCCGTCTGCATGGAGTTGATGGATCCGCGCTGGTTGGGGGCGATCCACTCCTGCATGATCTGCGTCTCGGCCAGATCCGTGCTCCAGAGCCAAGTGCGAGATACCACCACGCAAGTCAGCATCACGTAGTCCGATACAATGGACTCGCCCGTGAACAGGAAGGCCAGCAGAACTGGCGCCAGACATAGCCAAAAGAGCCACACACTCAAGACCGCGATGCGCTCCACGCGCTTCATTTTGCTTCTCAAAGTGGGGAAGATAAGCGTCCCCACGAGTCCAGTCAGGGCTCCAGCGCCACGGCTAGCACCCAAAAGCGCGTTCGAGATGCCGCGCCACTTCAGGTAGGCAGTATTCAATGCTCCGCCACTCAGAATCGTCATGTACAGCGCGCAGAACGAGAAGCTGACGAGGAAGACCGGATGCTTGACGTAGTCGGACCACATCTTGGCGTAGCGGGCCATGGCACCGAGATCAGCGGTGGAAGCTGAGGAAGGTTCGCCCTTGGTTTCGTCTTCATGAGGTGTACGCACAGCCAGAGCCGGCACAAGTCGGTAGATATCGTGCGTCATGTAGTACTCGAGCGGCGTGGAGATCAGATTCCAGAGCCCGACAACGGCAGCGCCGACCATGGCGCGAGTGGTGGCGTCGTTGCCAGCGAAGTCCACGATAAAACCGAAAGCCATGGGGCCGAGGATGTTGCAGCTGAGGTCGATACGACGCATGGTCGTGTTGAGCTTCGCGAGCTCCGCCGAGTTGTCGACGCCAGCAATGACCACGACCCAGTCACGCTCGATACCCAGCGTCTGCGCGTCGTTGAGCACTTGGCCCACTCCACCGCAGACCAGCGTTCCCGCGAACATGAGAGCGAGCGGCCACGTCCACTCGGGCTTGTGCTCGCCGTCAGCGTTGGTGACCAGCAGAATGAGCCCCAAAATGATCGAGTTGAGCACGATCATGAGATTCTCGAGGAGGATGGCGTACTTCATGGCCGTCCAGCGGCTCCAGCGGTCCAGGTGGTGGCCCACCGTCGGGATCATGAAGATGCACACGACGTACATGGCCAGCGAGAAGGCCGCACTCGGCAGCAAAGTGTCCACGAAGATGTCCATGAACAGGATGGGCACAGCGAAGCCCCACATGCGGTCTCCCTACGCACAACAACCCCGTTAATCTAACGCCCTCTATCTACAAAACCAATGCACTAAAAGCAGGTTCCTACCCAAGCGGAGAGCAGGTGACTGGCATACAGGTACGTGATCACGCGTCTCGGTCGCGCTGGCGTCGAAGTCGCCGCGTTATCGCCGCTGCTTCTATTGGGTGCACGCAGAATGGAAGTGTGGTCAGCACGAAAGGTCTGCTTGGAGGTTGAAGTGGTATATCGACTTCTTCTTACAGCAGAGGCTGCTGCTCTCCGTTGTCGCCGTCGCGGGCGTCCAGCCACGCGGTGACCAGGCACGCGCCCACGGGCACGAGCGTCACTGCGCTCAGGATGAGCGTCACCATGTTGGCGGGCGCGGGCATCACGCACGCGTCTTGGAATCCGCCGACGCATGCTGAGGAGAGCGGTAGCGTTACATCAGTACTTTTGGGGCAGTTGGCGTTGATACGTAGAGCTGCAACATCTGTACGACGCGATACCTGCGCTGTCGAGGGCGAGCGCGGCGCTGGCGAGCCCCATGACGAGGCAGACGAACACGGTGGCCTCCATCTCGGGCGTGGGGTGCAGCGGACGCTGCAAAAACGACTGTGGATGGCTGTGGATGGAGCCGGGCGTTAGCTTGGAGAGCCGGGCGCTAGCTTGGAGATCCGGTGGCACTACAGTGGTGCACCGCGTTTTCGGTAGGGCGAACCCATATAAGTATCTCGAATACACCAAATTTCATAGCATGTAAATCTCCTACTAAGTATAAATGTAATGATGCAGTGTTTCTTAGCACACAAATCTGAATTTGTTATCCGCGGTTATACGTTTATACCAGTGCCGAAAACAAAGGTGCACCACTGTAGTCTCCGGGCAAGTCGGTGGTAAGGAGCAGTTAATCACTCACGATGTGTATTCACTGCAGCGCCACCGTGCCTCGAGCCAATAATGGTGATCGAGTATTTTCTGGTCACGCCTTGCTGGCAGGGGCCTATCCATTGCGCTCTCCTCGCCAGTCATCGTCGGCGCGGGGATCGTCCGGCTTGACTCCCGGAATTCTGCGGGCCGTACACGGTATTAATACAATTTGTAAAAGTTCTAACTTGGTTGGGAAATGGTGTACATCTAAGATGAGTGACGTCGATGCCACAGTGTTTGACCGCCCGACCACGTAAACGCCACACCAATTTTACCGTCATTCCTGCGCGTTGGTCTCCGATCCATGCGGCGCTCCGCTCGACTGCTGGCCGCCACCTCATGCAGCGTGAAGGCCGAGATCTCGGACGTGAGCACCCGTGACATCTCCCCTCCAATCCCCTCCCTACCGTCTGCAGCAATTTCCACCTTGAAAGCGGAAGTGAAGGCGGAGAAATTCGACCTCAACGGCTGGATCTCTCTCTGCAGCACTCGGGAGCTCTCGTGCGCGCTCACGCTGGAATCCGGACAGGTTTTCGCCTGGCGGAGGCACCCGACGGAGTCTGCAACATGGTTGGGGGTCATCGACCGTCGGGTGTTCGCACTACGCGAGCGTGACAACACAGTGCAATTCCGATGCCTCCATCCGCCGGACTGTACGTTGAATGAATCGGTATCCATGTTCGAGGAGCTCAATACGGTGAAGCTGACGGAGGAGGTTATGCTGCTGTGTATCTGTAGTGCCGAATGAGGACGGTGTCGGGGAGCTGTCGCACTACTTTCGACTGGATGTAAGTGGGGGTGAGAGATAGGTACAGTAGAGGAACTCTACGAACTCAAGAAGTCTGGTTGTTTGCTACTATAGATGCCAGCTGACCCCTTGTACGAACGCTGGACCAAACCGACGGACCGGATGACGGAGATCATTACGAGACTGCGGGGGCTGAGGATCGTGCGGCAGGAACCGGTGGAGTGCCTGTTCTCCTTCATCTGCTCGTCGAACAACAATATTGCGCGAATTCAGGGGATGGTGGACAAGCTCAAGGCGGCTTACGGCGACTTGATCTACGAAGGAGAAGACAAGCAGGAGCAGCAGTATTTCTACGCGTTCCCATCGGTGGACACGCTGGCTGCCAAGTGTGAAGAGGCCACATTGCGAGCTCTGGGCTTTGGCTACCGAGCGGCCTTTATCGTGAAGACTGCCAAGCAGCTCCAGGAGCTCGGCGGTGCCTCGTATCTCTACGGGATTCGTGACGGCAAGGAGATGCAGCCAAAGGTGAAGAAACTCAAGTCGACTCAAGATGACGGGGGAAAGGAAGCAGAGGCGGTGGCGTACCACGCGTATCAAGACGAGCTCATGGTGTTTGCCGGCGTCGGACGGAAAGTAGCCGACTGCGTGGCGCTCTTCTCCCTGGAAAAGCTCGAGGCCATCCCAGTTGACACACACGTGTGGCAGATTGCATGCCGCGAGCTGGACGCGAGTCTCAGCGACCGGAAGAGCATCACGCCGACCGTGTACCGCATGGTCGGGGATCTCTTCCGAACTCGGTTCGCGCCTCAAGCTGGCTGGGCGCACAGCGTGCTGTTCGCTGGGGACCTCTCAGCTTTCAAGCCCGAATTGCCCGGCGGTGAGAAGAAGAAGGCCAAAGCGAAGCGAAGTCCTGCCAAGCCGAAGGCGGCGACGAAGCGGAAGACCAGCGTAGCAAGTGCTTGAAATGGGTCCCTTCAACATGTACATGAATACAACACCGTGTGACACAAAGTCGCTGCAGGCAGGCCGTTGATGATGGAGAGCGGACGATTACGTGGAGACTAATCGTTAATCAATCCTGCAGATACCGACACCCACCGTCAGTGGATTCTGAGATTGTATCCAGTATTTGCAGCCATCTCTGGCCACGCTTGCAAGATGAACTCCCTCCTGACTCTCAATACCATCACTTCCAAACGCGCCTCGTTACGAACAAATGCCTCTGAAGTTCCTCTCCACGTTCGTGCTTTTCCTCTTCGCAGCGTCTTCGTCTTTAGAGGCGAATGCACAGTTGCGCGCGACGCCGCGTCAACTGCAGACGTACACGCAGCTATCCGACTATGCCGGCCTCATGCTCGAGCGCGTGAACCTGGAGCGCGCGGTGCAGGGGCTGCCGGCGCTCTGCGCGAACAGCAAACTGCAGGCTGCGGCCCAGCGCCACTCGGACGACCAGGCCGCCAACGACTTCATGGACCACGTGGGCTCGGACGGCTCGACGATGTCGCAGCGCGTCTCGGACGCCGGCTACGACTGGCGCGGCGTGGCCGAGAACGTGGCCGCGGGCCAAGCGGACGTGACGGAGGTCATGGACGCGTGGATGAACTCGGAGGGCCACCGCCACAACATCCTGGGCGACTACACGATGCTCGGCGTCGCCTACGCGTACACGCCCGACGGCCTGTACCGCCACTTCTGGACGCAGGACTTCGGCCGCAGCGACACCGAGCAGTGCGACGGCAGCGCCGACACCCCAGTCCCCACCACCACCGCCAGTCCCAGCTTTAACAGCTCCGGCAGCTCCAGCGACAATACCATGTCGGCGCCCAACCGACGAGACTCTCGAGGCACGTCCGCCACCTCCAGCATATCACCACCCACACCAACAATCCTCATCCTGCTCACTTCAACTGTGCTACACTTAATCTAAGTATGAACCACCCTAAGTACGGTTCAAAAACGGTCTTCGTCTCAGTCAGTTACGCCACAATCAAAAGCGTCAGGTCGTCCGCAAGTATCTCTCTGTGTGCAGTGAGTGATGTCCTCCCCCGCCGGCACGTGCACGGCCGTCACGCACACGGGCGCGCGGTGCTCGTCCCCGGCCACGGACGCGTCGGGCCAGTGCTCGCACCACGCGCGGATGGCGCGCGTCATGGCGCTGGCGCCCAAGTCGCAGGCCCCGAAGACCGCGCCATCCACGTTATCATCAACTGCCTCTTCGAGCTCCTTCCCGCCGTCTCCAGCGCACGTTCCGTCGCCCTCTCCGACGTCCTCGTCCTCCTCGTCCTTCGACATGTCCCCACTGCACTCGGCTCTGTCGGGGGACAGCGGGCTCCAGTGGCTGCCGGGCGAGTCCGTCGTGACGACCGTCACCTGCTCCTTCGTGTTCCCAGGAGCGTTGAACCTCCCGGACATCCCCGGCACGCTGCACATCACGACGTTCAGGCTGCGCTTCGAGCCGCAGAGCTCGTCGCTCCGAGCCACTGGAGGCTTCCACAGACTGCTGGACACGGCGCTGCGGGGCATGCCGCGCGCGGCTGTAGCGAGGCTGTCGTATCCTCAGTCCACGACGGTAGCGTCGAGATCCATGAACTCGTACGGCAACGGGGGCGGCGCGCTCACGCCCACGAGACTCGTGATTAAATTCAAGGACTTGAGGTCGTGGACGCTCGGCGGAGACGTCACGAGGCTGCTGCCGGCCTTGAACCGATACGCGTACGTGGACACGCCGTTGAGTTTGTTCGCGTTCACGTCCATTGGACCAACGCAGGAGGATCTGCAGGCCCATGGACTGTATGATGTGTACGAGGACTTTGCCAGGATGGGGGTTGCCCTGAGAGACGGGAACAGTGCATACAGAGTCACGGAGCTCAATGTGGCGTTCGCAATTTGTCCGACGTATCCGCGCCAGCTTGTGGTGCCCGCTGCTGCCAGCGACTCGGAGGTCGGGGCGGTCGCTGCGTTCCGGTCGAAGGGGAGACTGCCGATCTGTAGTTATGTACACGCGCGCAATGGCGCTGCGTTGTGGCGATGCGCGCAGCCCAAGCGCGGCATTCTGCACGCCCAGAACCCTGCGGATGAGCAGTATCTACTGCACATTGCGCGTGCTTCGTCAGGTTCTACGTCGATGTATTCCGGAGCACCGACACGGAAGATCTGGATCGCTGACTGTCGCCCGGAGCTGAATGCGCGCGTGAACAACCTCACGGGAGGAGGCACCGAGAGCGGGAATCTAGCGCATGCGCGGGTGACCTTCCTCAACATCGGCAATATCCATGCAATGCGCGAGAGTATTGAAGCAGTGCGTGGCCTTGGTGGGTTCATGGCGATATCGAACAACACCGAGGCGATGGATCTGTCGTGGGGCTCTCGCGTTGAAGACACCAAGTGGCTTTCCCACGTTCGTCGCGTCATGAGCGGAGCTCTGCAGGTTGCGCGCGCGCTCGAGGCCCAAGCCACTACGGTTGTCGTGCACTGCAGCGACGGCTGGGATCGTACCGCTCAGCTTTGTGGGCTCGCGCAGTTGCTGGTGGACGCGCACTACCGAACGCGCCGAGGTTTCCTCGAGGTTATCGAGAAGGAGTGGGTTCGCGCAGGCCACAAGTTCCAGGATCGCGTGGCGCCAGGCAAAGCTGAGGACGATGACGACCAACAAGCTCCGATCTTCCTGCAGTTCTTGGACTGCGTGTGGCAGCTGATCCGCATCTTCCCCACTTGCTTCGAGTTCAATGAGCGTATGCTGGAGGCGATGGCGGACGCAGTATTCTCCGGGAGATACGGAACTTTCCTAGGAAATTGTGAACGCGAGCGCAGCGCCTGGAGTGTGCGTGAACGAACACCGTCGCTCTACGCATACGTGCTTCAGGAAGACCGCTTCGTGAACCCGTTCTACCGTGCCAGCAGCACTTCGGCGCTCTTGCCCGATTCCACGGCGGTGCTACGTCAAGTCACGCTTTGGACCTCTTACTACTTCCGAGGAGCTCCGCTCCCTGCGTCACCGGCAGGCAACCCAACACCTCCGATGTACGCATCGAATGATTCGGGCGACGACAACGCAGTCTCCAGTGGTCCCCAAGAAGACCTCGAGGTTGCTATGGCAGCCGCGTTGCGTAGAATTCGCGTGTTGGAAGACGAATTACGCGCTGCAACCGCTAAACCGGCACTTCCGCCTCGACCAGCACCTGTATCGTACCCGCCGTTGTATCCGGCTGCATCAGAAGCCGACATGTCTGCACAAATCCAGCAGAACGCGCAACCTGGCACGCCTACCCGGTATCAAGACTACCAACAGAGCTACTCGAACGGGTATCATCATTCCAGCAGTAGCAGCAGCATTACGAGCAACGATGAGAGTGTTTCCTCTGCATCTTCTTCTGTCCCGGTATCGATTCTAGCGCCGACACCTCCAGCCCCCATACAAGCATTGGCACAAGCGTCAACGTGGACATGTAGTCTATGCACGAAAACTAATTCGGCTGACGTCCTGCAGTGCGTTGTCTGTGGCCGCACGCCCCGGTGATCTACCAGCTTCAAAAACTTAGTAAAGTGCATGTCTACATTGGTGAATGATCCTGTATACCATGCACGTAGTCCACCCTGCTGAGCACTGATGGAATTCGTCTCGGCAAACTGCGCCCGCTAAATATTCTCCCTCTCGTGTTTGTGCTCGCTCTTGCGCATACGCTTGACGCAGTCCTGAAGTACGTAGTGTACCTTGTCCGGGAAGTGGTCATCCAGCATAGTGCGCCCAATGCGGATCATGCTGAATTGACCTTCCGCGGCCCACGCAAAGCGGTAGTTGCTGCGTGCAGTGCAGCAGATGCCGCCACCTCCAGGTCGGCAGCACACCCAGCAGCCTGCTGCCCCCTTGGCGCGCACGACACGTTTGAGATGTACTACGCGCCCAGGGATGGTCAGCTCGTGAATCGGCTCCGACTCCTGGATACGCTGCAGCATGGTGCGGTAATTGGACAAGTGCGCGATGAACGGGGAGCGCACTCTCTCACCGCCGTAGCCATCGTCGTCAAACGCCGAGTGCTCGTCGCAGCTTCTGTGCAAAAGTTCGTCTGGAGTGCGCCATGCGATAACCTGACGCAGGATCGCAGCCTTGTTGACCTTGCTCCTCCCAATCAGATCCAGCACGTGATCGCGCAGTTCCTCGGCTGAAGTGAGGGACGACCGTGCAATGATGTCGTCGCCCACTACAACCGAATCCGTGAAGGCAGCGCAACGAGATGCAAGTCCAGAAGACATGGTACAGCCTGGAGGGCTGAAGGCGAAGCAGCGAAGCTGCGGGTACTTGGGGCGCAGCATCACTGACAACAACACAGCAGTACCAGCTCCAAGTGAGTGGCCTGTAAGCACGAGATCGTAGTCGTGGTATGTTCCACGTTCGCACACGTTGACTCCGCTGGTGGCAATGGTCGCCGTTGACTTTTCGTCAAACAGCATTTCTAGCACGCCAAGGCGATTGAGCTCTAGATACACCGACTCGGCGCACGTGAGGAAGCCTTGGTGCGCGTACTCGCCGGCACCATCACATCCCCAGCGATCAGCCACGTCATCCATCGACATGCCATACGCGATGGCATCCGTGAGGCAGTCTTCAAGCGACAGCGTGCCACGAATCGCAATGACAACCTCCTTGCGCTCGTGGTCAAGCATCACTGCGAAAGCTGGTTGGTACACCGAATTGCGGAAGCTGGCGTACACAATGTCGTCGCTCTTAATCTTGGTTTCAAGCTGCAGAGCTGTTTGGCCAAGGTGGAACCAGTTGTCGCCGTGCACCCAGCGATGCTTGCGTCGCAAACAGGAGAATGCCAGTCGGAAGGTTCCGGTCCAGGGATGGGACCATACATACAGCATCCAGCCGTATATTCCGATCGCGTACTTGGAGAAGTGCGCCAGCTCCTTCAGTCGTTTCGTCAGCTCCACGTCGTGGAGGTGTGGATCTGACGGGTGGTAGTAGAAGGGTTTCGTTGACTTGCCGAACTTTGCGTCCTCATTCTTGCTCTGCTGTTCATCTTGGGGCTCAGCCGAAGGCGGCATATCGACCGCAACGAACCGGTTAGACCCGTCTCCATCTAGCGTCGACACCTGCGACGCTGCACTCGCAGATGCAGTAACTGCGGTGTCTTCAGCAGCTACGGGGCGATCGCCCAGCAACTTCATCTTGCTCGTACTTGCGCGAATTCTGGCACGCAATTTCCCGAGCGTTTCTTCCTCCTCTTCGTATCCTTTACGATGTGGCGAGGTCGCAATCACTTCATGGTGATCTTCGTAAGCCTGAACCGCTGCCAGCAGCACGAAGCCCGCCACGATGTCCGAGATGACGAGGTCCGGACTACCGTAGAAGAGCCTCGAGAATACCTTGGCAACGACCGACATGCTGTCATGACGCGTGCCAGCTCCTCCGAACAAGTTGCACGTGAAGCACCGCAGACACATGCAGCAGCGGGTGCAGCGCTGCTTCCACAACCTCTGGCTGTGCGGCACGTACACGTCCGAGCTCGGCACCTCCCGATCCACTTCTGCAAGCAACAACCAGCACACAACAATAACAAGGCAGCAATTAGCACTCCGCTTCGCCGGGGTCAGGCCCCTCCCAGGCCCCCCAACGTACCATCCAACAACGACTGACGTTCAGAATCAACAGCGTTACCATAGGGGTCGAGCGTGCTGCTTGAGACCGGGGGCTTCTCCTGGTCGATGGCGTCTTCCGGCTGCACGTCGCCCAGGATGCACACGCCGAGCGAGAACGTGAAGCTCACTTCGGCCACCAAGAACCCGCCGATGGCCTGGATCATTCCACCAACATATAATAACCTCAATTAGCCCACAAAATGAGGCATTCGATAGATATATCTTTGTCTCAATCGCCTCACCAGCACGAAGCGCGCGTCCGGGCGGCACATGTCCCGGTAGTACCAGCAGCAGAGCCCCGCCACGCCGTACGCGAAGAGCAGCACGGACCAGAGCGCGTGCACCTGCAGCATGCGCGGCATGAGCACGCGGCGCTCGTGGTCCACGATCGTCCCCTTGGCCGACACGTGCATGATCATGAGGTAGATGCAGCCGCGGAAGAAGAGCAGCGGCGCCGCGCCCAGCATGTACCAGAAGGGCAGCCCGCTGTCGTCCAGCGAAGTGCTCGAGCAGCGCCGCCACAGACTCGCGTACAGCACGCACAGCAGCGCCAGCGGCAGCTGGTACAGCAGCAGGAACAGCGCGGGGCAGTACAGGTCGTCGCTGCCCACCACGCGGCTGCGGCGCCCGAACACCTCCAGCGCCGGCATCTCCTCCGTCCTCCGTTACGCGCGCACTCGGCTCGGCTCAGAAGTGAGCTCTATGCGAAAATGCGGGACCTCTACACCTATACAACAGAATGTTGTGTGCGAAGTCGTGTATCGATTGTGTGGTCCACATCACCGGACAGTACTACTGAGATGGGTACATTTCGATGGTGCTTCTTGCTGAACTGCAACGTGCACTTTTGACGCATGCTGATGCTCGAGGATGCATCGTAACTTAGCATTAACATTAAGGACATAACTAACTAAATAACTGCGGCTAGCGCCTGGAGGGGCGTAGGGTGTAGCGGCCATTCCGATGGCCCGCTATTGTGTGTGTGAGGAGACTTGTTAGTCGGTGGTGACGTCTGTGCGGCTCGTGGTGAAGTCGTACGCCTCCAGCTTCACGACTAGAACCGTGACGTTGTCGGTGGTGCGTCTCTCCAGGGCGAGCGCCACGAGCGCGTCCGCGGCCGCCTGCGGGTCCTTGAACCTGGCCGCGAGCTGCGCCGCCGCCTTGTTGGTGACGACGTCCCAGAGTCCGTCCGTCGCGAGGATGAGGAACCGGTCGTTCTTGGAGATCTTGCGGGTCTGCACCTCCGGGTCGCACGAGATGTAGGGCTTGAGCGACAGGTCGCCGATGGAGCGCGACACGGCCAGCTGGCCGTTCACGCGCGGCACGTCGAGCATCTTCTTGAGCGGCCAGACCTTGTACATGAAGTCGGGCTTGCCCGTGACGAACGCACCCTTGGCCTCCAGGCGCTCGCGCTCGTCCTTGCGGTTGGGCTTCTGGTCGAAGGACATGGCGATGGCGTCTCCGTTGCGGGTGACCACCACGGCGCGGGAGTCGCCGACATTGCCGACGTGTAGCAGGCCGTCGCGCACAATGGCGACGAGGAGTGTGGAGCCGTCGTCGGTGGCGAACGAGCGGCCGTGGCTCCGTCGTGCGGCGGAGGCGATGGCGGAGTTGGAGGCGTGGCGGGCGATGGAGCAGAAGTCGGCATCTAGAGAGGGGAGACAATAAACAGGTTAGACACTTGTTGCTTTGACGGGGTGGCGTGACGGACGCGTGACGACGTACCGAGGGCTCGTACGGCGTTGGTGATGGCGTCGTTGACGGTGGACTCCTGGGCGAGCTGCTCGAGGATCCGCGGGAAAATGTTCTCTGCGCAGTAGCGGGAGGCGCGGTCTCCGGCGTGGCCGTCGAAGATGCCGAAGCAGCCGCTGGCCGAGCTGGAGTAGCCGTTCAGTGTGAGTCTCTCTACGACCTTGCCTCCGATGAAGTACGCGTCCTGCAACAAGGAGGGGGGGGGGGTTAGCTACATGGATATGATGACTGTACTTGTCGGGGGGCGTCCCGTACCTCCTGGTTGAGCTTGCCGCCGCGGTCGGTGGCGATGCCGACGGGCACGTCGTACAGGTCGTCGGTCTCGAGCTGCTTGGAGGCGGGGCTGGCGGCAGCGACGTCCGAGTCGCCGCCGGTGGGCTGCTTTCGCTTGTGGTGGAGGGCGACTCCGGTCATGGGTCAATCTCTCTCTCTTCGGTGCGGTTGTCGATGTGTGCACTAGGGCGCAAAAGGCGTAATGCCGGCAACAGGCAAGTCGGCAAAACATGTCAGAGCGGCGCACCGTCGCTGTCGCGGCTGATCACGGCGTGGATCGGCTCGCTTGTGGGGGGTTGGCGCTGGACACTCTGCGTGCATAGTGGGCGCCAGTCAACTGGCGGCGCGTCGTAAAAGTAGGCGGCGCAGGACGCTTACCATCCTGCGTGCAAGAACCAAAAGGATGGAGAGCTCCTCGTGTGTGGGGCGGCTCCACAGTATCATGAAGCGGTGGAACGCCCCGCCGCCATGGAGCGGAGCCAAGCTGGACAAGACGCGCCCCCTGTCCTAGTTGAGCTGGCGCCAGGCCCGACCCCTCTGTGCCGGGGCGGTGGCGCATCGATCGGCCGGCGCTGCCGGTGCCGGTACGCGCACGTCGGCGCAGGAATCTCGAGATACTGCGGCGCGCAGTGTTGGACTCGCCTCCGAGACGCAGAACCATCCGGCACCACGACTGGACGCCGCCGCGCGCGCTCTGGTGGAGACCAGCGCTCCGCGGCGCCTCGGCCGCAGACGAACCGGCCGAGCCGATCTCTCGCCGCGCTCCAAACTTTAATCTGCGTTCCGACGACCGTCACTCCGGCCGACTTTGCGCCCCGAAAAAAGCGCGAGCGCTGGTGCCGTCCAACCGAACCGGTCTCCGCGGCCTCCATGGCTGCCCCTGCGAATTTTGCCTGCCCCGGGCTGGCCCCGGGTATTTTTTGGCGCGGACTTCAAACCGGAGCACCAACACTCCAGCGCGTCTGCGGAATCATGGCCGGTCCCTGCAAGCGCTGTCACAACAACTGCAACTGCGTGGCGGAACTTCGTAAACATGGTCGCAGATGCTGATGAACTTCATCATCATCACGAAGGCAGCGCGGATAGTGTTCACCACGTTGCCGTCAGCTTGCTTGATCGGCGATCGATGCAACTGATCACTTCTGCTTATCACGCAGAAGTGATCACTCTCAACGCAGTACAGTAGTTTGGGTCCGGCTGGAAGAGCTATATTGTTTGACCCAGCAGAACAGCCTCCGGTTATTGGGGAGAGGACCAGTGGTGTCGATAGCAGCAGCAAAGGCATCGCCTCCGAACGATCTCATGGAGAGAAAACATTTTCTTCTTTACCAATGAAGGCCTAGAAACATATGAGTGATACCAATAAAATCCACGACAAGGCCCCACTTCTACTTGCGCCTCATAACAACTGTCAGCGGTGCGTCTGTAGTTCTCGAGACTTCTCGACGCAGTACCCCTAGTCTTGCCGTGCTTCTACTACTTCGAGTCTTCAAGGGCTAGCCATGTCATAGCAATTGCCCTACGCTGGATAGGCCCTACGTCTAGCCCTGTGATGCAGCCCGCCCGAGCAGCCGCTTCACATGTGCTGATGCACCTTACCGGTAACTTGAGGCTCAAGTGAAGTGAAGCACGAAGGAGTTGACAGCGTTTGTAATTGAGTTATTGGCGAATGTGAGTTGTATTTTGTGGTTATGATAATATCATATTATGAAAGCCTTAGTGCTAACCTACGAGTTGAGGGTCGCCGAATGAGCTAATGAATGGAGAACCTTGGGCACTGCGGTGGGTGAGATCAAATGCAAAGTATGACGTGCGTACCCTGTGTTGTTCTCCAATCGAGCAGTCCGTCGCCACGGCCAGCTCAAAGAAGCACTACAGCAAGGAAGGCAGCCAGAAGAGTAGATGCCAGGTGCACTGGAGCCGCTGCTGACGCCCCGGTGCCGGTGCTGGTGGTCGTCGCCGCATAGGCATAGTATTTGACGTTTTCGACGCAATCATGAGCTGCAAGCTTGTCCTTTGGCAGAGCGAGCTCACTCGTACTCGTATTGCACTCACCGTCGCTGTAGTACACCAAAGCAGCCTACCCATCGCTGTTCAAGGTGACTTTGGCGCTGATGTCGGCCACAGGGTGGCACTCCCCGTCCGCTGAAATGGCTTGAAAGGTGTATTCGCCAGTGCAGCTAACCTCGCCGTATTGCTGAACCACCAGACATGGAGCTGTGCCAAAGACCAAGGATGCGAACGCGAAGCGGTCCTCGGCGGTGCAATACTCCCGACCGGACAGCCCACCTGAGCACCTGAGCTAGTTCACTCCGAATTTTTACATGCCGAGTCACTGTCCGTAAGGAAGACCAAGTAGGCCGGGTCGGTGCATTTCGAATCGTCAAAGAGAACGGAGGCGGATTCCTCGGCACTAACAGAGCCCAACACGGTCGCCAAAACGAACCCACTCGCAAGACGCCCGAATGACTTCATGATTTTTGCTTGCGTGGTCTGGGAAGTCAGTCGGACAGGTAGCTGGGAAATTCGAGACTGAGTCTTGGTGGCAGTGGCCTCCCCCCAACAACTCCATCGTCCGTTGGCAGTTGTCTTCCGACGGTTCGTTGGTCGTCGTGAAGGCGACGTCACCTCTTCGGAGAGAAACCTATCGGGGATACGCTAAGCACTTCGAACGGATAACACTTCAAGGAGTTTCAGATATCATTTGTGAAACTCCTTCAAGAGTTTTCGTCCGAAGAGCTTAACGTGAACCGCGGAGTGGAAACTCCGTGAGAGTGGTTTCTTGCGTAATTCTGCCCGTTGAACACACCGTCTTCTGTTTGAAGTTTGAAATCTGCCAACATCGGGGACGTCAAATGAGCTCGTCGGTCAGAAAGCACTATATTGCGGAGTGAATCAAGAGGAAAAGTAATCATGATAGTTAGCTTGGATACTTGCTCATACATTGTAGAGAGACATCTAGACATTGATTTTCCGAGCACTTTAATTCCTCGTGTATTTCGTGTATCATAGAGTATCCATGGACGTGAAGCCCTGCATACAAGCACTTCAACTTGGGGATGACTAAACACGAAAGTAAACATGAACTACGAGGTGTTGATCCTTATTCATTCTAAGGGACGCTGCGCGATCGAGTAAATGCAGCTGACTGATGCGATGCACACTGCAGAATGAAGTGAAACTGAAATGGGCCAACGGCAACAAGGCCAGGTTCATGCGATGGTGTAGTCTGCCCTCGGCTCGCGAGTCGCAGCTATCCTGTGGGGTTCAACGGACAGTAAGCGATGTAAATACGTGAACATGGGAACCCTTAACGCCCTCGATGTGTTGGTTACTCCAGACCTAATCCTTTCAAGGGACAGCGGAAGATGGTGGGCCGCAAAGCAACGGATGATCGCCAGACAAAGGTCAACAAGACGTACTCTTGAATTTCCCAGCTTCGACATACCTGACCACTCAAGCGAACACTATGAAGGCATTCGAGCTTCGTTGAACTACCGGGTTGATTGTGGCGACGATTTCGTCCTCCGTCAATGCCGAAGACTCCGCTCTCTTCATCTACGACGATTCCAAATGCACTGACCCAGCCTCCGTGACGTTCGCTCCTATTACCAGTGAGGTGTCATGCACGGCTACTGAATGTGTTAACTCCGGTGTACAGAACGCTCGGATTTCTTGCACCGCCGCGGACAACTTTAATCGAGGTGGTGTAAGCTGGCTTGAATCAGTGATCCACTACAGTGTACACGTACCAGAGCTGGCAATTTGGGTTTAATCATCAGATTTTTCCCTGGTTTAAACTCAAAAACCTACCAGTCGATTTTTGCTGGGTTTTACGTTCAACTTCATCATAGTTACTACTTAGTACAACTTTCATCGTTGCTTCTGCACGGGATGCTGGCTATTACATCGTGTTTTAGCTGAGTTTGGTTCATTACGATCGACGTGGGTGTGGTGTAGTGATTTGGCGGTAAACGAGAATCGAGCTGACGACCAAGCTTCAGTGGCGACCCGAGTCGTCGGGACATGTTCAGCAATGTTCGGCGGATGCTGATTGGCTATTCTGGACCGGTGCCGAAGACTCGTCAACACCCAAGTTCGAGACCCAGGACTTCAAGTACGATCCGAACTTACAGCGAACTTTGACCCGAGATCCGCACTTAAGACGACTGTTCGAGCCCCAGCGACTGCTCCAAGTCTTCATCGTCCAATAGAGTCATCGAGAGGCCTCTTGGGGCGTCGAGGAGGCTCTGAAGAGTCGGTGGTTACTTGGGAAGATCCAAAACGGACGCGTTTATACTAGATATTTGTATTGAACCATAGGAAAGAGAAGATAGAACAGATAAGTCCTTTGGGCAACAAGAACAGAACAGCTTTTACTCCCAACCACTCAAGGAAGACGTCCGGGCTATCGGTGAGTTCCCGTAGCAATTGGATAAACCTGTTGGTAGGATTATGACTGTCGGTGGACGCGCCTGCTAGTATCGTAGCGTGCGTTTACCCGTGGTCAGGCCAAGAGTAGTGAAGAAGTGGCCGTGTATACGAAGGGCGAGTCATCGCCGAGTAGTGGAGGAGCGAGAGCGCACTCCATTTATCCTTCCCGCCCGAGTATAGCTCCGTCACCCTCGTATCAAGCTGTGACTGGCTGGGACCCTTCCTTCCTGAGGGCCTGCGAGGTTTATATTGTGTGTGAGAGCGTGCCAGCCTTTTCTCGTGGCTGGTGACGCTGGGTTTCCGTCAGTTGACTAAGCGGAAACACGGTGCACAGAGGAAACATCAACCCGGTGCAAGGGAAAGTTCCTGGGCCTTCAGGTTCTAACCCTATCAAGCCCATTGAGTCATCGGGACTTGGTGGGTGTTGTTGGTGGGGAAAGTGTGCTAATATATATTTTAGTGCGTGTTCCTACAAGACAACTGGTGCCACGACCCGAGATTGGTGTGACCTTCTGTGGCTCGTGTTACAGCAGGTCAACTGACTTTACGAGCAACAACCAAGAAGACGAAGAAGAAGATGAAGATGGCGACAGGATCTCAATCCGCGGTACCAGCAACTCCGATGAAGTCCGGCGGAACGCGCGGCGACGACTCGACGGCGGTCTTGATCACACCGCAGCCCGACCCGATTGCTGAGAGCAACGTCAGCTTGACGAGCCGATGACTGGATCCGACGCCAAGGATGAAGAGATGGATGAAGAATACGACGACTACCTGGAGGAGAAGGCGCCTGCGCCAGCGGTGGTGACACCCGAGACTCCGGAAGATGCAGTGATGTCCGCCGTGCGCAGCGGAGGCTCGCGCTCTCTGACGCGAAGTCTTGCGAGCGAGGTGGAAGACGATGCGCCTCCCGTCACGCGCAACCTCGCGGACGAACCGGATGATATGAACAGCCCCAAACGTGCCGACTATGGCCCGGGTGCATTTGAAGACAGCGGCAAGGAGGAATTACGTGTACGTGCCCCGAAGACCCCACGTGACGGTGGCACCGATGACTCAGCGGATCCGGAGACGACGAGTGACGTTTCCGATGGCTTGCCAGTGGGCAATGATCCGGAACCAGGCCCCTTGGGACCGGGCAGAAGCAGTCAAGTCGCTCCCGACGACTCGCCAGTGTGACGAGGCGATGCGGTGTTTTCTCCCAGAAAACAGTTGTAGGCCCTCCTTGACAGACCTCAGGCTACTAGAGCTTTGGATCCGTCTCGGCTGGCACAGGGTGGGTATTGTCCAGTACACGTTGTTGGTCAGGTGCACGATGTGTATCCCTTGGGTAGCGGTTCTTTTCACCAGGAGGTTAGTATCGACCCCGTGAACCAGACAGCTACGCCGGGCTAACGCTGGAACAATCCAACCCGAATAGAGTTATACACGTTATACAATCACACAAATACTTCTTTGCCCTCTCTTCTTTCTCTAGGCCCAAGGCTAAGGCCAAAATACAAGTCAACTGGTCCAAATCCAAGACACTTGATCAATCTTGGGGACGCGCACCACCTCTCGGAGAGAGGAAACGATCTACCCTGTCACCAACTTCTTCAGTTCGACACAGGCCCAATAGACCGCAAATATACAACAAAGACGGTCTGCAATCCGCCAAATCTACAGATATGGAATAGATATGATCACCTCCAGGCCGAAGCAGTAAATCGCTTACCTAAAGTACTTTGAATTTTGTCGTGGAGAACGGCCTTCCAGGCTGTGAAAGAAGCACTTGTGCCCTTCGAAGCAAAACGAACTCTGTTTGGTTAAAGGTCACATGCAGACGAAATCTTTCCTAAGCGACCCTTCGGAGACTGCGATCTTTCTGCGGAGTGTTGGTCTGGGCTTGAAGGGTCGCCAAACTGGATACCTTCTCGGAGTTGTTGGGTACACCTAGGATCTTGGAAGATGCCATAGTGAAACCAAGTGTTCTTGGGTTTGGAGCCTCGAAACGCCTCAAGCCGAGGTCGTTCTTGGAATTTTGTGGGAGGTAAGTCTGGGAACGCGAAGTCTGGGAATCGTTATTCCGGGAAAACAACGGGGAATCTGAGAAGTGCCTCAGCTCCCAGGTTGTAAGCCAGAGTCGAGTTCCGCCGTACTTAGATATACTGGGGAGGATCGCTCGCATTCCGTTGCACTTCATGGAACGGGATCAACTCGCCCACATTGATCTATCTTCCGGGATTCTGCGTCCATTCGCAGACATTACCCTTGTTTTTATAGGAGACTCCAAATCATCCAGTATCACCAAGCTCCACATCATTGGGACTTCCCAGGTTCAGGTGCATTCACCCGAATATAGGGATCGACACCGCGTCACACCAGCCGATCCATAAGTGGCCGACATTGACCCTGATCAACCCTCGATAACTCGGTTTCCGACTGCAGTGACAGAGCGTGACGCGGATTTGAAACCACATTGTGACCAGACCAACGGAGCGCCGACAACTCATCTGGTTCCTAGTTGCGATGCGCACGCTCCACTCGCTGCGTCGGAGCATACCTTCATGTCGGTGATGAGCGTAATGGATGTGGGCAAGAATGGGGCAGCAAGCAGCAACGCGTGGTCACCGATTGTGTGTTCCCCGACGACTCGTGTGGCAACAAACCTCTCGTACGCACGGCTCCCGAAGACTCATACGGGTTTCGTGATCTCTTTCGCGGCTTTGGCTAACCCTGAGGAGTACGGAGGAGACAGCAGTTGCTCATGGATCGTGTGGCGCCTACCAGAGTGGAAGATAGTGACTGCCGCGAACGCTCACCTTGTCAATACGGCGGTCGACTCCGCAGAGTGCACGGGTTTGAGAAACGGGGTGCTCGCGGCATTGGAACATGGCGCCGAGGATTTGGTCATTGCTGGAGACTTCAGGCTCAAGATCCGCGAATCACTGGGGATTCGCTCATGCGGTGCGGACCTGTTGATGAGTCCGATACGGAGTAGCGAGAAGGTCGCAGCACGGATGCAGTCTGCTAAGTATCTCCATGTGACACGAGACTACAACGCTGCTGCGAACTCACTGGCGTCTGAAGCATAGGAATCTCAGACGTCGAAGGTGATTTTGAGTGGCGACAGGAAGGCCGAGCTCTCTGAACTCAATCGACTCCAAGCTACGATCTACGAAACCGATCCGGGCGAGATATCGCCGCCGATCGTGCTTCCCGGTGATTCTTTTCGGTTCCAAGATCTCCCCAGCAGTAGTCCAAGGAGCATTGAGCCTACCATGGCCGCGCCGATGACTCGGTCACAAACCAAGCTCAAGACGAAGCCACCGATCCGGACCGACAAGACAATGGAACCACTGCCGACGACAGGTGAATGCGAGTTTTGTGCAAACAGTGCAGGTTATCCAGAGAACGGACAGACCAACAGCACACCGAGATCTCGCGTCGACTGGGTCAGTCGTATCTGGCCGTACATGGAGCGGGGCAAAGAGGCTGATGGAATCGAGGTCTCTGTGTACCAACCTCTGCGGCCTACAGGCACCAATGCTGCACGTGGACTTTGCTGGAAGAGTGTCGTGGTCGTGCGCAACGCCTAGCCCCAGCCCGCGACAACTCAACCTCACGGTGAACTGCGCCTGGGGCAATGCAGCCCAGGAGTGCAGACGAAAATGGCTACTGCAGCTTTGCATGCTACATGGAGATTGAACGCGAATGATATGGATGGAGAATCCCGATTGGAACAAACTACAACGGGCCCCTACAACTCAAGGGCAGTGCTGGCGAAGACTTGGTGTGCTTGGAGCTCGGAAGTGCGCTGACAACTGCCGATTACTCGAAGCGCCTGAAGCATGATCTACGCTGGGGCAGACGCGCTACGGCAAGATGGTGGCTGAGAAGTTTTTCTGAGGACCGGATCGACCGCAGGAACTTGCTGAAGCCTGTGCGCAAAATGCTACCGCAGTCTACGGCCTCACCAAGCTCGTCCAGGTCATCACACATCATGATGCTGATGTGGTGTAGTGCCCAGCGAGGAAGCGGGCACGTCGGCGTCGGTGAAAGAAGGCGCCGAGACGAATGCTGATGGATGCGGATGATGAACTCGACGCAGTTGATGAAACGCGACGCGATTGATGGGGGCGACGCGCGGCAGAGGTCGACGGAAAGTCGACGCGGGTGATGGGCCGCGAGACACAGGACAGAGTCCAACTCGACGCGTAATCATCCGACGAGTCGACCAGCGCCCCGTCTCTGCAAAACGCGTCGACCCTCATCCCCGCCGAGCAAAACCCGCCGAGCAAGACGCGCCGAGTAAGACGCGCCGAGCAAAACGCGCCGACCAAAACGCGTCGAGGTAAGATCTTGATTACGCCACGCAAATCAGGTTGAAGGACGGCAGTGCAAGCACGACAGAAGTAGGGATAGGCACAGAACGATAGGCTTAGCAAGCAGTAGTACGGAGTAGCCAGTAGCTAGGGCATAGGATAGGGTAAGGACTCAGTCCCGAAATTTCTCTGAACCACAAAGACCTCCCGTCTTCTCCGAGGTTCCAGGGGAACCACCAAGCGCCGGCAAGTAGAGCCGCCTCGATATCGCGACCCCCCGTCGTTTGCTGGTTCGGGTGCTCACCCCCAACAGACCCGTGCTGGAACAAAGGCACGTTAAACGTATACCGTTTAGGTGGGCCCCCGATAACGCGCTGCCTAGGCAAAGGACCGCACTGGCCTGATAACCGCCGTGCACAAGACCCCCAATGTAGGCCCGATAACGCCACACAAGCCCCAGGAAACGCCAACTCGATAACGCCGCACGCCCGACGGGAACGCCGGCCCGATAACGCCGCACGCCCAAGGCTCGACGCCCTACGACAAGGAACAAGCGTCAACACAAGAATCCCCCCCAACTCCGAAGCCTGCGAGGACTTGGGCCTGTATTTCGAAGATACGCTACCCCAACAACCGGGAATAATTTGCTCGGCGCGACCGCTATCCAGACGCGCCGAGTTTGTGCGAGATCGCATTCGCGAGATCTCTGCGAGGGCGCTACTCCACACTGATCATCGTATGGTTCCCGAGAACCGGTGGTTGTACAGAATCAAGCCGGGCGGTCATGGAGTGTCGTGCCGTTGTCTACGAAGCAGAGTCTAACGAAAGCGATGATGCCACCGCTGCTCAACCCAACAAAGGTCGTCGAACGGCGGCAAAGGCGGACAAGATGTCGGCACTATACCGGACGAGGTCGAACACAATATGCGGCGGTCGCCAACCCGGTCCCGACGGCTCGGTGCGAACCCGAGTTATGGAACCAGGTAAGCCCACAGCAGCGAGCCACCGGCGGGACATTACGACAACGCAGACGCCTACCAAGCACGCAACCAGGGCAAACAGCACCAGACGTCGTTAACAGCGAAAAGAAGCAGAAGCAGAACGCACCACGACGCTCGCCATCATGTGGTTCACATAGTGGTCGCGGCAGCTGTGGTGTAGTGATTTGGCGGTAAACGAGAATCGAGCTGACGACCAAGCTTCAGTGGCGACCCGAGTCGTCGGGACATGTTCAGCAATGTTCGGCGGATGCTGATTGGCTATTCTGGACCGGTGCCGAAGACTCGTCAACACCCAAGTTCGAGACCCAGGACTTCAAGTACGATCCGAACTTACAGCGAACTTTGACCCGAGATCCGCACTTAAGACGACTGTTCGAGCCCCAGCGACTGCTCCAAGTCTTCATCGTCCAATAGAGTCATCGAGAGGCCTCTTGGGGCGTCGAGGAGGCTCTGAAGAGTCGGTGGTTACTTGGGAAGATCCAAAACGGACGCGTTTATACTAGATATTTGTATTGAACCATAGGAAAGAGAAGATAGAACAGATAAGTCCTTTGGGCAACAAGAACAGAACAGCTTTTACTCCCAACCACTCAAGGAAGACGTCCGGGCTATCGGTGAGTTCCCGTAGCAATTGGATAAACCTGTTGGTAGGATTATGACTGTCGGTGGACGCGCCTGCTAGTATCGTAGCGTGCGTTTACCCGTGGTCAGGCCAAGAGTAGTGAAGAAGTGGCCGTGTATACGAAGGGCGAGTCATCGCCGAGTAGTGGAGGAGCGAGAGCGCACTCCATTTATCCTTCCCGCCCGAGTATAGCTCCGTCACCCTCGTATCAAGCTGTGACTGGCTGGGACCCTTCCTTCCTGAGGGCCTGCGAGGTTTATATTGTGTGTGAGAGCGTGCCAGCCTTTTCTCGTGGCTGGTGACGCTGGGTTTCCGTCAGTTGACTAAGCGGAAACACGGTGCACAGAGGAAACATCAACCCGGTGCAAGGGAAAGTTCCTGGGCCTTCAGGTTCTAACCCTATCAAGCCCATTGAGTCATCGGGACTTGGTGGGTGTTGTTGGTGGGGAAAGTGTGCTAATATATATTTTAGTGCGTGTTCCTACACGACATGGGGTTGTAGCCATTCCCACACAGGGCAAACTGGCCCTGTGTGGGAGAACGCCAGAGACCCCTGCTTTATGATTGAATGACGCTGCCACTGTGTTATCAGTCAAATGAAGCTTTAACCAGCAACGAAGAACGGAGCTAAGGAGGTGTATCCGCACCTGTATCTCAATCTGGATGAAGAGGAATATGGGGGAAATTGGTGATTTTCAATTGAAATCGGTCAGCCATGAACACAATCAGCAATAATTGCATTCTGTACGTGCATCCGTTGTATTTGGCAAAGGCATTCATGAGTTGTGCGTGCGCCTTGATGCGTCAACGAGCACCTGTATCGAGGCTTGCAAAGTCGACGCTAGTGCATTAGCAGCGATGCATACGGGCTCGTCGTACATAATAGAAGTGACGATGACGACTAGCCAAGGCGAACCCGTGCATGTGTATCGGACCTAAAGAAACGGATGCTGCATCAGTGATGCATATCCGAACGAACAACAACTTATGTAGTAAGGTAAGCACCTTATATATGCGTTGGGGTGGATACATCAGAGTGAGTATGACAGTGGGCGATGTCTGGTTTAAACCTAGTAAAATCAGTTTAAACCTACCCCCAAACCCAGAACCTAATTCATATTTTGAAAATCAACAGGGTTTTCCAGCTCTGTCCACTGCATAGACGTTTTGTGCGAGCCGGGTGAGTCATGGGCGACGCCCATCAATCGAGCCCAATTTCAACAAGTTCCCGCACGTGCGGCGCGCCTAAGGTTTCTCCTATATATATTTAGCAATCGTGTTGAAGAAAGAAAAAAAAACACACAGTAAAGGCTGGTTACTTGGCGGAAACCGGATAGCGCTTAGGTTAAAGCCACAACCCGATGGTACTTTCATTGGCGCACAACGGTTGGCAGGAGGAGGCCCGCATACCGTTTTTTAGGGTCAAATTTGGGGTCCGTGGAAATCCCAAGTGGTGGAAACTCCGGAGCTCAAGAGAACAAGATTAGCTTCAGCATTTCAAGCCAAATATCTCCAACTTGAGAGTCAATCCTTCCAATCACGAGACAACGAGAGGCAAACAAGTGCTTCCAACCATGCCTTACCTCACTCCGAATTTCCCAGCTTCCCACAAGCACCACGTCGACAGACCTGCCTAATCACTCAAGCGGCAAGCGGACGCCATGAAGACACTCGGGCGCCATTGTGTGTTGGCGGCGATATTGGCGTCCGTCTATGCCGATGACAACGCTTTCCTCGACTTTGATGATTCCGAATGCGCTGACCCGGCCTCCGTGTCCATATACAATCCTCCATATAATCAGTCGTGCACGGCTGCTGAGTGTTCTGCCAAAGATGGTTCTACCGGACGTATGCACTACAGTCGTCACCTCTGCAACGTCGACTTGTTAGCGCTCGCCTCCGCAACCTTTGGGACTGCCCCTTATCTGGTGGTCCAGTATTACGACGAGAGCTGCACGACCCCAGGCGAGTTCCATGCAATCTCAGCGGACGGGAAATGTCATGTTGTTCTGGGTCAGTACAGCGCCACGGTGACTCTGAATAGCGATGGTTCTGCTGTTCTGACGTGGTACAAACACACTGACTGCACGGTGGGGGGGAGAAAACTACGGTGCCAAAGGACAAGCTTGAAACTCATGACTGCTTCGACAGCTCCAAGTACTACTTCTTCTACGCTGCCACGGCGACGACAACTACCGACATCCCAACTACAACGACTGCTACGCCTACTGCTACCGCCACTTCGGCGGCGAGCCCACTTCTCCTGACATCTTCTCTTCTCGCTGCCTTCCTCGGCGGTCTCGCAGTGATTCTTCTTTGAGCCGGCACAGACAAGCCGTAAGGTTACGTGTGTGGCGGATCGATGGCTTGATGAACAGCAACGTGGACGTCCGACGGACATCTTCGACTGCAACGTGCTCACCCGATGTATTCACAGCGCGTTCCGTAGCCCACACCCAGTAGGTTATTCAGCCCTCAGCTTTTATAGCACAACCAATACATTTTTCCTGCATTTCTCCTCTCTATAAAGCTTCCAACAAATGCTTCACGAAATTCTGGTGCAGCATTGCTCGACAATGAATGGCATTGTGACATACATCTCTTCAACTATTTTCACACGTCACATGGATACACTTGATCACTTTTGACAGGTGCATTTCGCGAAAAACCATGGCGTCGTTCGATGACCTGGCGTTCAGGGGCCCACCGGCCGCAGATGTACGCGGGCGGGCTGCATCCCGCACAGGTTTCCGATGAGCCCGCAACTAACATTTGGTCTTCCCTACCGCCTTGAACTTGCAACCAGCAGACCGTAGCGGCGTCAGCGGCGGAGCTCTTTTGCCGAGACTGCAACGAGGCGCCACAGGCCGCGACGCCGGGTGAGGGGGCAACGCGGACTCTGCACCTTTGGGGTGTTTTAAATAGTCGCTTCTTACAAACGTGCTTGTGCTTGCTGCTGCTGCAGATGGGAAGCGCTGCTTGGTCTGTGGCTGCGAGCTGGGGCGTCGACAAGCAACCAGAGCGACGCAGGTGTGCAAACGCAGTGTGCAAGGCTGCAACCGAACAGAGTTCTTTCTAACCGCTAGGGTGATGATTGCTACTGTAGAACACCCCCGCTGCTCTGTTTGGCGGCTCCGAGAGAAGTGTGCAAGAACTGCAGGCAATGGTGATACGTTTGTTGACGCAGATTGGCGGCGACTGGAACGGAGGGGACACCGGAGCTCGTCGCCCCGCGTCGGATGAGGCTGGTAAGAAAGAGACGCGCTATGTAATTTCGCCTGGCGGTGCTGACCCTGGTGTGGATACTGTTATGGTGATATAGTGAAAAATCTGGGGTCATTCGCGGCAGACCAAGCCTCAACCATTGAGGTGGCAGTTGTGGTGAAGGGCATAAAGGGCGAGGTGGGTATTATAGTATATGCGGCTGTGGTCAAGAGTACCAAAAATCGATAGCTGCTGTTTACTGGGTCCACTTTGTGTGCTCTCCTCCCCACCAGGTGATCGCAATTCCGGGAAACTTTGGCCCTTGCGAATCGCTCAAGGAACGCAAGCTAGTCGTCGCTGATCCATTTGACGGTGCCAAACCCTTTCGAAATGCGAGCGATATGAAAGATAAGGTGCGGGCGCATTGCTCAGGCACGATCGTGCTATATTTTATCTCATAGTTGTTCCACTCAGATTGTCGTGATGGCTCGCGGTGGCTGCACGTTCGCGCGCAAAGTCCTTCGAGCTCAAGACGCGGGCGTTGCCGGTGTCGTCATCATCCAAACGGTCGACGTTTGGCCGTACACGATGACGGACTCTACCGGCGAAAGCAAGGGCGTGACAATCCCGGCGTTCATGATGAGCGCGAAGGTTGGCAACGGGTAAGTTCCGCTCGCCGGCCATAAAGTTCTGCAAGGTTGATATCTGAAATTGTTGGTTTAGCTTTGTGAAGTTCCTCCGAGGCAAGCGCGACGAAGACGTTTCAGCGGACATTGTCGTGCGGAAGGATGCGCGCGAGTGCGTTATTTGCCAGGTCGAAATGTCCATCGGCATGAAGGTCACGCGCATGCCATGTCAGGTAAGATCAGAGTGCTTGGCATCGTTTTCGCCTTACGTACTCTTCACCGGTTCCTCGTCTTCCTTGACGCAGCACATGTTCCACACGGCCTGCCTGCACGAGTGGCTGCAGATCGGCAACTCGTGCCCAATCTGCCGCGTAGAGATCGCCGCCAAGCGCACCGCCCACACCAGCTCGTCAACCTCGCAGAACGCGCAGCAGCGTGGTGACTTTGCGTGGAGCGAGTGGTTCTCTTGAATCTGAACATATGCAAAGTTGAAGTGGTCGAGGTTGCACAATTAATGTTGATTGCATTCTCGTTCCCAATAATTTCAATTCAACCATGGCGCTAGTGCCACAAATTGTACTCGAATCACCACCGACCATGATAATTGGCTGAAAGGCAACCATTGACACATTAGTGCGCCTCTGGACAGCAGCCATGTCGACCGAGTTCTTCGCCTCGAGCGCCACGTCCACGGGCCCAGCCTTCTGCCCGCACTGCGGCACCATCCTGGACCACCCGGACACCAACAGCATTGTGTGCTCCGCCTGCGAGTACCGCTGCCGCTACCAGGGTGCGTCTCTTGCGTCCTCTCTAGAGTGTTGACACATTTCCTCCCTCCTCTAACTCAATATTTCTGTCGCTCGCAGACCTGCCGTCGCTGACTGTGGTGACCCGCAGCGAGGATAAGCCCGCGCCCAAGTGGCTGGACGCCGAGAAGGTCATGAGCGAGGTGACGGGCCCGGCCCGCGCAACGGTGGAGGAGCCGTGCCCCAAGTGCGGCAACCCGGAGATGGACTACTACACGCTGCAGCTCCGCTCGGCCGATGAAGGCCAGACGGTTTTCTACGAGTGTAAGAAGTGTGGCCACAAGTTCTCGGTCAACAACTAAGCAGCAGCAGAATCGATGGCTGCCCCCGCACCATATAGATATATCGATACATGTACGTTCACGGAGTTGTTTGTATGTGTTTTTGTTGTTGTTGGTTTGTGTTACTGGTGATGGTTGAGGTCGTGGGGGAAAGAATCATTTTACTGCATGGTGAAGCCGGTGATCTCCATGTTGATGACGAGGGTGAGGTACGTGACGAGCTCTTCGTAGGAGCGGTAGACAGGCAGGTCGAGGCGGTTGAAGCACGTGTGAGCTTTCGGGTAGAGTCCTGTGGGCGGAGCGCCGATGGGCACCAACTGGAGACCGAAGCGTCGAATGCGGCCGTCGTGACTCAACAACGCTCGGAAACCTTCGGCTGGCACGCGAGAGGTGCCGGTGACGAACTGCAGCAGACGCGCGCGTTCCTCTTGCGAGAACGCGCGGACTGCCTCCCAGAACCACTGTACGACTTGCTGCTCGTTGTTGGTGGCTTTGTTGAAACCTTGTTCGGCGCGGGTGTAGCGGATGTCGGTGTGTGACTCCCAGTCAGTGACGTCGATTGATGGCACGCCGCACAAGAGCAGCTCCAGCTCTTGGTAGTCGAAGACAGCGAGAAGTGTGCGTGGTAACACATCGTACAGACCCTGGAGCAGCGCGTCGAGTTGTTCGCCTATCCCGGCAAACATTTTGTGCTTGAGCAGTAGCGTCAAGTATTCTTCCTTGTTGGCGTCCGTCACGGAGATATCCTTGCCACCCGGCTTTAGTTCGTCAGTGACAACCGTGCCATCACTCTTTTGGCGCTGGATAGTAAAATCGAGCGCGAGAGCTTCAGCGCCATCGTTGTCGCGCAGCCAGAGAGCGTGCCGATGGAGTTCAGCATCCAGGAATTCGAGGTCGGAGAATGAAATTGGTACTCCAAGCAGGTGCTTGAGAAGGGGGAGAGCTAGATGCACCGTCATGAGTTGCCCCTCAAGAAGACACTTCGCAAGCAGCCGACCGACGAACTGGAAGCAGTGGAGATGGTCTCTGTGGATTTCCCGCGAGTTCGGGTTCAACCAGTAGCCGGATTGATCCGCGTGCGTTCGCTGGAAGAGCCCGTAGCTCTCATCGAAAAGCTGCTCACACAAGAGTAAAACCCATTCGCGCAGCAAACCGCCTGCATCCAGCCCCGGTTCATCAATAAACTCGATTCGCAAGCGCTGCCGCAGATCAGCTGCTGGGACGAGCATGAGCAAGTGCATGGATTCGCCCAACACCGCCTCGCGACGGATTTTCAGGAGCAGATGACCCTCATCCCATGGAACAGCTATCTTGCCCAGCTCTTTGAGGAACCATCGCACTTTCAACTTGAACGGCAGAGCAGCAACTGACTCGAAGTCAATGTAGCTGGTGGCTCGAGGGAACTCCTCGACGTCGATTGAAGTAACTGCGTCGTGCTCGTGCACGAGCGAGTCTGCTGGAACCCATTCAGCTTGGCCTTGTTCGTTGATATGGCGCACGTAGCCAACTGACGGCTGCGCTATCAGTGCATCATCAGAGCTTACCGCTGAAGCTGAGAGACCGTCGCAACTCGCTGGGCTTCGATAGCCACGGACATTTTTGCGGATGGCAGCGGAGTAGGTTCCATCAGCATCAGGGGACTCGACCATCGTTAGCTCCGTTTCGACCCCAATATCTTCTCTATTGGTGTGACTGTTCAGGGCAGTCGAGAGCGGGCTAGTGGAGCCGTGTGAATGCTCGTCGGGACTGTACGCGTAGACAGGAGGTGCTGATAATCGCTCGGCCTGTGGAGTACTTGGCAAAAGGGAAACGGCAGCGGCAGGCAAGCTGGCACGGATGTTCAGGGCAAGTTGGCTGAGGCGAGATGGCTGGCAGTGGCCTACGCGCACCCAGCGGAACTGGCCGTCGAGAGTTCTCTCGCGTTGCCACAAGTGACGCCGCCGAGCACCTCGCTGCCGCTGGTTCAGGTTCATTTCATTCAGCCGACGGACATGAAAAGACCGGCTTCGAGCGGCCAGCGCTGCCTGAGCCTCGGCCGACTCGCTCGTTAGGAGCTGGAACGACTTTCTCGCTTGCTTCGCGCTCGGAGCTGCTACTCCTTGCGAGATAACTACGGCAATAGACGCACGGTGAGTAATAGAGTTGTATACAGACCACCTACCGTTCCTCGTAAGAGCTGTCTGTACCTTCTGGAGTTCCGCACATGAGGCACTCTCTCTTGGCCGGATGGTTCTCGTGGTAGCAAACGGAGCACTGCCACTCGGCCTGTCCGTCCTGGACGACGCTGTCATCGAGCAAGTGGCGCTGCATGTTGTTGTTGAGGTTGTCCTCCTGCTCAAAGCGCTCGAGGCGGCGCTGGTGCACGCAGTAGAGCATCATGGAGCCCCCCGCCAGCGCCACCACGACGCCCAGGAACACGTACATGTAGAACTCGATGGCTGCACGCACGACTGAGTCAGATGACAGCGACTCGAAGACCCCTCCCCTCCTCGCACAGCACTCACTCTGGCGCTGATGAGCCGACAAGTCCCCCATGCTCACGTGGCCCGCACTCCCGTCAAACGACGCCGAACTCGCGTTGATCGCAGGCAGCGACAGCGCCGCCCCGATGCCCTGCGCCATTCGCTCCCAAGCCAGAAAGCGGGGAACTGCAGAAGCTGTCACCACACGGTCCCCAGTCGTTTCTGCCAACGTTGCGGGCGGGTGTTCTCACTCCAAGTCGCACGTTGCACCAGTGCCGTTAGCAACAACTTCAACATGCAGTGACCATCACTCCTGCAGCGACCATCACGTCTGTCTCGAAATGACCGCTCCATTTGGCTGATTCTGCGGGGCGTTGGACGCTAGACAACCAGCATCGAGCATGGCGGACGCGCAGCCGCCGCCTTCGCCGCCCCCTTCGCCGTCCTCGCCGCCCCCTCCGCCGCCCGCGCACGCGTCGCCTTCTTCGCAGGCGTCTTCCACACCCACCAACCCGAAGAAACCCACCAGAAGCACCCCCAAGGCGCGCAGAACGGCGCGCACGCCGCCCGTCCTCTCGCTGGCCACGCCGGACGTCGCCTCCAAGAGCAAGAGCGGCCAGAGCAGCAGCAGCTTCTCGTCGCCCCTGCCTCCCTGCCCCGAGGACCCGCCGGCGCCGCCTCCGCCCTCCTGCACGCCGCCCAAGTACCGCCCCCTGGAGGAGAACGAGAACACGGAGGACGAACAGGACGACGCACGCAGCGGAGAGAGCGCGGACGAGCCCACAGAGCCGCAGAGCTTCCCCACGCCGCCGCCTCCTCCTTCTCCGCCTGTGGCGTCTCCTCTAGGCACTCCTCCGCCGCCTCCTCCTCCCCCGTACTCGCCTCCCAGCGCCAAGATCGCTGTGGACTTGTCTGGGGCCTTGGAAAGCGCCGTGAAGGCCACAGAGGACGAGGCAGAGGCGCCGCCACCTCCACCCGAGACGCCCAAGCAGAGAGACGAGAGCGGCGGAGAAGAAGGAGACGACGAGCGGGAGGAGAATGCCGCGTCGGCGGAGCTGCTGGGCTTGGCCGATGCCTCCTCTTCGTCGGTGATCGCATCAATGCGGAGTGCTGTGAGAGAGAGGGAGATCATGGCTGCAGATACGGTGAAGAAACCGCCCGCTAAGAAGCCCAGGTTCTATGTTGGAGATATTGACAATTACAGCATCATCGACAAGGTCGGGTCGGGAACGTATGGGTAAGTGGATCTTTTTAGTGTGGGTGGATTGAGTTACAAAGTGAAGTGTGGGTCTTGGGTGGGGGCTCACTGGGAGTATGTGAATGGTGCAGTGAGGTGTTTAAGTGCCAACATAAGGTCACGAAGGATATTGTGGCGCTGAAGAAGCTGAGGCCGGACGTGGAGAAGAACGGGGTACGCTAGTAGGAAGCTGCTGGCGGTGGAGCAACGTGAGCTAAGAGTTGTTGTTTTTTGTATGTTTGTGCAGTTTCCTGTGACTTCGATTCGTGAAATGAAGATCCTCAAGTATCTCAAACACCCGAACATTGTGGAGCTCAAGGAGATTGTGTCTTCCAGCGGTATGCTCCCTACTCTGCTCATGCTTTTCTTTAAAGTGACAGCATATCTCAAACGTGTCATATTTTCTGTATTCCATGCGGTGCAGCTCCTCCTAAAGAAGGCAAAAGACCGCCTCTATACTTTGCGTTCGAGTACATGGAGCACGATCTGTCGGGTTTGTTGAACCACCCGCGTGTCAAGTTTACTCGCACGCAGATCCAATGTTATATGCGACAGCTGCTGACTGGCATTGCATTCATGCATCGCAACAAAATCATCCACCGCGACATCAAGGCATCGAATTTGCTGTTGAATAACCAGGGCATGCTGAAGGTGGGCGATTTCGGTCTCTCGCGGTTTTGGAATGAAGTTAACGCCAAGGCCGGGAGATACACAAACAAGGTTGTCACGCTGTGGTACCGACCACCGGAGCTTCTGATGGGCTCAACATCGTACGATTTTTCGGTCGATATCTGGTCGATTGGTTGCATCTTCGGCGAGTTGCTGCTGGGGAAACCGATTCTACAAGGAAAGACGGAGATCGAGCAGGTACGAGTTGTTGCACAGTGACTTCATCGTTTCTCAAGATGATACTCATTGTTGCTTGGCAATGCGGTGTAGCTTCAATTGATATTCGGACTCTGTGGCATGCCAACGGAGGAATCCTGGCCCGGATTCTTCAAATTGCCTGGTGCTGAAAGCTTCCAGATGGACGATAAATATGTGTGTCCCTTGCGTGAGCGGTTCAAAAAGTAAGTGTGCTACTGGATCATTAAACCGCATTGTATTGAAGGTCTGACGGTTGTTGTTTTCGTGTAGCTTCCCGCCGCACGCAATCGACTTGCTGGAAAAGCTATTGCAGCTGGACCCTGCGAAGCGAATCACAGCCGCGGAAGCTATGGACCACGACTACTTCTGGCGCGTTCAAACATGCAAACCACGAGAGTGAGTAGACTGACTTTAGTATCCTGCTCTGTTGATGGTTACTAACATACTGACTGTTGATACCAAAGCTTGCCAAAGTTCTGCGTGTCGTCTACTCATGAATACCAGTCGAAGAAGCGTCATCATGAAGAGATGGCTGCAGCAGCTGCAGCCAATGGAGGCAGCACAAAGGGTGGCGACCAACATCGCAATGCGCGCCAGCGAGGCGAGCGCAGCGGGTACCGCGAGCGTAGTGACCACTACCGCAGCGGTGCGCACCACCACAGTCGATCCGACAGAAGCAGGCCATACCGCCCTCACCGCCCCAACAGCGATTACTACGATCGCGATCGGGACCGAGACCGCAGCCGCAGTAGGAGTCGCGAGCGTCATCGCGACCGAGAGCGTGGCCGCGACCGAGATCGCGAACGTTAATTCAGCATCCAGTCGAAAACAGAAGAGACCAATAGTGATCAGTATCAACGTAGCATTCACACGTTAGTGGAAGCAAACTTGTGTACGGCTTGCTATTCGATCAGATCTCATTTCCCGAATGAAAAACGGTACAAATACGTAAGGTGAGGGGTCACTCACCCAACAGTCAAAGTAGGATAGTATGGATGTCTTCAATCAACTGACTGTATGGTGGTCAATTTCTTTTGTTGTGTCGTCTTCTCTACTTGGTGCTCACATGCCGGCAAGAATTCCTTCCTAAGTTAGAAGGAGACAGTCAACGGTTTCCGGCGTGCAGACAAATCCGATTCCTTCTAACTATCGCTCCACAGCAGCCCTGTTGAACCGGTGTGCAGCCTACCTTTCAGACAGGGGTAGAACTGGGGAAAAAGTTGGCGCGAAACTATAGGCGTCAACTCGAGGAAGGAAGGTCCTTTCGTTCTGGGCATTGCGAGTTGTCACAATGTTTGCAATACCGGCATGCACTGAACGTCCTGTGAACAGACCGCCGACACACACTCAGCCACTTCGTTGGAGGGGTTCGATCATGAAAGCGAATTGAATTCTAGTAGTGCCTCCATGGACTCTGACATCTGATCGGATTTGTGAGGGAAAATGGTTGTCTGGTGATGATTACACGTAAAAATCCACCGCAAGTACAGTGTATTACGTTGGATTCAACGCACGTTGAGCTGAGCCGCGCCACAGGTCAAATCACTCGGCGATTCTCGCTCCTGAACATCAGTGCCGGTGGCAGGAAATGCTAGCGAAGGCAGGAGCGCGCGAGTGACCCCATACACAATGCGCCAAGGAAGGCTGCGCAAGCGGTCGAACCACGAGCTGGAGTACTTGCGGCAGCAGGTGATCGACCTCGAGGAAGAGCTGGAAGTGCTGCGTCAACCGGATGAAGAAACGTCCCAAGGACTGAAGCTTAGTGCCGGAGAAACGTGGAAATGCATCGCCACTAAGCAGAGAGGACAAGCCAATGCCGCGCTGGTGGAGAATCTCAAGCTTCGGGCATGCTGGAGGGACAGATACGCGTGGCGCGAACACTGGAAGCTGCAATTGACCAGCATGTGATGAAACGTTGTCGGCAAATGCTTTGGTCCAGCCAGGAAATGGGACGGCCGCGCGCCTCGAACTTGTCGGACGAGTTGATCTGCGCTCTGCTTGACTACTACTTAGAAGAGTACTACGGACGCACTGACGAGGTCTTGGAGAACGTCAAACCTCCACGAATGGCCTACAAAGTGAACCCCAAGATTCAGGTTTGAGCATGACTCAAGGGGTGCTTCATTCTCCCACAGCGACGCACGCTTGCTACCATTTGCAATGAGAGATGTGGCCCAGGCTATTCAAAACTGCCTGAGCCACGGGGCGGCCGGTCGTCCGAGGAACGCTGCCGTAAACTGTTGAAGAGCGATGGATACTTGCAAGCTACCACCGTAGACAAGCTGAACTTGCCAAACGCGGGTCGGGTCAAGGTGAAGACACGACTTGTCCAGCGTCGATTCATCGAGGCTAACCGAGTTGTGCTCGTCTGGGGGTCCTACGTTGAGATCGAAGGCTCCGCGTTTGTTCGGCTGGAAGAGAAGGGCTGGGTCGCCATCGAGCCGTACGAGTTTAACAAGAGCGAAAAAGCTGGATCTTCGAAGCGCAGCAGTGTACCTGGTAGCAGTTTGCGGTCTGTGATTCGCGCATGACTCCAATCGCAACGGAATTCGGCTCAGAGGAAGAGGAGAAGCAGCACATTGGAGAGATGACAGACCTCGTTGTCGGCACTTACCATTGGAACCTCGGATCGCTCTCTCAAGTGCTAGAAAACCTCCTCATGGACGGAAACACGCTGTAAATTTGGCTGCAGCATTTTGTTCGATCCACTGCGTGAGCTGACCTGCCGTTCGAGCAAGCTTCCTTGCCCGATCTCTCTCGAACTTTTCAGACTGTTGACGAAGGAAAAACTCAGCTTGACCTCCTTGTCTTCGTGTTGCAGCAGGCCCTAGTGGTTGACTACGTTCTCGTTCTAGCATGTAAATAAAAGTCAGTCCCTTTGAGTGGATATGCCCTCGCATTGCATGGCTGCGAACAGCAAAGACCGCAACAACTCAGATTACGGTAATTTTCACCGTCATCTTCAGCGCCACACAATATTGTGTACCAATCGTCATTGACGGTGCCCCTCATTCGTCAATCCGCGCGCAATGCAGGCCGTGCGCAACTTCCTGTCTCGCGAGCTGCTCGCAGCATGCTTCTTCGTGATGCTGCTGTCCTCGGCCCTGGACCAGTACCCGGGCGAGGTGGAGCCGCAGCCGCTGGACTTCGCCTACGAGCTGCGCACCAGCCAGCAGGAGGCGCGCTACAATGAGACCAAGTCATTAGTCAGCAACACGGCGCTGTTCGAGGACCCGCAGGCCGAGACGCTCTTCCTCAACAAGGCCCTGAGCGCCGAGGACCTGGCTGTGAGCAAGGACGGAGTGGCCTACGTGGGTCTGGCCGACGGACGCCTCGCCAGCTTCACACCGGCGGCCGACGAGCTCCGCAACTTCTCGAGAACCGGACGCGAAGACCCCGAGTGCGGCACGCTGCCAATGGAGCCGACGTGCGGACGTCCGCTGGGCCTCGTGTTCGCTGCTGCCAAGCCGTTCGCCAAGTTCCTCAAGAGAATCCCGGATGCCAAGACGTTCGCTGGCGACCAGGTGCTGCTCGTGGCGGACGCGTACAAGGGCGTGCTGCTGTTCGACGCCAACGGCAAGCGCACGCTGCTGTTCAGCCGTGTCGGGCAGGAGCACGTCAACTTCCTCAACGGTATCGCGGTGGTGCAGGAGACGGGAGAAGTCTACGTGACGGAGTCTTCACGTCGCTTCCAGCGCAACCGAGTGGTGATGGAGTTCCTGGAGCGCATGCCGACGGGCTACTTGCTACGTTTCGACCCGAGGAGCGAGAGGATGTCGATTGAGGCCAGCGGTCTCGGATTCCCCAACGGCTTGACGCTGGATAAGGACGGTAGCGGCTTGCTGGTTGCTCTCATGTTCCAGAACAAGATCGTGCGCTTCGACTTTAAGACCAAGAGCATCAAGGACTTTGCCTTCCTGCCCGGCGAGCCTGACAACATCTCGATTGAGAAGGTCGGAGCTGATGACAATGAGACGGAGGTGCTGATGGTGGGGCTGGTCTCCCGTAACGACGGAGGAATCTTCAGCCGCATCAAGGAGAGCGCCAAGGTGCGCAAGCTTCTGTCGCTGCTGCCGACGTGGATGACGGTGATCTTCGTGCACCGCCTCGGTGTTTTCGCTTCTGTGGACTTGGAGACTGGCGACATCCGCCACGTGTACGAAGCTACGCAAGGCCAGACGCCGATCGTGTCGGGTGCGTCTCGCTTCGGTGATCACATCTACCTGACGAGTTGGGCGCGCCCCTCCATCACGCGCATTCCGGCGGCATTGGTGCAGTAAGGACCCGACTGATCCTTGTATTGTACTGTAGCTTTGGTGCGTAGGAGGTGAAGGAGGTGAAGCATGCGCTAACGACATCAACAAATACCGTTCTTGCTCACGCTTACGTTTGCCTCGTTTAGTGCTCCTTGCAAAATTCTGCTGGTATGGATGGCCTTTGGCCACAGCAATAGTAGATCATCGAATGACCATAGCAAATTGCTGTTGAGTATCGGAAAGGAACACAACATATCGTGTCTTGTTTGCGTTGGGACAATTCTCCACTTTGGTTTTATTAACTTTCTAAACGACACGCGCACTCGTGACAACAAACGCCACCTCTCTCCTAAATACCGCCGAAGCAAGGATACTGTTGCTCCTCATTCAGCATGGCGCCCATCAAATCGGTAGGGGAGTCCACGCTGCTGGGCCACGGGAGTTTCTGCGCCTTCATTCGCACGTCCTCATCGATCGAGCTTTGCAGCAACTTCACCACTTGCAGTTGACGCGCAACCATCGCTCGAAGCTTTCGGTTCTCCACCAGCGCCGCATACACCTTCGGACTCTGGTTCGCCTCGCAAAGCTTCTGGAGCTTTACACCTGTCGCTGTGGGGCGTCTCCCGGACTGGTTCAATGCAGCTAGCACGCATTGCAGCTCGGCGACTTGAGCCCTCAAGTACTTGAGCTCGTCGTTCGGACGTTTCCGCCAGCGCGTCTTGGACCGAGTGTACGGGAAGGCGCGGCCTCCTCGGTCGCATTCGTCTGTCATCACCGGGCTCGCTGGCTCGGGTTGCTCGAACAGGCTGATGAGGAGTTCGCTATCATCGCCGCTGGATGCGTCCGAGTCGGTGGCCACCATGTAGTCCGGTGTGTGCGTACTGAAGGAATCTTGGATGGTACTCATCTCGAAGCAGTGGATTTCAAACTGAGCAGGCAGATCGTCACCATTTCAGCGGTAGGTGGGCTCCACTGGATGTGTTATATGGATACAGATGCCCGCCCAAGCTTGCATTTGGCGCGACCGCCAGGTGGATGTTGGAACGACAACAATTATGGGGATTTTGAAGTAATCAAGAGGTGGTTTAGTCGCGCATATGGCTGAAGTATGCAGGTGTCTTCATGTGGCCCCCGTTCTCTGTCTTGACTAGCGAAGCGATCCTGCGTGTATTGAATGTGCAGGCTCGATAGCGTGACATCCGTACGGCGTATAGAGGCCAGGGCTTGCTATTAAAACCCACAGATGTACGCACATCTTGCCATACGATAGGCGAGGTTTGCGGACACCAACTGGTGCCCGCAAGCGCCGACAGCACGCTTTCAGTGCTTGTTTGAAAGGGTTTGTTGCAGACATCTTGGAGTTCTTATGACATAGAGTACATGGCCCAAGTCTGAAAAAAAAACTCGGTCTTCAACATCATCACGACACACGACGCACTATTTCGGTGATTGCATTCGTCCAAACTTTAACCGGCAAGTATTTTCCTTCAGCCAGCAAAATTTTGAGGCACGAACTGCTTAACCCCCACGAATTGTGGGGGGAGCTTAACTTGACACTTTACGTTTACCATGGACGTTTCTGCCTTAGCGACCACTTATGATGGACCGTCCTTCGGGGAAATATGGACAGCCTTATAAGGGAAAGTAGTCCCCCTCGTCACGCTACACACGAACAAATATTGACAACGTAATGGCCCGCTTCACATTTTTTCCTTTAGCTGCTCCAACATGGCTTGGAACGTACGTTGGCCCTTGCGTTGATATGTGCGGACGACAACGTCCGCCATCTCTTCAATATCCTCCGGCTTTTGCATGTCATACTCGGTCTCCACCGGCGTCAAGCGAACAGCGAGACGCATCAAGGTGCCGGGGGACTTTCCTCCCAGTGTGAACATCCCGAGCTTCTCCATGGGAATGGGCTCGAGCGAAATGTACGTCTTCTCCAGCAAGCGGATGAATTTCGAGCCGCTGTACTCGGCGTACCCCGACCACACGACTACGGTGCGTTCGCTCTGGGGGATGCAGAGCTGAAGCACCCTCGACTTGACCTCAGCCGGTTCATTATCGGGCATCTTGAGGTTGTCCATCGTGACGGCGTGGAAGTACTTGCCAAATGACTCAAAATGTCGACAGTGCTTCATCGGCCCCACTCTAACGCCGTGGTTCAAGCAGTTGCGCAGGGAGCGAGCCACGTCCCCAACGGGGAACGGCAGCATGCGCACCTCGTTATGCTGGTAAGACACTTTGTCCCCGTCTCGGTGGAGCAGCAGCCTCGAGTACAGCGGGTAGCAGATCTGGGAGATACCGCACTCTTCCAGAATTCTATCAACGTCCGCGTACTGGTGCTCCTTCTCCTCGTCCAAGAGGGCGAAGATGACATTGTCCGACACGTCTCCTTGACTGGGCCACGACATCTTTTGCGTCCTGAGCCTCTTGTGCTCGTCAATGGCATTCTGTAGCGCGTTCGCCACCTGAAATTGAGTGAGTATCATGGACCGCAGCCTCCGGTTCTCGGCCAGCCCCGCCTTCATCTTCTTGATGTGACTTTCCTCTCGAAGTTTACGCAGCGTTTGCGGGGCCGTTCCTGCGTCCTCCTCACTGCCCAAGAGCTTTGTCCGCCCGTCCGCGCAGTTGAGCTTGGCCAGGAGCTTCTCCAGCTCGGCCACTTGGGTGCGCAGGTACTTGAGCTCGTCGGTCGGCCGCTTGCGCCACCGCGTCTTGGATTTCGTGTAAGGGAACGGCCGGCCGCCTCGGTCGAGTCGGTCATTTGTGGGTGAGCTTGTGCTGTTTGATACTCCAGGCTGGGTGAACAGGTTCATGAGTACTTCATTGTCGCTCTCGTTGCTGGACGCGTCCGAGTCGGTGGAATGCGTAGAGAACGACGGCTTTCGAGGTGCCAGGTCCTCCTCGGGCCCACAGTGAAGCGGGACGTGCGAGAAGCTCATCATCGCAGCTTGCCGTAATCCCGAATGAGCCGGCCGACTGTCAATGCCGCACGGCACAGTCTTCACACGTAGCTGCTGACGGCACGCTGTCTGTTTGGATGGCGGAGCGGTTAGGCCTCGGTCGTTGGCTCGACTTACGTCTGGCTTTCTCGAGCTCTGATAATCGGATTGTGAACTTTTCAAAGTCAGCACCTCTTCACTCACTTCCTGCACCCCTGACTCACTCACGGCGGCATATGATCAACTTGGTGTTACCTACGCATGCATGTTGGTCCTGTAGAACCCCGTTTCGCTGGTGGAGAGGCTTCTCAAGCCTGGCAAACGTAGGAAGGGAAGACCCGAGCTTTTTGGGCTGCAAGTGGAGGTGGCTGAGGCACAGTTCGACCCCCTGCAAAGCCTGCAAGCGAAAGTGGCACGAGGCTTGCGACAGCCACACACGGGGCTTGAAGGCATGGCAATGCCGAGCCAGTCGGTGGCCGAGCCGGCACGCGATGGTACTGTACGTCGGTCTCGAGACGCGACAGGAATTTCGAGGAGCGCATGTACAGCGACACGAACGAGAACGAGAGAGGCGCTCACGCATACATGTAGAATTGGCCGAAGCTTCACGACACGATGAGCCCGCCGAACTTAGCCGTTCAAACTTTGACATGTGAATCAAGGCGCTTTGATGTTTCCGAACACTTCGAAAGCGTGTCAGCAAAGGAAGCGAAACGTTGGTGGTGAATTGAGATGAGATGGGCTTACTTTTGCGTCCCTCGGGGCAAGGAACTGCATGCAGCACGCCGCTCCTCTCGTTTGAGTTTTTGTTTTCACCGTGCACGAGTTTACTTCCGCCGTTGGGCGCGATTTTCGTTACAGGGACCGGCGGTGCTTTTCGTTTCTTTCTTGTCGAGTTGCTTGTTCCGTTTGGGCTAAAACTTCTTCCAGCTTAGAAGGCTCCTTTGTTTGAATACTGGCAAAGGCAACCCAAACCAAACTCTACTAACTTACATCCATTGATGGTAATAGTGAAATACAAGTGTATTAAAAATGCATATTTGTTTCCTCATTTCCTAGACGCTGCGGCTAATGCCGCCAACTGATCCCGCACCGCCAACACAACTCGAACTGAGTCGCGCTTGTAGCCGGCGATAATAATGTCTGCCATATCCTCGACAATTTTCGTATCGAGATCAAGGTCCACTGGCGTATATCGCACCACGGTTCGTAGAATACATCCCTGGGCCTTGCCCGGTTGGGCCATGCAGTTCTTGTCGAAGCTCATGGGCTCGAGCGCGAACCAGAGCCTTTTGAGCAGGCGCACGTGTCTGTTGCCGTCGTCGTACTCGTTAAAGCTGGACCAGTTGATGACAGTGCGGTCGCCCTTGTCCACGGACCAGAGGAAGTGTCGGCCCTTGATCTCAGCCGGGAGGGCGCCAGGCAATTCCACGTTGTCCACCGTCACAGCCTGAGAGAAGCCGTCGTGCACCTCGAACCTACGACAGTGATTCGACGGCCCGACCCTCGAACCGTGCTTGAGACTGTGCCGCAGGGCGCGGGCCACGACCTCCACGGGGAACGGGAGCACGCGGACGTCGTTGTGCTGTATCCACACTCCATTGGCGTCGCGCTTCAGCGCCGGCTCGGAGGAGAAGGGGAAGTAGATGCGCGCCACGCCGCTCTCGTCTAGCATCCGGTCGGTGTCGGCGTACTGCAGCTCCTTCTCCTCGTCCAGCAGGGCGAACACGAGGTCGTCGGACGCGGCCGCGCTGCTGGGCCAGCAAATCTTGCGCGCGCGCAGTCGCACGTGCTCGTCCAGCGCGGTCTGCAGCGCCTTGGCCACCTGGAGCTGACTCGCCACCATGGCGCGGAGCTTGCGGTTCTCCATCATCGCCGCGTTCATCTTGCGCGTGTGACTCTCCTCGCGCAGTCTCTGCAGGGCCTCGGCCTGGTTGTTGTCTCCCTGGTCTTCGTCCCTGTATTTCAGCAGCTTGGAGCGCGTGTTTGAGTGGCTCAGCGCCGCTAAGAGCCCCTCGAGCTCCACCACCTGCATACGCAGGTACTTGAGCTCGTCATTCGGCCGCTTGCGCCACCGCGTCTTGGAGCGCGTGTACGGGAACGGTCGACCGCCTCGGTCGGACAGGTCCGTGGTGGTCGGGGATTTGCTGGACGACGACCTGCTGCTGCTGATACCGACTGGGGGCTCCGGCCCGAAGAGACTGAGCAGGACCTCGCTGTCGCTCTCGCTGGTCGAACCTTCGAGCTCCGAGCTCACGGGCGACGCGTACGTGGGCGATCGGGTGGCCACCTCGGGCTCGAGCTCGCCCGCCGCCGCAATGGGCTTCTGGATGAAACTCAGGGGCGAGTAGAGACTTGTCATCGACGGACGGCGCTGGCTTAGCTTCCTCTAGAGTTTGTTTCGTGTAAATTCCAAAGTGAATAGAGGAGCGGGACACTGGTCAACTCCCTCTCTTTCTTTCTTGAGGCTGAACCGGCAGGACGGCGAGGACGAACGCAATGCAGGACAGCGCCATGTGGCCCATGGTCCAGACGACCTTATCGGGCATAGACGGCACTGCTTAAAGCAACATTGAAATGTTGGCGTTGCGTAACATTGAGCGCAACAATGGTGCCTCTGCCTAACATTGCACAATGCTACGGTATCTCTCGTAGCAGAATATTTGGTTTACCAATGTGACAATAGTGGATACGCGTCACCACGACAGCTCGACAGCTCGACAGCTCGACAGCTCGACAGCTCGACAGCATCCGCCGCTAACGCGGCAAGCGCGTCATGGTGTACGCGCCGAGTCGACGCCGCCGACACATGCAGCAGGAGAATGGGCTCTACGGGATCTACGCGCAGCTCTACCTGGGCGCCACGTGTTGTCTATTCCTAGTTGGCAGGAGGCTTTCGCCTGCGGACTTAGCGACGGCACTTCGGGGGGGGGGGGCGCCCCTCTCTCGCTTCGCTCGGGGGGCGCCGCTGTGCGGCCTGCCCCACCCCCTCGTGCCTTACGCTAAGTCCTCGGCTCGGCCAGGCGGGGTGTCTAGGAAAAAAAATATCGGGTTGCAGCGCTCGCCTTCGCTCGCTCGCGTTCACTCGCCCTCCCCCTTTCACCTAACTGCGCTGTTGGCTAGAGGCGCATTAAAAGCGCTTACGCCTGCTTGGAAGGTAGCGCATTCGATTGCATGCATCACGCATCGCACCTGACGCAACGCAACGCACTGGGAAGGCGTTTGCTCCCGCATACGTAGTACACACATGCATATAAGCACCGCAGCAGGACATGCACACAATAGAATAAGGTTGAGCGGGTGACCGTTGCAGACGGTCGCACGACGCGAAGGCGGAGCGAGCGCGAGGGCGCTTGCTTCCTACCCAATAGATTCTGAAATGAGAGCTGTTGTGAGCCAGTCGCTCCAAACATGAAATTTCACGTCTGGAAAATTTACATTGCGTCAATGTTAGCGATCATGCAACATTGGACCCCATCGATGTTATTGATCCCACACATTGAGGCTGATTTTCAATGTTGCTTTAATGACTCTCGGCATAGACAGCCGGCAGGCCTGGGGCGCTGGTGCCGCGAAAACCTACGGATCTGCAGGCTGCTGGGAGCGCGGCTGCAATGCCGGCGGCTCACGCCAGTTGCGCGGGTCCAACGCGAGGATGGCGCCAAACGGATGACAGCCACAGGCGCCACGAAGGAAATAGGGCCGTTGCAGTTGAGGCACATGGTTCCAGGCCCACTCCATGCCAAGATATACCAGCGCACGAGCACGAGCATGGGGGAGATGCATTTCATGCGTTTGATCGCGCGATTTGGCCCTCGCGGCCTGCAGGGAAGTAAAGAAACGCAAGGCCCTGCTTGGTGTTGGGCACTTGCAAGACTCGTCCTAATGTTATTGAGAGGCCGCTGGCTTTTGTACATGTAGAGACCTGGGAGGGTGGAGCTGGTCTCCTAGAGCATAACGCTCAACTTAGCAATGTCTTTGCGGATACTGTAAGTCTTACTGTGCAGTACCACGTCCTCAATCCCTCGAGATTAATAGGAGTCAGCAGGGCCTGACTCAACGTCGTTGACTCAGCGAGGCTGGACCACGGGAAGGCAGATCCGTGTGGAGTACATGGATATTGGTCGAGCAGAGTATCCAGGTCTCGACCGGGGAAGGGAACTCGAAGTTGCCGCCTGCCACACACACACATGTACAGTACATGACGTTTGGCAGGGGTTATCTGCCATCTGGTGTTCGGGGACGTCTGCAACGCAAAACGAGAGTACGCTATCCTATGGACCTAACCGGACGTTGAAGGTCGGATTGGAAATGCTGTTGGTTACTGTGCTGAGCTATCGGGGCTTCTTGTCTCCATGCAATTTGGCGTCCTGTAGTGTGGCTTATTGACGATGCACCGAGTCAGTTCAACAACTTGAGCCTCAAGGTGAGGGTCGTGCACTGCTTCGTGGCACACGAATGACCAGCCCCCTCTTGTTTACGGAAAATCATTGACACGTACTGTACGCTGGAGACGTAGATAGATATAATACATGCACTGTCGAGTACTCGGCAAGGTGCGGCGAGTACTTGTTTCTTAGGCTTTCGAAGTATGAAGGGCGCTTTAACCCCTTGGACGCGGAGGGGTGACATGGACGGCATTAAAAAACGCTTAAACCGTCCCGGACAGCATAAGAAACAATATGTGTTTCAGTATACCATACCGGGTAGAAGAACAAATTTGGACGTTTTTCGCACAGATTGTAGCTAACCTTTCCGGTAATAATTCTCGCAAGGATGATGGGCACGTTCCGGATATTTGTGTGACCCAATCACAGCCAATTGCACGAAGTCACGCAATCCTGATATTTTTGAATTACGGGGAGAGGAACCAGTAGAACTTCTGCCAAAGACGTCCAGGGGATGCAGCACATGCGGCCTCGCTAACTACGCGTCCTGTAAATTGTTTACAACTAACCCACTGCGTCGCAAGATGAATCTACATGTATTGTAGCATAACGGCTCACGGTCGCGGATGTGGCTTGTCTTGGGTTCAAACTCACCGTTTTGCCACACGAGGTGCCAGATCTGAGTACAGGTGAGACCTTCATTGTTGGGGTGACCACGCTCCTTGTTGCAAAGCGTGATGGGTCCTTTCTTTCCTTGTGAGCACGGGGCGCAGTAGTAGGAAGACGTTCCTCCCCGCTTCTTTCCTTCAGGCTTGTAGCAAAAGCATACCTTACACTGTCTTTGGCGGAGGCGCTGAACACCATTGTTCATGCGGTAGTCAGTGGTCTGCGTGAGCTTGTGTTCACCCTGCACGACGCTCGGAGTCTCTGCTGCCACGTTTGGCGCTGCTCTTGAGTGCGTAAAGCACGCTTCTGTCTGTTCGATTAATCCTTGTGAAGCTTTGCCAAGAAGTTGAAGTGCGAGTCCTTGTGGGGCTTTCTCTCACATAGTTTTTTGTAGACGATGTAGGCGTTGACTAGGGCCATGTCGACAAGACCGAGGAATAGACTCTTGTAGTACTTGGTGAACCTGTAGTATCCGAACAGCATAACTTACGATTAGAAACGACATCATGTCAGCATGTTATCCGTACCTTACAGACAACTGCAACGAGTATGCTTGTAGCCGCAGTTGGTCATGCCGATCCACACCTCCCATGTAGCGTTGGTATTCAGCTACTAGGCCTGGACAGGGAACATCGCTTGCGCCCCCACGCCCCTCGCGGCGCCGGACAGTGGTTGCTGCAGTTGTCACTTGGGAAGCTAGGAAGTAGACGATGGTGTTGTCCGCCCACATCACTGCCACCAGACCAGGGTTTGACTTCGCCACTACCATTTGGAATGTGCCCCGTGGGGTCCTCGCTTGGCGTTTCTTCTTCGGATAATTCAGACGATCGCACCAGCCCTTGCGATCCGTTTGCATAGTGCCCACGTAGTTGAAGCCCATCGTGCGTAGCTGTTGGACCAGCGGGATGGAAGTGTAGTATCGATCACCAATAATCAGCCGCCGTCCTCCGTATGGAAGGCCCCGAAACACGCACGCAACGTTTCGGATGACAGCAGCAGGACCATTTTTCGTGTCCATGGCCTGCGAACACTCCGTGTCACCAGCGCGTCCAATATCAAGTTCGACTCTATTTTGAGCGTCAGCATCGTATACAGACTTCGTCAGCATAAAAGCCAAATATAAAACCGACCATGTCAACACACACGTACCTCTTGCAATACCCGGTCTCAGCGCAGCAAGTCATCACACACTTCGAGCCCCAGCGATGAGGCTTATCCTTCATGAAAGTCCTTGTCGGATTTCGCTTGTTGTGGGAAGGAAGAATCCCTTCATCGATGGCAACACGCGACCCAAGAACGTAGCCTTCCTTGAACGTCTTCTCCAGCGTAGAGAGCACAGATCGTATTTTCCAAGCTCGATCGGTAGCAGCTGCAGGGCTCTTGTTATCGGTGAAATGTAGAAACCGCGAGATATCACGGAACCTGTCGCGCCGCATCACTTTGCTGAATGTTCCCATCGGAAGTACACCCGTGGCTTTGGTGCTTCAGTGATCTTCCATTCGCTTGCAGGGACTCAATGCATGTGCAATCATCAAGCCAATCCATTGAACAATTTCGTGGGGAGCAATCTTCTCAAATTTTTCAAGGTTTCGCCGCAATGTATCTCTACTGCGCTGTGCACGATGCGTAACCTTGCGTTCCTTCGCTTCCGCCTTGTCGAGTCTGGCTTCCAGCGTTTGCTTCCAATACAGGTGGGTCTGGCTAGCGACGTCACGCCAGAAAGCCTTCGGCAAAAATAATAGAAGAGGCCCAGCGGCGACTTAGAAACTATCAGGATGTCTTGAGATGGCCGACAATATCCAGAGTACATTTTGTCCACGTCAGGATCATCTACGACCGGAGCCTCCACATTCTCAGGCAGCACGTCCCATCCGTCTATTTTCATTTGGTTGAGCTGGTCGTCATCGTAAACCTCCGACGACCCTGTCAGCATAACATGTGAGTTAGAAACCGTTCACGTCAGGTTAGTAAAATCTAAAGTATAACTCACCTTGAACACGCAAGTGCAACCGTTCCAGCTCTGCTGCATCCATTAGCCCCGTTACTCGGCTCAGCTCCTGACGAAGATAGTCCTCGCGCGCCAAAGCATCGTCGTCTTCATCGCTGTCGGTGTCAGCAACGCCGTCGCCGATATCACCAGCGGAATCCTCGCCCTCTCGCCATCGGTCTCAAGAGCGGTCTCCTTGGTGTCTCCAATAATATTCGGGTCAAGTGAGTCCACAAAGTCAAAGCGCAGCGGCGTTCCGCACGCGGCGTCGCGCAGGGCTCGGTTGTCGTCGTTTCTGGGGTGTTCCTTCGCTTCTTTGTTTCATCTTCTCCTTCTTGGTCGTTGAAATCCGCAGGAACTTCAGAGACGTCATCTTTTTCATCATTATCTTCTTCCTCACTCGGTTCGTACGCTTGTTCTTCGGAAACAGAGTGTCCGTGTCGTGGACTGGCATCGGAGAGATCACGCAGCTCAGGATTAGTAGATACCGCTGCGCTGTCAGAAGCTGGGGGCGGTCTGTCCTTGCCGGCAATAGTTTCCGACGTTGCGCTCTCATGACCCGTGTTGGCATTCGATGGTGCTTCCGTGTCAGCATTAGCTGGGGCTTCCCCGTCAACATTTGCATTAATGTCAGCATTATCTTCAGCTGTTGTGCAGTTCTTGTCGGCATTAGGATCGGCGCTGGTGTTCCTGTCAGCATTCTAAAATGAATAAACATCCCCTGTCAGCATTCTATATGTCAGCATAGCAGCAAAACTATATACCTTTCGGGAGAGGCTGACCGCTCGCCAAAGAAGCTGAAGTTGAGACTGCTGCTTGGACAGGCGGCACAACTGCGTTTCCATCCGCAACTAAACAACCAAAGCCACGTCAGTTCTATGAGAGCAATTGAGCAGCCAGTATATTGCTTACCTGTAGCGTTCTGTTCACCCCACACTTTGTCAAAAGCTGCCAGTTCCTTTCGCCGTTTGTCCACTTCTTGAGCCATCTGCTTCTTGGAGGGTTGCTTAGACTTGACCTTGGGAGTGCGCGGGGTTTTGGCGGTTCGCTTTGAAGCAGACTTCGCTCGTTTTGCTGGTGGACTCGCTTTAGTCACGGATATGGGCGTCTGAGGACGCTTTGGCGGCGCCGGAGCTTCGCCTGGAAGCGTACTTTGAACTGCAGCATGAGTAGTGTTAGCATGAAATGCTCATAACAAAATCATTTTCCATGCTGTACGTACTTGCTAGGCTCGGCGGCCGGACATAATACTGAGCCGCTCGCATAGTTCCGTGTCTGAGCGGATGTAAGCGAGCAGCTCGTCCTCGCCGTTGAAGAAGTCCACGCCTCGCGTCCCTCCTTTCAGTTTGCAGCCCGGCTTGATGTAGTTGTGGCTGCAAAGGTAGACGCATTAGGTACGGCACCATGCAGGACCTATAAGTAATCAACATACTGAATCTGGATCCCGGTTGCCGGCTTCCAGGACCATCCTTCCTTCCGAAGTAGCGGCCAAATCGCGCGGAAGTCCATGGCGTATGCCATACTTGAGTCCTACGCGGCGGAATCCGAGAATGAATGGTTTTGCTAGAAGGCGGCAACACGGCTAGCATCGCGGAGTAAGCAATATGTATTGAAAAGAGACAGAATCAAGGACACACCCTTTGCATCGCGGAGTAAGCAATATGTATTAAAAAGAGACAGAATCAAGGACACACCCTTTGCTTACTCCGCGATGCTAGCCGTGGGCGCTCGCTTTTGTTGGTAGGGGCCGCCCGTCGTCGACCCTTCGTCGGAAGCCGCATCATCATCTTCTTCTTCTGCAGCGCCCCCAACTGACAGCACCGCTGGCGTCCGAGCTCGAAAGGGGAACCTAAATATGATTTATCCGAAAACATTTTGCCCACCCTTGCACGCGGTAGTTCAGGGCATATGTTTTACTAAATAATCGTTTGTCTCCTTTTGAACACGTGGACCAATCAGTTTCTTTCGATTTCTGGGAAAGGACGAGAACATATTTTGCGGATTTCGAGACATAATGAAACCAAGTGATTCTTATGCTGTTCTGAACAGCATCAGGTGATTTTCCAACCCTCCGCGTCCAAGGGGTTCAGGTGCTGGCTCAGCAGGATCTCAAGAATCGAGATTAAAGCACTTCTTACAGTCTCTGGACATTTTTGAAGGGTGCAGCACCACAATAAAAAAATAGAAAGTGGTGGCGAATTTACAAAATGTAACTCCTTGGCTTTCACAACACAAAATTTTTACCACTGTATTCGATGCCAGTTTTAATTATTCGGGCAATGTAGGTCAGGTTCTCGTTGTGTCCGTTTCTGAAGCTTTCGCGTGAACGACTCCACAGCAATTGATAGTCCTATACGACTCCAAGGCATTATAACCACGAGTTCAGATTATCTTGTTACTAGATTCGTATCGAAATGCTTTTCAACTTGGCGTTGAGATCCGTCTTCATCCCCACCGCGAAATATTCACGCAGGTCGTGGCCTTGATCGTGGCGTAAGAAGACTAGTGCAACTCGAACGCGCAATGATCCATTGTTGTATAACTATTGATGTTGCTGAGAGGGCCTCAGCTCATTTTGTAGTTAAATATCATTTGGCGGCGTATTATTCCCAGGTTGGTTGTGAAAAACTTAACTCGTTGCTGGTACAACTCGGATTCGATTACACTGTAATCGATGCCAATAGATTGCTTGTCGCTTGTCCTGGATGACCTTGGACCCGGACAGATTTGACAGTTTCACTGTACCTGCACAGCACGGTATTTAGGCGAAAAAGTATCCACAACTGCAGTATAATAGTAGTAGTCATTTTTTGTGTTTATTCTCAGCGGACGGTCAAGCTTGATTCAAGCAAGATATACGCAGTATAAATGCTATAGATGTAATAGAGAGATATGAAACCGAGCGAACGCTAGCATCAACTCTACGCGGTCTCATTATACTTTACGCGGTCTCATTATAATGATTAGAGTATAAAACGCATTGATAAAAATATGAGACTACAATTTTGTTGTCGGCGTCTTAGTGTTTTTAAACCTTAATCAGAAAGCCATCAGTGATGAATTTCTTAACTGCAAGGATAGAAGAAGCCAGTCCAAGTATTATTAAGGCAGTATTGACACACTACTAACGTAAACTTATTGTTACTACATATTGAACGGCTTCAATACCATACACGTACAGTATAATAGCTGCCTGGGACTGTGAGTACGAGTTGAGCTGGCTAAAAGCTTCGCTACGAGCAGTAGTTTATCGAATAAGTTGGATCCGCGGGTGTCATACTTCCACGCGTCAGCGATATTAATACAATTGATCCACGAAAGCAACGAATTCAGCGTACTTCAGTACGTTTTACTATCGAAATGCCATAAGAAAACATCGGGAAGCCTATCGAGGCCATGAAGCTTTTCAATGCCCAAGTGCAAGACGGCCAGATCTCCATTGTCCTCACGCCTCGTGACCCACAGTCTTCATGAAAATCCCATCCGGCTTGTACGTTAACTTACCAAAAACTGGGGGGGATTCCATGATATCTATATTACTAACGAGTTAGGTGGGTGCTCAAGCAGAAGTGGAATGCTCACGCTGGAATGATGAAGCCCGGGCTGAAGATGTTTTGGCCGTCGTGGTACCGCGTCTCGGACGTTGTGACTAAACAAGCCGTAACTTTCTCTTTCACGACGTAAAGCCTTTCGGTGTTGAGCTGACTGGTTTAATTTGTACAGCTGGACACTGTCCTATAGAGAGCTTGATCGCAGGGTCAGAAGGATCCGAGAGGCATAGAACTACATGTAGATCTACATCATATCGACCAAGCAAACACTGCGTCACCATGGGAAGCAGTGACCTTATCTGCCCAACTTTTTCAAGTATCCACCATTTAAACTTCAACTAAAAATATTTGCAAAATGTTGTACATTTTTTAGCTAACGTGATGTAATAGCATACACCCAATGCAAATGCTTAGGAAGCCAGCGATAGTGCTGCCAATTGGTCTTGTCCGCGCTCGTACGTGCCGATAACCACTTCCGCCATTTCTTCGATGTGACTCACCTTCTCGGTGTCGAGATCCGTGTCGACAGGCGTCGAGCGCACAACCGCCCGCATGATGCAGCCTTGAGTCTTCTGCTCGCTGCTGGTAGTCTCTATGGGAATCGGCTCCAAGGAGATCCAAATTCTCTGTAGCAGTCGAACATATCTGCTACCGTCGTACTCTATGTAGCTGGACCACGTCAACACCGATTTCCGCGGCTTATCGATCGACCACAGAAAAAGCCTCGACCTGACTGCAGCGCGCACTGAGCCAGGGATCTCTATGCTGTCGACTGTGCTCACTTGGCGGTTGTACTTGTCAAGCATCTGAAGTTCGGGGAAATGGTCGGACGCGCCAACCTTTGATCCGTAATTCATCGAGTACCGCAGCGACCGCGCAACGTCCGAGACGCGGAACGGGAGAATGCGGACGTCGTTGTGATCAAAAGAAACTCCACCATTCTTCGATCGAGTGTACGGAAATGGCCGTGGACGTCCTCCTCGACTGGTAAGGTAGTGAGTGCCCTTGATGAGTCGTTTGCACCAGGCCCTTCGAACAGGCTCAGAAGAAAATCCGTCTCGCTTTCGCTTAAGGTGTCGGATTCAAGAGGCGAGGCATAGCTCGGCATTCGAGTTACTACAGCTCCGCTGAGCTGGACAGGGTGGCCATCTTGGTGTGTTGGTAGTTCTCACAGTGTGCAACCTGTGGGTGGTAAGCTGACCGGTTCGACTCGAACACGGACGCGAAACAGTAGAGAGTCTTGGGGGTAACCCAGCGATCTTATTAGCTGCGCGTAAATATCATGGTCATACTTGGTGGTTGAACGGAAGTGCTTACCACCTGCTAAATCTTGTAAATACAAAGGTAACGCGATCTCATTTCATCTCGTTTTAGGTGCTCGCCCCAAGTCACTGTTTGATGTTTTAAGCCTACGTGGCCGAACGACGAGATACGAGAACTCCAAGCCCAATTCACAGAACCACAGAAGGTGTTAAAAGCCCTCCTTCCGGAGACTAGCGCCCAATACTGCACAATTGGGAGCAGGGTGAAGTAAGTGGTGGGCTTTCCGGGAGGATTCGCGCGGAACTCGGCAGCCTTGCCGTTCGTTAAAAAGTGCCGTTTGCGCTGACTCGGATGCGCCTTCGTTCTTGGCAATAGATGAACGGCTTAGTGCGGCGAGGTGAGTCGCTTTCTTGATCAATCAACGACGCCTTCTCTGTTGGGCACTGTTCCAGTATGACGTCAAAAACAATTGAGCTTCCGTCTTCGACGGTAGTTCTGTAGCGCTGAGATGATCAAATAAATAGCACAGGGTTGAGTCATACATGTAGATCACCTGGCCGCGATTCACGGAATGATGGGACTTACCGACGATTGTTGCGCATATTTCGTAATTGCTAGAAGCTCGTTGCGATCGTTTCGCCCAGCGATGGGCAAGTCTTCACCAGCACGAGCACGTGTAACTTACTTACCAGTTCTAGGTTCGATATACAGCAAAGCGCGCCAACTCGTGCTCGTCCGAATCATCCGCTGCTCCACCGGTCGAGTCGCTGAAGAGGAGATTCTCGATGATCTGGTACATCATACCGAAGTTGCGGTGGTACGAGCCAACCACGAGGTTGGTCACTTCGCCGATGTGCTCTCTCGCCTCCTCCTCCGATTCAAACTCCGTCGTCTCCGGCTTAATCTGCAATGCCATGCGGAGCACACAGCCCGGTACACTGGTACTGCTGCTGGTGCCATTGGTTAGCGAGTTCTTGTTGAAGTCGAAGACTGAAGCGGACGTATACCCCTTCTCGTGCAGGCGCACGAAGATGGAGCCGGCAACCTCAGCATACCCCCTCCACACGACTACGATGCGATCTTGCTCGAAGTATCGCCGCATTGCCAGTCGTGCACAAATCTCAAACCCCTGAGACTTAGGTAGCTGTAGGTGGTCTAGAATCTGGACGTTCAGATGGTCGTTGTTGACAACGCGCGTTCGGATACGCCCCACCAGCTCCCTCGCCTTGCCGTAGCCAACACAACTCCACATAGCGCGGTGCACTGCGGGCATCGAGAACGGCAGCAAGCGAGCTTCTTCGTGTCGGAACGCAATGCCGTTCGCATTATGAAAAGTCTGGATGCTGTTCGAGTTCTGGAGCAGCTTCGCCAAGTCCGTCTGGCCCATGACAGCGTCAATCTCGGCGTACTGAGCCTCCAGCCCCACGTTCAGCTGGGCGAAAATTAAATCGTCCGACACACTCGTCGCGCGTGGTCGTCTTCCTCCTTCGATAGCCTTGACTCCACCGTTGCTGGGATGCCACGTCAGAAGCTGCGCGGCCTCTTCCTGCTGACTCTGAATCGCAGCTTCGAGACTGCGCGCGACCCGCAGCTGTCCCTCCAGCATCGACCGCAGCTTGAGGTTCTCCACAATGGACCGATCCGCCTGCTCCTTCTGGCGGCCCGCGATCCGCTTCCACTGCGTGAACAGCTCGTCGTCGTGGTCGGTCCCTGCTTCACTATCGCTCGAAGGCGCTGCGGTGGTTGACGACAACTTGTTCAGCTCCTCCTCGAGGTCCTTCACCTGCACGCGCAGGTAGTCCAGCTCGTCTTTCGGGCGCTTGCGACGTCGCGGCTTGGGCTTCGCGTACGGGGCGGCGCGGACGTCTTTGCCTCTGCGCTGGTCGTGAGGGGGCGAGGACGTTGGGCTCGCAGTCTCTGTCTCTACTGATACCTGTTGTGTTGCGTCTTCCTGCTCGGCATGCAGAGGCAAAGGCGAAATGTCTCCCAGTCCGAGCATCGTGTTGGGGTCGCCGAAAGCGTCGGCCAAGTGGCAGCCTGTGTCGATGGACTGGTCGTCGGACCCGCCTGCGAAGGACAGCATCTCGTCCAGAGCCGCCAGGAGGTCGTTGTCGAGGTCGCCCCCATTGAGCCCCGTGGCTCGTGCGGCAGGAGCAGGAGCTCGACCCGAGTGCTGCATGACGGTCGCCACGTTTTGGTCCCAGTTGTGCTTTGTGCTGTGACTAAAACGTTTTTTGGATATTATCCACAAAATGTTGTGGCAAGTTTTATTGCCGGTTGCAGATATTTCGGCCAACGCATGCTTATTATCTCGTTAATAATCTCGATTTTAGTCTAGCAAGCTCTTAATTAAGACCTAGGTCTGATTTATATATCTCGCCAGTACAGGTCTAAGATGCAAGGTTGGGGTCTGTTTCACGCTTTGCTACGACTTGGAAACGCAGAAATGCCATTCTAGACGGGCCAAACCGAGTTTCTAGGCCTAAAAGCGGCCCCCACCAAAGCATAAAGCTAAATCATCCCTCGCCTATCTCGTGTCCACTCACATTAAGAGACAGGCGTGGTCTATTTTAGAGCAAACATAAGCCCCGAAGCGGCTGTGCAGTTCCGCCACGTGTACGAAGGTCAAGTCGAGCACCTGCAACCAGGCCAAGTGCAAGTCCACAGCAGTACAAGACGAGCGATGTTGTCTAGGGTAAGTATAAATGCACTGGCGTCGTGATTCAGGCCAACAGAGGACATGAGAGCGTCGAGGGCAAGTACGCATGGCAAGACTTAAAGCAGAAGAAGGTCAAGGTCAGTCACAGCAGCTTCTACATCAAGTCTAGCACCAGCCGTGAGGCTTGGACCAAGTTCAGCGGCCGGACGGATATACCAGCGCGGCGTGCCATGTTTCACGCAGCCAACGCGCATTGGTGTGTGCTTGACGCCATGGGCGCTAGCGCTGGAGCCGCAGTTGGCGCCTTCGCGGGGCGCGCGCTACTGGCGGAATAAGCCTTTGAGATGGCTAGATTAGCCGTCGGATTCCAAGTCAATAGGCTCTTAGGTCGTTTGGACTCGATTTTGGCGTCAGTAAAACATGACATAACGGCAAAACCGCAGCGCGATCTGATTGGCTGAAAAGCTGTTTATGTTCTTGTGTCTATAGGCTCAGCCCAACTTTGAAACCCCCTATTAATAATAGTACAAAAGATTCATAAATGTTACAGATTGTTTTCTGAGATATTGCACCGAGAAACGAATGCTGATTGGCTGTCTATCGTTAATATGTAAATTGAGCAAGGCGCTCTGCCTACCCGATGAACTCCTGGCTTGGGGCTTTGCTGCCCATGAGCTCTTTGAGCAGGAGGTTCTCTATCACCTGGTTGAGCATACCAAAGTTGCGGTGGTAGGTACCCAGCACGAGGTCGGTCATTTCTCCAATGTGTTCCTGGGTATCAGCGCCCGGGCTGAACTCGACGGTCTCGGGTCGGACGTCGAGCACTGCGCGCAAGATGCAGCCCTCGGGTCTCGCGCCCGACGCCTCGCCCCGAGTAAAGTCGAAGCTCGACAGCGTGTTGACTCCCTTCTCGCGCAGACGCACAAACACCGAGCCAGCGATCTCCATGCAGCCGCTCCAGACGACCACGACGCGGCCCGCCTCAAAGTACCGACGCACTGCAAACCGCGTGAAAACTTCAGTGCAGCGCGACTTGGGCAGCTGCAGCGTGTCGACGATCGTGGCGTTCAAGTGGTCATTATTGATGACGCGCGTGTGGACGCGCCCCGGTATCTCCTTGTTCTCGTAGAGCAGGAAGCCCCACATGACGCGCGCCACCGCCTGCATCGAGAACGGCATGAGACGGACCTCCTTGTGCGCGAACGAGATGCCGCTCATATCCTGCTTGAGGCTGACCTTGCCCAGCATTTCGCGGTACACGTCGGCGATGCCATTCGCTTCGAAGAGCGAGTCCACCTGCGCGTACTGCGCCTCGAGGCTGCCGTTGAGCTCGGCGAAGATGACTTCGTCCGCGATACTCGGGGCGCGCGGGCGTCTAGACGCGCCTTCCACCCCCTCCTCCTCTTCAACGTCGAACTCCTTCTTGACTGTGTTCCACGGGAACGCCTGCGCTGCTGCCTCCTGCTGGTGGTCGGCGATGGCGGCCTCCAGACGCTTGGCGATCTCGATCTGGCCCTTGAGCATGGCGCGCAGCTTGAGGTTCTCCACGACGGTGCGGTTGGCCTCCTCCTTCTGACGCTCGGCCACCTGCTTCCAGCGGGAGAACATCTCCTCGTCATCGTCGCTGACGGGGGACATCCTGCCGCCGGTGGTCTGATTAAGCTTGGTCAGCTCCTCCTCGAGGTCGGCCACCTTCGCGCGCAGGTAGTCGAGCTCATCTTTGGGGCGTTTGCGGCGGCGCGGCTTGGGCTTCGTGTACGGAGCTGCGCGGACGTCTTTGCCTCTCTGAGCCTGTTGTTCCTGCTGCTGCTGGGGTTGTTGTTGTTGGGGCTGTTGCGGAGCCGTGACGGCCGTGGGTTCGTCTACTGAGGGGATCTGCAGCGGCGTCTCGTACGGGTTGGGCACCTCCGGCAGCTCGAAGGCGTCTGCGATGGGGAACCCGGCGTCGAGCGGCAGCGGCGTGGCCGAGGCGGCCGCTTCGGGCGTGAAGGCGAGCATCTCGTCCAGCGCCGCGAGCAGATCTTCGTTGCTGGTGCCGACGCCCAGCGGGGACAGCGGCGCGTAGGCCGCCGCCTTGACGGACGGGTCCGCGTCGTGCTGCATAGCTGCTCTGTGGGGTCTTGCGCTGGCTGGAGACTGCGTCCTCCTCCGCTCGCCTCCTTCCTGCCTGCAGGACGTGTCAGTCGATTACTCTTCCGCTCGTGTTAAGCGCTGTACGACCACACGCTCCGGAGTAATCAATCGAAGGTCATCACGGAAACGTGCGCCGACACTTGAACGCGAGCTGCTGCTTCCGCGCCACTCAAACTGTTATGAACACGTAGAGTTTTTCTTTAAGTTATGGTCGGTACCAGCGCGCGTGGCCGGAGCGGGCGAGCGCGCGGAGCTCGGCCATCCTCGCGGCGAAGAAGCGGGTGTCCAGCACGTACTGCTTGCGCGCGCGCTCGCCCATGGCGCGGCGCTGCTCGGGCGTCATCTCCAGGATGCGGTCCACGGCGGCGCAGACCTCGGCGCCCTTGACGTACGTGGCCATGCCCTTGACGCCCTCCAGGCCGTGCTCGCCGTCGAAGTTGCCGCCCAGAAGCTGCTTGTCCACCGTCGTGCTCGGGTGCGGCACGAGCACCGCCGACTCGGCCGGCAGCAGCTCGTTCATGGGCGGCGCGTCCGTGGTCACGATGAGCGCCGCGTTCGCGCGCGCCTGGTTGATGTAGTGGCCGTAGCCCTCCAGCACGCTCGTGCACAGCAGGAAGGCCGTCTCCACCATCATCTTGCCGAACATGCTGTCGGGCACGCGCCCCGTGTGCACCGTCACCTGGGGCTGCGCGCGGATCGGCTCGTCGTACTTGTGCCGCAGGAACTCGTTGTAGATGTTCTGATCCACGTAGACGTCCAAGGGCGGCAAGTCCGGGCGCGACAGCCAGCAGTCCATCACGGCGTTCGTGCCCTTGAACACGCTGCACAGCCAGTCATCAAAGCAACAGAGTCAATCCCCGCAGCTTTGAACTTGAGTTGAAGACGCCACCGAAATGATAGCAACAGTTGAAGAGTGCTGCAGTACGAACCTTTTGCCGGCGGTGTGGACGAAGTGCACGTTCGAGAAGTTCTTGGCGTGGGCGTCCGCCTTGGCCCCGAGCTGGTGCTTGGCGTACAGCGCCGCGTCCGACGTCGTGTGCCTCGTGTAGATGACGCGCGTGTGGCGCGGGTTGCCCTTCTGCTGGTACCACATCCGCACGCGCCTCGCGCAGATAGCCGTCTTGCACAGCACGACGTCCGCGCGCCAGTAGTGCTCCGCCACCAGCTCGTACATCTCCACGTTCGGCATGAGGTACATGGGCTTGCTCGCGGGCCACGACGGGCTGTCCGGCACGCCGTCCCAGAAATGGTTCATGAAGATCAACGGCGTCTTAGGGCACAGGTCATGGTACGTCAGCTTCTCGCCCGTCTTCTCGTCGTGGAACTCCAGGTCCAAGACCCACCGAGGCAGCGCTCGGCCCTGCAGGTCTGCAAAAGCAACATCAAACAGAGTGTCAAGACAACAACAACTACTACATCTCCCATCGGTGCACTGTACAACCACGTACACTTGACGTAGCCCATGGCGTCTTCGCAGTAGCCGTCTCCTCTGATCCCTGACGGCAGGAAGACCTCCACGTCGGGACAGTTCGCCAGCTTCTGTCTCAGGTGCTTGTCGTCCCGTTGGAACCGGCCGACGCTGCTGAGCTTGTCCCCATTGCGTCCGAAGTCCGAGGTAATGACGCTCTCGCGGTGCTTCATGCAGCCTTCGTGCAGCACCGCGAGGTGCAGGCGCTCGCTGTCGTCGATCTCCTGCGCGCTCTGCAGCAGCTCGGGCGGGTAAAAGTCCAGCTCGTGCTCATTCTCGACCTCCTCGAAGTGGAGCGGACCCGAATGCCACCAACTGTCCAGCAATAGCAGCAGCAGCAATGCGGCCGCCAATACGGCGACTTGGTGGTGCAGCGGGCGAACCGGGGACGAAAGCGGGTGCACGAACGCCTTGGACACGCGCGGAGATGGACACGCCTGCATCGCTGTGGGCGCTGCTGCGGTAATGCGACCTGCTTATCTCGGTGCGCGATGTGAAGTGACCGGATGAAGTGGGAATATTAAGTACGCGTGCACGCGCTATCCGGCTGGCTGTGTAGGGGATCAAGCCGTCTGGTGCGTTTGCTCGTGGCGCTCAAGTCCTCGATGCTCGCAGGTCCATCGAGTCGAGCTGTACATGTGCCATGCCAAGCTGAGACTTCAACTCGTGGCGGTTACCGTGATGACGAACACCAAAGTACAACTTTACCAGTACCTCGAGTACAGTACCATATCTCATACATCCCCACGGCGCCACTTCACACACGAAATCCCAGCGGCGCCTTGCTCATCGAGTCTCGCACTCCCTGGAGCGAGAATTTGGCCGGCCGATAGATGAATTCCAGTCTCTTAGCGACAATGAGAACGAAAGTCTCCTTCGGATCCAGCAACTCGACTCAAGGGTCACAAGATCAACGCCACAAGACGAGATCAATACCACCGCCACGAAAATCGCCCGCGCCAACGCGCTACGGTGGCCTTGAGCCACATCCAGTTGTCAACATTGGGGGCGGGGCCACAGCGTCCAGCATGAGCAGCACTGTGGAAGTCCAGCTCGTTACTGGGTATATCATATCCACGAGACCAGTTTCTCGGTTTCGGTATCTTTACTACTCCCCGTTCGAAGCGCCGCGTTCCAGCACTCTCCATTCATTCGTGACCCTCCTCCTGCTGCATCCATGGCAAAAGCGCTGAGCGCTCTCAATCGGTGCTTCATGCGGTGGCAAGTGGGCGTGGCCAAGGGCGACCGCAGAGCTGTGGCGCAGGCTTTCTTCTCGGCGCTGGCGCTTGTTGCCCTCGCCGTGCTATGCTGGACGTGTATTCGACCAGCCCCAGCCACGAGCATCTTGCACCCGCTAGTGCCCGTCCAAGCGCCGCTCAACACGAGAGCTGGAGGCTATTCGACTGCCCAGACCACCAGCGGCAATGTCTCCACGACTGTCGAGACCTTCCCGCAGTACGGAGAGGACTCGCTGCCCGGACGCCTCTTTCGTCTCGAGAACACCGCGCTCCTGGCTCAGCCTGACAACAAGCACCAAGACTCAGTGCTGGTCATGGTGGTGCTGCGAGACGCCCAGTCGTGGGGGGACGGCCGCAGCGCCGAGGACTTTTTCCAGCTCCTGGACAGCTTCGACTACCCCAAGGGCAAAATCTCCGTCACGCTGCTCGTGTCGTCCATGAGCGAGTTTTTGCTCATGAAGACGCACTTCCAGCGGCAAATCCAGCAATACGCCCGACTGTCCGTGATCTTCCGCAACGATTTCTCGCCCCGCCACGTCGTCACGCGCGAGAACCGACACGAGGACCACCTGCAAGTCAATCGCCGACGGATCATCGCCAGGTACCGTAACTTTGCAGTGCTCTCGACGATGGAGCCGTGGCACCAGCACGTGCTGTGGCTCGACGCAGACGTCCACAAGATCCCAAGCGGACTGCTCAAGAAGATCGTTGACTGTAGGTCCCTTTCTGAATTGGTATAGCTTCATCGGTACAGGGCTGATCTGTTACTTTGTTGCAATGCAGCCGGCCTCGACATCGTGGAGCCCATGTGCGTCCGGATGAAGGCGAACGGCAAAGACTGGTACGAGTACGACCTCAACGCCTGGGTGGGCAGTCGCAAGGTGCGGCGGTCGAGTCGCGACTCGAGCTTTGTGCCGGGGGATCTGAACGTGAAGCGGATGAAGCAGTTCCACGGCGGAAAAGATACTTTCGTGCCGCTGGACTCGGTGGGTGGCACGATGCTGTACGTGAATGTGGACGTCCACCGCCAAGGGGTTCTCTTTCCTGTTCACCACCTCATCGGCAGCGAGTGGAGCAGCGAGGGCTACGACGGCATCGAGACGGAGGGACTGTGCTACGTTGCGCACTTCTTGGGCTTCAAGTGCTGGGGGATGCCCAACGACCTCATCTACCACATCTAACAGCGAAGTAAATCCTAATAATGCATGTATTCTGTGGTTCATTGGAGTCTAGGATAGAAGCTTTACCTATGCTACGACGGCTGTCTCTCCAACGGGGGACGCTACTTTGCCGCCCATGGCCTCTCGAAGCAGCAGCGTATCAATCATCTGATGCATTAACCCCATGCTGACTCGGTATGTGCCGACGACGAGCTCCGTCATCTCGCCAACGTGCGCTTTCTGCTCCACTGGTGATGCGATCGCAGTCAGCTCAGGGCTCGCGAGCACGGACATCCGCGTGACGGACCCCGGCACTCCGCCGCCGTCATTCTCAGAGCTGCTGCTCCCGAAGTCGAAGGACGACGTTGAGCAGTATCCTTTCTCGCGCAGACGCACGAAGACCGACCCGTCCATCTCGACGTACGAGCTCCAGACCACCACGATGCGGTTCTTCTCGAACACTCGACGGAACGCGAACCTCCTGACGATATTCGTGGCCTGTGCCGAGCCGAGTCGGATCTTCTCGATCATGGTCACGTTCATGCGGTTCTCATCGACAACCTGCGTCTTGAAGGGCCCGAGCATCATTTCCTTGGCGGTGCTGTATCGCAGGATGCCCCACATCGTTCGGTGCACGGCCTCGGACGAGAACGGTAGCAGACGAACTTCCTCGTGGCGGACCGATACACCGCTCGCGTCCTGATGCACCTTGGTGCCGTTGTTCATGTCGTGGTTGATGTGAGCCATGCCATTGAGCTCAAACACAGTGTCGATCTCCACCAACTGCGCCTCGAGGCTTTCGTTAAGAAGGTAGAAAATGAGCTCGTCGGTCATGACGTTCGGCTGCGGGGCGCCAGCGTCAGCAGCGCCTTCTCCGTTGAACGTGGGGAGCGACTGCGCTGCGTCCCGCTGGTGCTGGTCGATGGCGGCCTCGAGACTCCTCGCGACGCTCAGCTGGCCCTCCAGCATGGCCCGCAGCCGCATGTTCTCCATCACGGAGCGGTTCACCTCCTTCTTCTGCCTCTCGGCGATCTTCTTCCAGCAGAGCAGCACGTCTCGCGAGTAGTCCACTGCATACTCGGCAGCTGCGGCGCCCGAGTCCCCGTTAAAGATGACAGCGGCGCTCACGGGCGAGCCGACCTCGGGCTTCTTCTGCAGTGAGGCCAGCTCCTCCTCCATGTCGGCCACCTTGGCGCGCAGGTAGTCGAGCTCGTCTTTCGGGCGCTTGCGACGCCGCGGCTTGTCGCCCTTCGAGTACGGAGCCGCCCGCACGTCCTTGCCTCTCTTCCCGGGGGCCGACGGCGCTGTCGTTTGGCTGTTGGCGCTGTTGGACCGGCTCACCGACGGGCGGTTGGTCGGCGTCGGCGTCTCCGTTGCCAGCAGCGCCGGCATGTCGACGGACAGCATGTTACTGAAGTCGCCGGTGAACGGAGACGGCGCGTCACACGTCGAGGCATTAAACGCGTCGGCAATGGGCGCGGACTCGGCCAGCGACAGCACGTCGTCCAGCGCCGCCAGTAGGTCCTCGTCCAGGCCTCCGACACCAAAGTCTTCGCTCATCTGCTGCTGCTGCATGGCGACTCGAGAAGTGCGTGGTGAGGGGGAGGAGATTCTTTTAATACGTTTAGCGTGGATGGTGTGAGCCGGCAGAGACCGACGCGCGACGACGAGCTTTGGATCGGCCGGTGGAGCAGCCGGCGCCTCCCCTTCCAGACGTTGTCCGCCGCTGGTGGTGCCGCAGGAGCGGAAAAACGGACTGCGGAGTGAACTGAACCAGCAAACAGCAGATCGAGCAGCTCGAGCATGCCGTGCACATGCTGTGCGCACGAATGGGCACCAGCGCTGAAGTAATCGAGCGCCTGTTTACGGGACGGATCGGCCGCATGCAGAGCACCGCAGACTCACTCAGCTGACCGCCTTGACTCAAGTGGAGTTCAGGGGAGACTGTCGCGCTTCGACCCCGAGCTCTCCAATGGATAGAGAGAGGCCCATTCACTGGACTCCAGGAATCACGGACAGCAAAAATGACCTTGTGTCGGTCGGTCGTTGCTGGGCCGTTTCAACTTGTTCAATGGTCTTGGCTCCTATAATGCCAAGTGTGTGCGTGCATTTCGTTAGCTGAGCTGCTGTCGCCACCTTCACAGAGTATGCAGCGACCACGTGCTTCGGTTCTCCCGACTGATGTGTCGCGGAACAAGGGCGTCGAGCTTGTGCCAGGCGCGGAGGCGGCTCAAGACGCAAAGTCCAAGGCCAGCTTGTTGAAGCAGAGCGTTGTTCCCAGCACACGACGGCGGCGTCTCGTGATCGGCGCAGCGTTGCTGGTTGGCTTGATGCTCGTGCTGTGCGCGCTCCGTACGCGGACGGAGTTGATCGGCTCGCGCTGCGCCCCGCAGGTGCTGGACGCCCGCAGCATCGCGTACCACTCGAACCACCGGTTCAACACCATGATCAAGACCATCAGTCCATTCCCAGCCCCTACCTTCGCGGGCAACCACGAGGCGCTGTGCGCGAACTCGTCCAGACTCACGCAGAAGTTCCACTACTGCCTGCCCATATCCGGCCGGAAAGACTCGGACTTCTGCGCTGGTGCCGACCGCATGGACCTGCTGCTGCCTCAATCGCCGTCGACTCGATGCCACGCCAGCGTCCTGCACTTGCTGCTCGTGGACGTGTACGAGGAGCTGCAGGCGCAGGGATTCGCCCCCATCTTGACGTACGGGTCGCTGCTCGGAGCCGTGCGCAATGGGTCCATGATCCCCTTCACGGAAGACACGGACATCGCCTACAGCGGGGAAATCTCGAGCGAGAGCGCGCTGGCCGACACGCTCTGGAGCAAGGGCTACCACCTCTTCATGAACAAAATCTGGCGAGTCTGCGTAGCCCCAACGCACCCGCTAGCGGGGAATCTGTACGACCCTGACCGGCCCATCGCCAAGAACTTCGCCGTGCCCTACGTGGATCTCTACTCCATGGAGAAGACCAAGGACGGCAGCGCCTACTCGATGCAGGAGCTCAAAGGCCGCACTTTGCCCAGCTACCGCGTTGAACCATTCTCGCAAGTCGTGATCAACGGGCTGCCATTCGACACCGTGTACGACCCCGAATACTTCCTGCTGGAAGAGTACGGCCCGGAGTTTAAACAGCCAAAGCCTCGAAACCAGGCGTAGAAGTCTCGCGTATTGAGCTAACGGATAACAATCGCTTTGAAACCTCTGGACCGTTTCGACGCCTGTCGTTTGGTGCCCAACGGACCCTTGTGGGGCGATGCAACGCGGGCTCACTTCCGAACGAACCTCCTCAACCTCCAAGCGCTTGATTGTCATGCAGAGGCCCCGCAACTTGGTGCTGCCGACGGATCTGTCGAGGTATGAGGACGACCTCGAAGCCGACCTCATCACGGACACCTCCTCCTCCTCGGACAGTCCGAGTCCTCGAAAGCCGTCGAGCCCGCTGAAGAAGCTGGGCACACCTCGTCATCCATCAACTACCAAGCGGCGGATGGTCTTCTGGTCCATTCTGCTGGTGGCGTTGACGACCGGAGTGTGCGTTCTTCTAGCGGTGGAGATGCGACTGCTGCCTCGCTCCTTCATCCTGTCCAAGCAGTGCTCCCCGCGCGTGCTGAAGGCCAGCGACATGGAGTATCACTCGAATCACCGCTTCAACACCATGATGAAGAAGATCAACGCCTTCCCAGCGCCGTTCTTCAAGGCCAAGCACGAGGATCTCTGCAAGGACTCGGACCGACAAGAGCGCGCGTACAAGTACTGCCTGCCCATTTCGGGCCGCAAAGACTCGGATTTCTGTCCAGGCGCCGACCGCATGGACTTGCTGCTGCCTCAGTCGCCTTCGACGCGATGCTACGCCAGTGTACTGCACTTGCTGCTTGTTGACTTGTACGAAGAGCTCAAGGCATTGAATTATGCCCCCATTCTGGCGTTTGGGTCGCTGCTCGGAGCTGTCCGCAACGGATCCATGATCCCATTCACGGAAGACACTGACCTCGCGTACGTGGGCGAAATATCGGTAGGCAGCGAGCTGGACGAGGCGCTCTGGAAGAAGGGTTACCATCTCTTCCAGAAGAAAATCTGGCGCGTTTGTGTAGCCCCCACCCACCCGCTAGCAGGCAACCTGTATGACCCTGAGCGCCCTATCGTGGAGGACTGGTCTGTGCCCTACCTGGATCTGTACTCGATGGAGAAGGTGAAAGACGGCAAGGCTTTCAAGATGCAAGAGTGGGGTGGCACACTCCCTGCCTACCGCGTGGAACCCTACTCGGAAGTGGTGGTTAACGGGCTGCCCTACGACACAGTACACGACCCGGAGTATTTCCTGCTAGAGGAATACGGACCGGACTACAAGAAGCCGGCACCTCGCAGGCTGCAGCTGTGATGTAGTAGCGATAAGTTTCGTATAAGAAAATAATACTTCAAAAATTATGGTTGTAGATGACCATGCATCGATACTTCTTGCCCTTCTTGGTGACGTATGAAGCATTTACATGTTAGAGGTCTCCTACAAATTGCAGTCTTCGGGCACGCGGCTTCGGCGTCATGTAGTTGCTCCCGTATTCCGATAGCAGTAGGAAGTCTGGATCGTGGATGGTGTTGTACGGCACGCCATTGATGGAAACTTAGGCAAGCGGTTCGACGCGTTCAATGGGAAGTATCCGCGCTTGGAGTTCCTGCATCGACCACGAACTGCCGAATTGCTGCTCCATTGCGTACAGATCCACGTACGGAACGGTGTAGTCCTCGACAATGGGGTGGCTTGGGTCGTACAGCTGAGACGCGAGTAGGTGTGTCGGGCCACGCAGACTCGCCAAATGTTATAGTCGAAGAGGTGGTAACCTTTGCGCCACAGTCGCTCGTCCAGTTCTCCTCCGTCGACAATATTTCCTCTGTAGGCAATGTCGACGTCTTCGGTGAACGGGATCATGCCCCCGTCTCGAACGGCACCTAAGAGCGTTCCGAACGTCAGGAGAGGGACAGCTCCGATCGCCTTCAACTCTCCGTAGACGTCGGCAAGTAGCATGTGCAAGACACTGGCAAAGCACAGCTTCCCTGGCGACTAGCGCAGCAGAATGTCCATCCGGTCGGCGTTGGCACAGAACGGAGAGTCCTTCCGGCCGGAGATCGGGAGGCAGTAGCGGAACTTGCGGAACTTGCGAGTGTCCGCGTTGCAGAGAACCTCGTGCGCGCCGTTGAATCGCGGTGCGGATAGCGCCCCTGAGCTTTTCATCGTCGAGTAGAACTCCGAGCCGTCGTCGACGACGTTGACAATGTTCGGAGAGCAACCTGGCTCCGGAGCTGTCGGGGCTTCGGTCTCAGCTGGAGCTTCGGGTTCGGGTGTGTCTGGAGCCTCAGTCTCTTCAACAGGGGGGCTCAGTTTCTTCGGATTCGGCCGCAGGAGGCTCTCACAGGGTCTTCCTCAGTCATTGCAGGGGCCTCGGTGTCTTCGGACTTGACCGTGGGAGGCTCTGTTTGTTCAGCCTCCACCTCGCTTTTGTCTTCTTCTGGCTGACAGAGACCAAGTTGATGTAGGGCCCGGCGTATTCGTTGATGGCAATAGGCTGGTCTGGGTTGTAGAGATTCGCAGCGAGCGGGTGGATGGGGGCAACACACACGCGCCAATTGTCGTTGTTGAGGTAGAGGTTGTACCCTTTCTTGAGCAGTGCCAGGTCCAGCGCGTTTCCCGTTGCCATCTCCCCACTGAAGGTGAAATCTACGTCTTCAGTCAGCCCGTCAGCAGAGCCACCCTCGCTATCACTGCCCAGGTCGATATTCGGAGACACTCCTGCTGCTTGGAGCTCCTCGAACACATCGGCAACCAGCATGTGCAAAACGCTAGCTAGGCACAGCGTCGATGGGGATTGGCGGACGAGAAGATTGATTCGCTCAGCCCCGGTACAAAACTTCGGGTCGTTTCGGGTGGACATTGGAAGGCAGTAGGGAATGTCGCGGTCTTCACGGGCGTTCTCATTGCACAGCGTCTTGTGTTCATCGTGGAAAACGGGTGCCGGGAGCGCCTCCATCGTCTGCAGCATCGTGTAGAACCGCTGCGTGGAAGCGTACTCGACGTCCTTAGCATCAATCATGTTCGGCATGCAGGCGTCGTCCAAGTGGGCATGCGCGTTGACCATCTCCGGCTCAGCAGCACCGGTGCTAGGAGCTGTCGACAAGACGATATTCACGTGGGGGACGAGTCTCCCGGACGTCGTTATCTTCCGGTCCGGGTCGTACAGATGCGATGCGAGCGGGTGCGTTGGTGCCACACACACGCGCCACTCGTTGTCGTCGAGGAAGCTGTGGTAGCCCTTCCGCTTCAACGCTGCATTAAAGTCATTGCCAAGCGGTACACTACCTTCGTACGCGATGGTCGTGACTCCCGCAGTTGCATCCGCATTGGTGTCAAGCGTTGAGGTGGCGTTTTTGGCGTTTGAAGACGCGTCGATCGCTCCCAGCTCTTCGAGAACGTCCGTAACCAGCAAGTGCATGACACTGGCGCGACACAACGTCAGCGGAGACTGACGCACCAGGAGATCGATGCGGTCCGCCCCAGCACAGAACACAGCGTCGTCCTGGCTCGTGATCGGCAGGCAGTACTCGAACTTGCGCTCGTCCGCGTGGTCGTCCGAGCACAGAGCCTCGTGCTTGCCGCGGAACGTGGGGGAGCTCAGCGCCGCCATGTCCTTGACCATGGCGTAGAATCGGTGGTCGGATCGGTAGTTGACGCTGGAGACGTCGAGCGTGTCGGGGCTGCACCGCGGGTCGAAGCTGGCCCAGCGAGGGAGGAACTGCATCTCGGTCGTGAGGATGGCGTCGCCGAAGAGCACGAAGACGAAGAAGGCGATGGCAGTCTTTGCCAGTCGGGTCAGTCGAGTAGGTGAGGGCAGGAGCCGCTTGGTCGGTGTTGAGTCGATCTCCACGTCCTTCTCATCTTCGTCGGTGTAGTCGTCCAAGTTGACCGGGAGAACTGCCACATCGTTCAGCGGCATGCCTGTCTTGAGACTTGATGGGGTGTAACGGAGACCGACAACTTCGAACTGATCCTGGACCGATTGATGTGATGCGTTCCTGTGGGGTCCCGTGGAAGTGCGAAGTTGCAGAGCTGCCTCAGCTATAATCGCACGAGCTCGTTGGAAGCACACACACACGTCTTTCAATAGCAATGGTGTACTTCTCGCAGCGTTAGAGTGCATTGCTTGTATATATTCAAAAACGTCGGTCTTTTACCTTCCGCCCCCAAGCCTCTTGATTATCGCGTCTGCCAGGCTGAAGCTTTGGCTTTTCTTCTTCTTGCCCGCCACGACCCGCGCTGTCTTGTCAGTATTCGTCTCCTCGGGGAACGCGTCTTCGGGTTGGCGAGGCTTGGGCGCGAGATAGCCCTCTCCATATTCCTCTTCTAGCAGGTACTTTGGGTCGTGAAGAGTGTTGAAAGGCAACCCGTTGATGGAGATCTGAGAGAACGGCTCGACGCGGTCAGTGGGTAGCGAACCTTTGAACTCCTGCATCGTCCACGACTCGCCATCGTCATTTTTCGCCATTCGGTAGAGATCCACGTAGGGAATTTTGTAGTCGTCCGCGAGTGGGGCGTCCGGGTCGTACAAGTGACTAGCAAGGGGGTGCGTCGGAGCCACGCACACGCGCCAAATGCCGTAGTCGAAGAGGTGGTAACCTTTCTTCCAGAGCGCATCGTTTAGGGCTCCATTGGCGCTGATTGAGCCGGAGTACGCGATGTCGACGTCTTCAGTGAAGGGGATCATGGATCCATTGCGAATGGCGCCCAGCAGCGTCCCAAACGTTAGAATGGGGTCGGATCCGACCGCTTTAAGCTCGTTGTAGACGTCGGTGAGCAGCATGTGCAGGACGCTGGCGTAGCACCTCGTCGACGGGGACTGGTGAGCTAGAAGCTCCATGCGGTCAGCGCCCGCACAAAAGTTCACAGCTTTGCGACCTGTAATGGGAAGGCAGTAGCGGTAGTTGCGGTTCCTTCGACCGGCGTCGCTGCACAGCGCCTTGTGGGGGCCGTAGAACGCAGGAGTCGGGGGAAGCGCCTCCATCTCCTGCAAGATGCTGTAGAACCGGTCGTTTGGGTCGTACTCGACGCTCTTGGCGTCGACCATGTCTGGGGAGCAGCTTTCGTCCAGACTGGCAGTGGCTTTCACCATCTCGGGGACGGGAACGCCGCTTGTTTCAGCTGAGGCGACAACGAGAGTCACGTGCGGCACGGCAGCCCCCGAATCTGAGATCTTCGCTTCAGGGTCGTACAAGTGCGACGCGAGGGGGTGGGTCGGCGCAACGCACACGTTCCAGCCCCCGTCGTCTTGGAACAAGTGATAGCCCTTCGACCGCAACGCATTCGCCAGTGCTCCATCCTTGGAGATGACTCCACTGTAGGCAATACTCGAGAACTCAGTAGTCATTCCGACAGCAGATCGATCTGTGGACGCTTCAGTGGGCAAAGTGAAGTTGACTTGTGGGGCTGCTCCAGCGACCTGCAGCTCCTCAAATGCATCGGAAACTAGCAAGTGCATGACACTGGCGCGACACAACGTCAGCGGAGACTGACGCACCAGAAGATCGATGCGGTCCGCCCCAGCACAGAACACAGCGTCGTCCTGGCTCGTGATCGGCAGGCAGTACTCGAACTTGCGCTCGTCCGCGTGGTCGTCCGAGCACAGAGCCTCGTGCTTGCCGCGGAACGTGGGGGAGCTCAGCGCCGCCATGTCCTTGACCATGGCGTAGAATCGGTGGTCGGATCGGTAGTTGACGCTGGAGACGTCGAGCGTGTCGGGGCTGCACCGCGGGTCGAAGCTGGCCCAGCGAGGGAGGAACTGCATCTCGGTCGTGAGGATGGCGACGCCGAAGAGCACGAAGACGAAGAAGGCGATGGCAGTCTTCGCCGGCCGCGACAGTCGAGCTGGCTTCGACTGCAGCAGAGGCTTGAGGGCGACCGTGTCATCCTTGTCGACTCCGAGATCGAGATCGAGATCCCCGTCGTGGTTGGCGAGGTGACTCGGCAGCACTGCAACAACAGAGCCTTTCATGAAGGAGAGAGATCTTGTCGTGGTGGGGACTGCTGTTTGATAGTGAGAGGCTCATGCGCCGGTACGTGAGCAATCTCGCACGAGAAGGTGTGCGTCGGCAGATACTGACCGTTGGTTGCAGGTACCTGCCCTCTCGATAACGGAAAACCCACAGGCGATAACCGTTGCGCTGGTCGCATCCACCCCTTGCGTGCTGTTCGAACGTGGTTATCTGTAAGTTTCATTAACGAACTTCCACCTAACAGCAATCGTAGAAACCACAAACTGACCACCTTTAGATTTTCAGCTTTAACTTACACTAAGTTACGACACCAACTTACTCAACTCACATACGCACCACTCCACTGCTACTCGATTCTGCATCTGCGCTGCTGAGAAGGACCTTCTCAACCACTTCATGCACCAGCCCAAAGTTGTGGCGATAGGTGCCAACAATTAGGTCCGTGACTTCACCGATGTGCATCTGCGCCTCCTCCTGCGAGTTGAACTCGGAGACCTCGGGCACCAATTGGATCGCCATTCTAGCCAAGCAGCCTCGTTTAAAGCTGCTGGAGCTGCTGTCAGCGCCCTGTGTAACCCCTCGGTAGAACTCGAAAGTCGACGACGTACTCCACCCTTTGTCACGAAGTCGAACCGAGACCGACCCGTCGATCTCCACGTAGCTGCTCCACACGAATACGACGCGGTCGTGCTCGATATGCCGTCTGAACGCGGCTCTCTTGGTGATGCGGACTTTGTGCGCCTTGGGAAGCTCCAGTGTGTCGCGGAAGATGAGGTTCAAGTGGTCTATAGTGAGCGCGTGCGCCTGGGTGTCTTTAACCACCAGGCCGCAGTGCAGACTGTTCCAGAGCGCATCGTGCCAGTCTTGCAGCGGGAACGGCAGCAGCCGCGCTTCCTCGTAGCGAAACGATACGCCATTGTCCTCACGCTTGAACTCCAGCCCACCCGCTAGGTCGTGAAGCACGTTCGAGAGCCCCGACGTCGTCATGACTGTGTTGACGTCAGCGAACTGCGACTCCACGCTCGCGTTCAGCTGAGCGAAAATCTCCGCGTCCGTCAGTGTCATGGCGGGTCCATTCGCGCGCATGCCGTGCCACGGACTCGCCTCTCTCTGATGCTGTTCGATGGCGGCCTCCAGCACGCGCGCCACCTGCAGCTGGCCCAAGAGTCTGTTGCGCAGCCTCCGGTTCTCGTCGATGGAGTTGTCGACCGCTTCGCGCTGTCGGTCCGCGATGTCCTTCCAGCTCGAGAAACCCCGCGGGATCAGCGCTGTCTGTTGTGTCTGAACGACGCTCAAGTCCTCGCTGCCTGCAGCTAAAGCATCGGGAGAACCCACAGCTTCCGACTTGCTGAGCTTCTCCAGCTCCTCCTGCAGCTCCGCCACCTTGGACCGTAGATACTCCAGCTCGTGCTTTGGACGCCTGCGGTTGCGCCGCTTACACGTCGAGTAAGGCCGCAGTCGTCCGTCGATTTTCTTCGGAGGCGACTGCGTCTCCTGCTTCGCTGAGGGAGAGCCACTGGCGCTCGAGGGCTTGGACGAGACCTTGTCCTTGTCCTTGTCCTTGCCCTTGTCCTTGTCCTGCTCGTCCGAGGAGCTCAGCAGCTCCTGGATCTCCAGCGACAGCAGCATCGAGTCCAAGTCCACGCCATCGCCCACCGACTTCCTTGGTGTGGTGGCCACTGCGTCCACGTTCACTGGGGAGCTGAGCACGGGCCACGCCGCCTCCTCCGTGAAGTAGCCGAGCGCCTCCATCAGGTCTGCGTCCACGGCCACAGTCGTCATCTCCATGGCGTGAGTGACTGATACCCTGCTGAGGTGTCGTGTCGTTGCTGTTCTAGTCGCGGAGACTTCTGAAATCGGTGAATGAGCCCTTCGCCTATGCCATCACGCGCGATGACGTTCCCCCACCCGGCAGACGCATGGCAAAGCGCGTGGGGACCGCCGTAAGCAAGGGCAGATGTCCAGAGCGGCAAATCGCAGACTGCGATCGCGAGGCGCTTTGTCAAAGTATCCGTTCTCCATCGAGAAGGCCGTTGTCTGCCCTGCGTCGTGGCGACGTGAGTGAGCTGTGTCGACTAAAGCCTCTTTAGTGGCGCTACGGGGCTCTCGGGGCTCAAGCCACACGCCGTCCGGAACGTGTATGGACCGGTAGCTGCTGACTCAGCGCTGGTTATCCGCTTTGAGTATGGTGAGACCGTGGACTTCGTTGCACCGGAACTTCGTTCGAGGTGAGGTGTCTCCATGCAGTGTGAATGGAGATTACAGCTAGAGCCGAGTCTCAAGTCCCCGGTAATCAGCTCCAGCTCAATACGCTCCAGCCCAATGGTCATCGTCGCAGTCGCCTTCTTTCCAGCTACAGTCTTGACGGTCGCTTGTGATGCTGCAGCGCGCGGTTCGGTCGCAGCGGTGGCTGGTGAGGCAGCAGAGCTCGCTCACGTTGCCCGAGCTGGGCGTGTTCGAGTTCCTGGTGCTGTGCTTCGAGCAGGTGGCGGTGGCGGGCGCGGCCATGAACTGCTTCCAAGCAGCAGCAGCAGCTGAAGAAGACGATGGCGGTGACGATGGGGGCAACGTGCCGTTGTTCCTTCCGGCGGTGGCGCGCGTGATCCCGCAAGCCGTGATGGTCATCGTGGTGCTGAGCTTCTGCATCGTCTGGGGCTCTCAAGTCGCTCAGTGGGGGCTTCGACTGCTTCATTTGAGCTGCGCGGACCGAGTCACGTTCGTCGTGAGGCGGAGATACCTCCCGCCGGTCATCGCGCTGCTCAAGCTCTTCTTCCTGCTCTACGCGACGCTGAGACTCAACGACTCCAGCGGGCTGCAGTGGAAGCAGCAGACGAGTGCGCTCTGCGCCGCGCTCATCCTCGTGGTCTGCGAGATCGTGGACGTCTTTGCTGTCGCGCACTCGTGGGCGCTGAGTCGATGGCGAGGCGTCCCCATCGTGGACTGGCGCGAGCAGGAGCAGGAAGAGGGAGGCGAAGTGGACGCCAAGCAGTTCGTACTCACGTTCTTCGACCGGTGGAAGGACTGCGGTCGTTCCTGAGCCAGAGTGAGATCACGCTGCTGATAGCCGAGATCCCGTCCATGGCGTGGGCCAGCTGGACGTGCTGCCAGCGCGGAGCTACGCCCGAGCAATTGTCGTATCAGTTGCATCGCTGGCTCACGGTGCTCACCATTGTCATGGGCATGAACGTGATCCTGGTATCGCCCGAAGTCGAGAACGACGTCGTCGGAGCCTCCATCTTCCTGATCGCTGACGTTGCGCTGACAGCTCTGAGGCTCTTTGAAGGGCGACACCGACGACGAGCTCGAAGAGAAGCCGTGCGGGCCCAGCGCCTTACTATGATGACTGCAGCAGCGGACAACGATGAAAGCCACGGTGATAATGGCGATAACAGCAGCGGTGAAGAGAATGACGGCGTTGAGGCAAGTAAAGTATCTAGTTCTCAAGGCCAAGCTGGAAGCCACGCGCCTGTTCTTCCACACCCACAGCGACCTACGCCAAAACGCGCTGATAGCGTGCTGAAGCAGTGCTGGGACCTCAAGCGCCGTGGGGTTTGGAGAGATACTGTCGCGCGTGGAATCCCCGTGAAGGAGTGGGCGTACGCGTCTCTCGACTGTCTGTACTCCATCTTGGTGGTGGTGAACTTCTACGAGACCGTAGACGGCTCCGAGCTTCAGGTTATGCCTGGCCTTTTGACTGCTGACAGCTCCCTGCAGGCTGAAGAGCAAGAGGAGCAGCTCATGAGGCAGGTCAACCGCGTGTCCATGGTGGTCTCGTCGGCTTTCTGGTCGATTTTGGGGCTGTCTCTTGCTGCTCGCCTACTCATCCAAACGCCAGCGAGTCCCTGGAGTCCCCCACTACTTCCCAATGGATGAATCCGCTACCACAACGGCTCGAAGCCCCAACTACTTCGCGTTGAGTGTCGAGGTCATGAAGGCGCTGCTGCTTCCAGTGCCGATCTGCGGCTGTGTGTACGTGCTGGTGCCAGTGGATCACTACGTGTTCAAGCAAGGTGTCAACGTGTTCGTGGCTGGAGCCATTGGAGCGATCGCAGCAGCGAGATCCATCGACGCTTGTAGTCGATCCTTGTACGGCCTTGGGCGCTTCGATGGCGATCCTCCTGGCGTCGAGATGTTTGGCGGCTCCCCGTACGTCAAGGTCAGCACGGCGTTGCAGGTCTTCTGGGACCGCTTCAACGACTTCCTCGGTCCGCTGAGTCTCGACCACCTGGTCGTCAGCTCCCAAGTCGCGTCCAGGAACTTCACCGTCGTCTACTTCCTGCTGTGCGTCTGCGTGCTGCACGCTCTGATCGCATACGTGGACGCCATCAACATCAAGAGCGCAGTCTACCGAGCCGAGCGCCTTGGCTACCTCGTTGCAGTCACGTTCCTCGTCCGCAACTCGGTCAAGTACGTCGAGCGTCAAGGCGCGGACGTCTACGCGCCTGTGCTGCTCGTAGCGATCGAGTTCTTCGGACAAGTCTCCGCTCTCGTCTCACGCTGCAAGATTTGGTGCTCCAAGCGGAAGGCGGAGGCTGCAGAACGAACTTCACGCCAGTTGCCCATGCTGTCTTCTATCTCTGAGCCCGACGAGTGGCCCGTACTCAGCTCCGAGGAGAGCGGAAGACGTTCGACCCTTTCGACTGAGACTCGCGTTGCCTATCGACGCGTGAACAGCGTCTGAAACGGAAGCTACGTCGTCAAAACTTGCGCAAGGTGAATTAGCATTATCTACTGGAAGATTTCGCACTGCTGTAGAGCGCCTGTGACGGCCGAAAGCACGCCCCAGTAGTGCATCCTTCGGCGAAGCAGATTGCCCGCGAACAGCTTGGGTAGTGGAGTGGATCCCAGCCCCATCATACACTCGGACCACAGCTTCTCCTCGTGCGAAGAGCGAGTCAGCTCCGTGCGTGGCAAGCGCGGCGTCATGTGCGTCGGCAGCGAGTTGAACATGTTGTTCCACTGCGCCTGCCGCACAAAGCCGATGCCCTGCGGATACGGGTCCAGTAGCGCCTTCCCGTTCACGTACAACATCTCGGGAACTCGGTCCTCACTGGGCATGTACTGGAGAATGCTGCCGCAGAGCGAGTCCGGGTGCTTCTCCATGTCTCGACTCGGAGTCGACGACACCACGCTCACTCCCCACGGCGAGAATGAGTAGGGCACGTGCGCCAGCTCAAACGACAGCCAGAATGTCTCCTACAAACAGCAACAAGCAGTGAATATCTGTGAACAATCGAGGGTGGAGTCTAGAGCAGATAAGCTCGCACCTTGTCGCCGAAGGAGTATCGGAATCGGAGACGCTCTTCGGTGATGAACCAGAGCATTATGTCCAAGACGGTTTGGCCCGCGCGTTCCTTGTCTACCAGCACTAGGGAGGAGTCCATCTCGTGGCACGTTTTCCCTGCGTACGCGAACGACTCGAGCGCTTGACGGGACGGAGCGTGCCAGTATTCCTCGGACAAGTTGAACCGCCCGTAGTCGAACGTGGTCAGGAGCTTCTTGAGGTACTGCATGTCGCCGTCCTTGCCGTTCAAGTGCTCGCTGCAGTTGGCGTGCACTCGGTCGTAGAAGAACGTCGTGCCCGTTGTCTGGTACGGCTTCAGGCTGCGGAGATACGCTGGGTCCTTCATGATAATGTCGTCGACGTCCATCAGTATAACGTGCCGCACGTCGGTATCGTACAGGGCCAGAGGTTTGATCCACCAGCTCCGGAAGTCGCCGGCCATCTCGCGCTTGATCACGCCGCGCTGCACAAGGTCTCCGCACACGTCCACGGTCTCCAGTCGGTCGTCAATACTGAAGAGCAGCTCTCTCGACTCGTCCGACAGCTCCTCCGGCCCGCAGTGATACACTTGGATGAGCTCCTCATTCCCGAGACACCGCAGCTCTCGCACGAGCGACACGCCCATGGCCAAGACGCCGTTGTGGATGCACAACAGGATGGCCTTGTCACGTGAGACGCTCGAGTCGAAGTCGCGACTGCGTTGGAGGAAGGCGGAGTCTTTCGCCACGCGGTTCCGGAGGAAGCCGCCTCTGGAGCTGCTCGAGCTGCTCATGTACCCGATGAGAATCACCGTCATGGCGACGACGTAGAGCGCGAGCAGAGGCAACAGCAGCACAAAGCGCTGCTTCCGTGCGGCCAGCATCGTCGAGTTAGATGAAGAAGGGGGACGATGTGATGGAGGGGCGGAATCCATTTCGCTCGCTACGGGCCGTTGGTTACATGAACGGCCATGAGGCGTGTGCGTTACTGCGGCTGCGGCTTTCGGGCTCAGCGGTTGACGCTCGTTCACTTCCAGATTCCTCGCTGATGCCAATGGTGCAGCCTCAGAAGCCTCGTGGTCGCGCCTCCAGCGTGTCCTGGACGTCTGCTTCTCGCCCACAGACGTTGTTTCTCGTGCTCATGGCGCTGTCTGCAGTAGGGGTGCTCTTCACGACGTCCCAAGTGGGCTCCTTCGTGCAAGTGAATCAAGACCAGACAGCGACTTCAGCAACGACAGCAGCAGGCAAAGCCAGTCGACTGCATTTCAGATCGGCCGAAGAGGGCGCGCTGCAGACCGAAGCTAACGCTACCACTAATGCTAACGCCAGCTTGGAGTTGAGCGAGGCTGCCACCGGCATCCCTCGCATCATTCACCAGTCGTGGAAAACCACCGACAAGATCCCGACGCGGTTCTTCCCGTGGATGCGGAGCTGGCTGCAGTTCAACCCGACGTGGGCGTACACCTTTTGGACGGACGAGGACAACCTGCAGCTATTCGAGCGCCTCTATCCAAAGTACCTGGACGTCGCCAAGAACGTGCAAATGGTGGCGCTCGCGGACATGGCGAGGTACGCGCTGCTCCACAGCGTCGGCGGGCTGTACATCGACGCGGACTTTGAGTGTCTGAAGCCGTTCGAGGAGCTGCACCGAGACAACAACCTCTTCCTCAGCACAGAGCCATTAGCGCACTCCGTTCTGCTGGAAGGCGCGACTTCTTCCGCTCTGTGCAATGCGCTCATGGCGTCCGTACCGGGGCATCCGTTCTGGCTGCAGGTTCTGGACAACATCAAGGTTAAGTTTGCCGAGGGGGTTAGAGATCCCGTGTCGCTCACGGGTCCTCGCATCGTGAAGGAGACGTACCTGACTGCGACGCCTGAAGCTGCGGAGGTGATAGTCTACCCGCCGGAATACTTCTACCCCGACATCGCTCACTGGAACTCCGAGCCGTTTGACACGGCGTGCCGCAATCGAGATGACGAAGCAGCGAAAGAGGCCTGCGAGTGGATGAAGAAGTTCCCCAATGGGGAATACACAGACAACACGCACGCGGTTCATCACTGGCAGTGCACGTGGTGCCGAGATGCCCAGCTGACAGAGTACGGGTCTCTCGACGACATCTTTTCATCGCCCGTGATGCGCCCCAATATTTCGTCGACTGGAGTTACGCTCACCCCGTATATTCCTGCTAATAGTGCACACTTCTGGCCATTCTGGTAGAAACAACGGCGAGAACTTCAAGCGCTGTAGTGTAGGAGGCTAGTTTTTTTTCTGCTTACATTATTTGAATTGAATTTGATGCACAACGAGAAAACTTCTTCACTTCGACGTATCCGTACCATGAGATTGTGCCGTAACACTCTCACGTTTGTCTTCCCTGTGGATTCTACGGGTCTGAGTCGAATTCGTAGCAAGAATCAAGCGCTGACAGCACGTCCATACGAATGCCCAAGTAGAACATCCTCCTCCGTAGTAATTGAGGGGCGAAGTTACTCGCTAACCCCTCCGCTCCGAAGCCCACGAGGCAGTCCTCATGGAACTTACCAGTGTAGGTCGTATTCGTCACCCCATTCGGCCGCCGAGCTTGGCGTGGCGTCACGTAGGTCGGTGTGGGGTTGTACAGAAGGTTGGCGGGGGCTCTGCCGCGGTTGGCTAGGCCCTCGGGGAACGGTTCTAACAGCGCTCTCCCACTCACGTAGAGCAACTCAGGTGGGTCCTCCTCCACCGGAAGGAAATGCGCCAGGCTACCACACAACGAGTCTGGGTGGTTCTTCATGTCTTGGTTCCGAGACGATTCAATAGCGCTCGCCCCCCACGGAGAGAATGAATACTCCTGCTCCCCCAGCGCATACGCAACCCAGAAACTCTCCTGCTCGTGGAAGGAAAAGTCTCGCTCGAAGCGCTCGACCGTAATGAACCAATGCAGCACCTCCATGGCCTTCCCTGCCTGCAACTTGTTCACGGCGACTAAGGACGCGTCTTGCTCGCGCGCCGTCTGCCCCTTGAACGCGTACGAGCGAGTGAGATAGTCCGGAAGCTCCTTCACCCCACTCAATAGGGTTTTGAGGTACGTCGAGTTGTTGCTCTCCTCCTGGTTGAACCACTCACGGCTGTCCACCACTCGGTCGTAGAAGAAGGAGGTGCCCGTGCGCTTGTACCCCGGCGTCGACCGCAGCACGGCAGGATCACGCAGGAAAATATCGGCGACGTCCACCAGCAGAACCTCCTCGATGTCCGTGTGCGTCAGGGCGAGCGGCTTCAGCCACCAGCCTTGAAACTTCTCTGCTACTCGGCGACTCAGCAGTTTGCGCTCCACCAGGTCCGAGCACACGTCGACGATCTCCAGTCGCGCGTCGGCGCGAAGCAACAGAGTTCTCGACTTCTCCGACATTTCGTCTTCGAAGCAGTGACACACCTGGATGAGCTCGTGGTTCCCGAGGCAGCGCAGCTCCTTGACCAGCGATAAACCCATGGGCACTGCGGCGTTGTTCATACACATGAGGACGCCTTTGTCGCGAGGTACCGAGCTATCAAAGCTAGTCACGGGCGTCTTCTGCTGTCTCTGGTGGGTTCGAACACGCACAATTTGCTCGGAGGGGGCGGAAACGCGGCTGCAGAGCGTCAAAGTCGACGCAAACACCAGACAACACAAGACGAAGACCCGCAGCGCATAGGTCGATACGCCACCTTGTTTGCCTTGAGCTACAGCAGCGGTCGAACTCAATAACGAACGCAGAACCTTGTGGGGCTTGCGCCTTTGAACGGACCTTCCTCCGCCCAGCATGGTGGGAATGGGAATGCCGAGCCAAATTGGCGAAAGCTGGCGACCGTTAGCTGCGGTGGTTTCGTGAAAGCACTAATCGACGTCCCCTTGGCCAGAGCGAAGCATGAAGCAGGACTTGGAGCATGGTGAAGGAGGTTCGGCCCCTTGTTCGCGGTACAAGCTCCTCTCGAGACCATTCAAGGTCATCTGTGGACGCTCCTGGCATGCCCGACTGGCGCTCTTTCTGTTGTACTTGGTGGTGGCCGTAGTCGTCGTGAGCATGGGATTGTCGATGCTGGCCACGCGGCCGCAATTGTTTCACGCCCGCGGCGCCACGTTCGACCGCAGCGTGAGCAGACACAAGGCGATTGTCATGTGCATGCACAACGGCGTGGTGCCCATGGGGCTGTCGCTGGTTCGGGAGCTGCGCTGTCTCGGCAACCAGGAGCTTATCCAGGTCTACCATTGCCTACCGGGGGAGCTATCGAAGAAATCCCGAGAACTTTTGTTCGCGGCGGACTCGCGACTGGAGATCGTGGACGTGTGCTCAGATCTCGCGGAGCGCGGCGACATGAGCTTGAAGCTGGCTGAGCAGTTCCGTAGCTGGTGGATCAAGCCTCTAGCTCTGTACCATTCGGACGCGTCGGAGGTTATTTTACTAGACGTGGACGACCTGTTCATGCGCGACCCGGCAGTGCTGCGTACGACGGAGGGCTACAAGCGCACGGGCACCACCTTCTTCTACGATCGCGTGACGTCCGGCAAGTTCTTCTTCAACCAGCAAATGGCCAACAACAGGTCGTACCTGGACAACCTCCTGCACGGGTTCAACTACTCCAGCCTCGGCGTGAGCAGCGGCTACGCGCCGACCGCTCATCTGAGGAAGTCGTTCGCCTACAGGGGCGAGACTCACCACGAACAGGACTCGTCCGTTGTGGTCGTGGATAAGTCGCGCTCTCGTATGGCAATGGCGGCGCTGTGGTGGCTCATAACGGAGGAGAGACTCAACGATGGCTCTCGAGGGAGGAAGGAGGGTCCAAAAGGGTCCTTCTCCTTTGGGGACAAGGAGTCCTTCTGGCTGGCGTTCGAGCTAGCCAAACAGGAGTACTTCTTCAGTCCGTGGGGTGTCAGCGTGATCGATTCCTCGACGAATAACGATCTTTCAGCTCACAACGACTCGCTCTGCGGGAGTATCGCACACTTCATGCCCGTGGAGGGTGGGCGTTCGCACTGGTCGACTACTTCCTCAAGCGGTTCTTCCGCGTGTATCCGTTCTTCGGGTTGGTCGCGGTCTTGCTGCGGCTTCTTCCGTTCGAGTACCAGAGGCGCTTCTTCCTGGTCGAGACCGCAGAGAAGTACGATCTGTACAAAGTCCTGACGTTCGACTTCGACCACCGCTACCTCATGCTGTGGACGCTGCCGCTGGAGATCGCGTACTACTTCTTCATCCCCGTGTTCGTGGTGGGGATGGCTCGACTGCGGGGCTACTGGTGGGTGGCCTGCATCCCGTTGCAGGCGTGGGTAGTACACGACGGATTCTACGTCTTCCGATCGCACCACATTCTACTCCGTCCGCACTTCACGACGTTCCTTCAAGGCTCACTCGCTGCTGTCGTCTTCGTCAAGTTCAACGCGTGGCGCAAAGCTTCCGGGTTTGAGTTCCGTCCCTGGCACGTGGTGGGCGTTCGGGCTGCAGAGTACGCGATAATCATCCTGCTCATCGGCGAGTGCTTCCGCTGCCTACTCTGCGAATGGGTGCACCAGTTCGTGCCTGTTTCCCCTGGCGACCCGTTCATCAGCACGCTGTTGGCTTCAGTCATCGTGATTGAGATGGTTCTGCCGTCGACTGTGTCCACGACGCTCGAGTGGAACGTTCTGCGCCACTGGGGCAAGATCAGCTTCTCGGTTTACTTGCTCCACCCGTTCGTCATTTTCTCCGAGAGGATCAGCAAGAAGGCCAACTACTTCGACCGGTTTTTCGAGCGGGTCCTTCTCCTGCTGGTGGTCGCCACGGCGTCGTTCTACTTGGTGGAGTTGCCGCTACAGAAGGCGGTGCACAAGCTTTCTCGAGCACTGACACAGCTGGAGACCAAGGACTTTGGAGCGCTGGTACACGCAGTGACGCTAAAGGCAAAGAAGCAGAAATCCCAGCGGCCGTTCATCGCGTAGACTTGTATGATCGACCTGTTGCAGGTTGCACAACTAGCGTAATGCAGCTTTATGGCAATATTTTACTCTAGCTGCTCATTTGATGTGAATTTATCCGGAAGTGCAATGAGCGGAGCTCAATGGAACAAGTGGATAATTAGTTTTCCGGATTGCAGCAAGAGAACAACCAGCGAGCAACCAACAACTGCTGGATAAGGTCAGCAAGCACGGATGCACTCCTGTCCGAGGCAACTCATTCTGGGTTGAGCGTCACGGAGCATGACACTGCTGTGGCCGGCACGAAGCACACTCAAGTCGGCACTAGGCCTTTGGCACCATAGAAAAATTCTAATTTGCGTTGTCGCTCTATTTAAGGCTCCTATATATTTCTCTTTACTAATACGTACTGTGCCATGACTTGAGGAACTGCAGCCCAAGGTGCTAGTGATCGGCTCTTGGTGTCCTCGTCGACTTCTGGCATCCACCTGACGGCGCTACCAATGACGTACAGCTACAACAGTTCCCACTGCCACGACGAAAAGGCGATCTCGCCTCAGATCAGGGCGAGTTTCGATGATGGACTTGGAGAATCCGATGATTGGTGGTCTTGTTTGGTGTTCAATGACAAGTTACCGCTGCTGGATGCGTGGGGTTGGCATGATGCGCCCCTCACCGTATGGTTTGAAGACAAGTTGTCGGCGTCCGGTTGCCGCTTCACCAACAACTTGGTGACGAAGAAGGCGTGTGATTGCAGAATTGTCACTTCCCTCGCTGTGCGTGCTGCGATGGGCATTTCTCATGCAACGTCTGCTGTGTGTGCAGCTTTGGATGCTTTCGTTGAACTTCGGCTCGTTTTGTTTGGGGCTTCTGCCGCGTGTGGTTATTGCGTCGGGCTTCGGCTCGTTTTGGTTGCTGCGTTGCAGCTGAGTGAGTGATTATTGCGTTGGTCTTTGGCTCGCTCGGTTGCTGCTTTTGCAGCTTTGTGGCAAGGGCGTCGCGTGTTGGCTCGTTCGTTCACTGCCGGTGCAGCTTTGTGGTTATTGCGTCGGCCTTGGCTCGTTCGTCTGCGTTTTGTGCAGTTGTGTGCTTGCCGCGTCGAGTGGCGCGCCTACTAACTTGGCCACGTTTCATTGCTCAACTCTCTTTATGGGGGCTTTCGCTCCCTCATCATGGCCAAGTGTGGGTGAAAATGCTGATTTCCTGAACACAAGCCCAGGATAAGGACGCGGGCTCGCTGTGGAGTGGCCGCGAACCGATGTGGCTTTCTACTGTTGGATATCATGCCGCCGAGTTTGTGGAGATGCGTCATCAGAGCAAATGAGGTAGCACGGGCTACACTATCTCGCACCACGTCAAAGCACAGATGACCGAGCCCGTGTCGGCCGTGAACTTGAGACACTATGGAAACAACGACCGATTTGGGGGGTCTCGCGATCCTGTGTTAATGGGCCATTCATTGGGGGCTGCCATTCGGCACATTGCCCTCTAACCAAAGTGCCTAATGCCTTTGGCCCACTAACACAATGAAACACTTGATACCCACCAATACCTGGATGCATTGAGGAAAGTTGCATTTTGGGACGACAACCACATTGAAAGTCTCAACTTGAGGTCGATTATCGGCCTTCCGGTAATTTGACATTTTAACGCCGAAACTCGCAACAAGCAGATGAAGGATTCTGGTGGGCCCCCTCCTTCCTATCACTATTCGAGCGGATGCGGTCTGGAGAGAGAGAGAGGTACACGTGCGGTTCCCACGGCTTGTGAAAGTTCCGTCACGGTTACAGCCGCACTCCCAAAGCAGGTAAATCCAATCTGAAGGAGCGGTTGACCTTCAGCGACTGAAATGGCTGGCTCCCTGAGAAGGTGTCTATGCCGCCGAGATCCCACAAACGGTGGGTGCTACCGTCCGTTAGGAAACGACTCTGCTGTGTTTGGCTGCAGTATCAGGACTTGTCGTGCTTGCCCTTTGGCCCCGGAATCCTTCGCCCACAGCAATCTACTACACCTTTGCCACTTCAAGGTGGTATTAGTGCAATTCAATTTGGCAAAATATAACGATGGAAATTCAAATGTCATTTTTAATTTTTAGGTTTCAAGTCAAAGTGGAATTTCTAAAGTTCAAACGGACTACGACTGGCCCACCAGCAATTATTCGCGCCCACCAGCGTTCAGAGAGCTGTCACTTTGCAACTCACCTCGACTGGCTCATGCCTAAGGAACCGACGCACAGCCTCGCGGCTCGCGCGCGCGTCTTAGACGCGTGACGACCTTGTGCTCCTCCGACTTGCGCCGTACTCTCCTATGTGCAACCCGATTGAAGGTGCGTTTTCCCCTTCTGTTGCTACTCTATGGGTTCATACTAACGCTTGGCTTGTGCGATTCTATTACAGGTTGCTTCAGCGTGCTGAAAGCTGCGATCAAGCGCTACCTCGCGCTTAGTCACGACGACATGCTCAGTGCCCCCCGTGGTCAGATGACCGCCGCGCATGCAGCTGCTGGCAAGCTGCTGGGGCAAGCTGCGGAGGTCTGCATGAACTGCATGGACCTACTGTACGCCTTGTGAACAAGATGGCGCTTCACTGCGCCCAGGCAGTCGTCGCTGCGAAGCGCGGTGAGCCGATGGTGTACGGAACTTGACCACTGTGGTGTGTACAGCATCCACTTTGACTCAAAGTCAAAGTTTTGAGTTTCTATTTCTAATTCTATTTTAGAAATGGAAATAGAAATTTTCAGCGCTGCTCACTGTGTTGTACTTTGGTCGGTTTGAGGTGGCAGATCACCGACTGCAGTACTTCCAGCAACGGTTCACAATACTCTCCTGAATCCCGCCCTGCTATCGTCTACTACCGGTAGATATAGTCTCGGCCCGAGACGTATTCGTGAACTGGAGCAACCAAAAGACGAGAAGGGGTTGAGCTGAGCACTGCTCAGCAGGTGACCTGCTCAGTGAGCAGGTTTAGCGTTCGAAACCGACGCAGGTGATTTACGTCCGTTTTAGGATGAACGCAAACGGGTAAAGCGAAGTCCGTTGAGCGCAAATTGAAACGACATCGGTTGCGGCTAACGCCCGCTGTTAGGAAGGTCGTTCATTGGGAAAATTCGCCGTCCGTTTCTGGTAAACGCTATTAGCCGGGAGCTACCTGTAGTACCTAGCTAAGACCGAACACCAGAGTCCATCGCGGCTTCTGCAGCGCAACCTCCCGACCGAGAAGCCACGACCAAATGATGAAGGATCTGTGTGTGCTTCTTCAGCTTTGGCGCTTGCGAGCAGCCAAAAGAGGGCGGGAAGGCAATGCGAGAGGCCTCCTCTTCGTCACCGTGTCCCTCCTACTGATCGTCCTAGGGGGGAGAGCTCTCATAGCGCCTCGCGACAAGTTCTTTCGAGCTCTACCGTTGCCAACGAGCGTCTTGCACCCGAACACGCCCCTGCTAGCTGGTCTCAACTCTACTATCGCGTTCTCCAGTCGATCAGTTGTCGCACGATTCACCGAGTATACCGAGCTGTTCCCCCAACATGCACTACCGCATTGAAAACACCGACTTGCTCGCCCAAGACGAGACCCGGGACAAGGACTCACTCTTGCTGATCATCGTCTTCAACGGCGCTGAGTCATGGGGCGCCAACCGCACTGTGGCCGACTTCTTTCCTCTGCTCGAACCGATGGACTCCCGCAAGGAGAAGATGTCGATCGCGTTGCTGACATCGTCCAAAGATGATTTCGAGAAGGTGAAGGGCATCTTCGCGGACGAAATTCAGCACTATGCCCAGCTATCGGTAATTTTTCGCAACGACTTCAGTCCCGAGGGTTTGACCCGTGAGAACCGCCTCGATGATACTATCCAGGCGAACCGCCGGCGGATGCTCGCTCGATATCGCAACTACGCACTGCTATCGACGCTTCAGACCTGGCACCAGCACGTGGTGTGGCTAGACGCAGACGTCATCTCGATCCCACCAGACCCATCTCCAAGCTGGCCCAATGTACGTTGTAAAGATCAAGTGTTCTGAATCATGGTGGCGTCTAACTTTGAGTTGTTGCGTTTGCTTGAACTTTGTAGCTGGGCTCGATAGTGTGCACCCACTGTGTGCCCGCGGTAACTGGTACGTCTATGATCTCAACGCGTGGGTGGGTCATCGCAAGGTTCGACCACCTCTGGCTACGGGTTTCGTGCCGGGCCCCTTGAGCGTAAGAAATATGCAAGACCTCTACGCGGAGACGGAAGACGTTGTTCAGCTCGACTCCGTTGGAGGCACGATGCTTTACGTGCGAGCGGACGTCCACTGCCAAGGCGTCATTTTCCCCTCCCACTATGTGATTGGCAGCGAATGGGGCGCTGAGGGCTACGATGGTATCGAGACCGAAGGAATCTGTTACAGCGCACATTTCCTCGGCTTTAAGTGCTGGGGGATGCCCAAGGAAATCATTTACCACTCCGAGTAGCAAGCGGCCCAGTAAGAATGTAATGCTGTTTCCATGGAACACTCGTTTGAAATTCCAGTTTAGCACCAGAACCCAACTAAGGGAAACTTGCCTTGCATTTGTATAATAAATTTGAAGTATAAAATTTAACTGAAAATATACAGCGGGCAGGATCTCTCTCTCTGGTTGCTTTACAGCTTCAATCGCAATCGACAGCAAGAAAGCAGTTTCCATCCCACCGCTTCGTGTAGTATGCAGAGATCCGGCGGCCCTCGTCGCGCCAAGCCAGCCACTCGGCTTGGGCTTTGGGCGACTGCTCTGAAAACAGATCCACCTGCATATCGTGATCCGTTTCCGTGTTATGTAGCTGCATCCAGTCCGTAATGCTATCAAAGCGCAGGCGCAGGTTACCACGAACCACCGACATCTTATACCCCGGGACGTTACTGAAGACGCCTCGGTCACCAAAGCGCACCTTGCGCTTAAGCGAGCGGCCAACTCCGTTTTGCTCAAAGCCTCCATCTGGTACGCCCGTGATATCCGCCAATGTGTTGAGAATATCGTACTGCTCGACTGCGTCTTCGATCACAAGTCCCGTAGCATTGCCCAGCCGCCCTTCAGCAACGATAGCTGCTGCCACTCGAGTTACTGACAACTCGTCCCTGTGGATTGAATCCGCTTCGGGAGCTTGTCCGTGATCGCCCATGATGACGACAATGGTGTCGTTCAGAACCCCTGCAGCGGCCATGCGATCCATGAATTTCCCCAGCTCCACGTCGGTGAAATGCCGCATCTCCAGGTAGCTCTTGATACTTCCGGCGTACTTTTCACCTTCGTAGAGTGCCGAGAAGTCGGGCTTTTCCGCCTCAGCGTACCACGTCGGACGCGCGTCGAACGGTGCGTGGCTGGAGATCGTGTAGTGAGTGATGAACAGCGGCTGCTTAGCCTCACCGTTGGCCACACGCTCGCTCTGCTCCTTCGTCTTGTTCACGAGTAGATTACCCAGAATCTGCAGGTTGAGATCATCATGAACCCCCCACGTGAACCCTCGATGCTCGTCCCCGTACCAATCGTCGTGCGTGATACCCAAATCTTTCTCCGCCCATTCCGCTATATCGTTCTTGCTCCAGACAGTGTCGAAGCCGTGACTCGGTAGAAAGACGTTCCAGTTTTCAAAGTCTGTGGCGCATCCAGTGGTGAAGTACGTCTCGTACCCTTTAGCCTTGAAGAACTGAGGTAGACCCGCCAGCTTGGTATTTTTTCTGCCTCCGGTGATGCCCGTTTTGACGGGACTGTCGTAGGGAGTCTGTGCGAACAGCATACTCTCCAAGGATCGACTGGTTGGGTTGCTTGACCACATATTGCGCAGCGCAACTCCACGCTTCGCCCACCGATTAAAGTTCGGCGTAATGGTCATGTTCGCACCTTTGAACAACTTGGCAGGGTCTTCGTCTCCCACCAGGTAGCGTGAGTCGTGCCACCGGAACGACTCGACACCGATGACGAGAACGTTGGGCGGGTTTTCTGGCGTAACGTTGATATTGAACGCCAGATCGCCCTGGAAACCGGTAGTTCGCCTATAAAGCGAGTTCTTCCCGAAAGGTTTGTACTGCTCCGTTGAGTGGATGTTCGTCTCGATTGGAGGCAGGTTCGAGTTTGCTCCAGCAGAGCTGGCGCCCTTTGCGCTGGGCTGCAGAGCATGTCCAAAAAGCTCGTTCAGAGTCGCGTTCATGGCAGTGTAAGCGACACGAGGAGAGCACGCAGAACTCAGAGAGACAGTGACAATGGGGATGATGATAAGACCCGTGCAGGCGACAGCAGCTTGCAACACGCGGCGGAAGGATACGCTTTGGTGGATCAAGTCTCGTAGGTACTTTCCAGAGGCCGGACTTTGGGGGAAAGAGCCTTCTTCGAGTGAGAGTTCCACGTACTTGACGCCTTTAACAGTGTTGACTTTAACGTCGCCTGGTTGATTGCCCATGATGAATAGATGTGTTGGGTTCCAGCGTGTCAAGTTGCACCAGCGCGTCCACGTCCGCACAATGGCGAAGAACGTCGCCATGACCGCGAGGGAGGCCGCGCTCATCAAGCCTTCCGTGTACTCGTCGCTGGATATGGGGGCGGCGCTGACGTAGTTCCTCTCGTTGATGGCCATCGTGATGAGGTCGAACGTGAAGCGCATGGATCGCAGCTGCACCAGCAGTAGATCTGCCACGAACGGGGTCATCATGGCGAATAAAAGCAGCCATGACGTCAGGAACGTGGTGATCGTCCACACTCTTGGTGTCGTCACGCACTTGTGCTTGGTATTCTCCGAGTCCGCCCAGCTGAGGGCGGCGTGCTTTAACGTATCAAACAACCACAGGATACTGGCGAAGTAGGTGGCGCACACGAAATCCTGCAGAAACCCGAGACTCATCGCTGCCACTTCCGCGCCACCCGTGTGGTCCTTGGAGCTGCCGTACATGGCGATGAGCGACTTAAGGGCGATGCATCGATGGCCGAAGAAGAAGAGGAGCACACTGGCGTAGACGAACAGCCAGCCGAGCCACGGAGCGCTGCAAATGTCGGCAAGCCTGAATGGCTCCTTGAGACGATCCCCTTGGCGCGGCGTAGCTGGGGTGACACCCATCGTCACGTAGGCTTCGCCTCTAGCTTAGCTTACGTGCGACTTCGCCAGCTTGTGTGAGAGTACTCCACCCCCTCACCCGCCGGTTTCTTCGATTAGTTAGTTACCCCCATGCTGCGTCGAGGCATCCGTTTCGCTTCTGGGATAATTTAAACCCGTGGCTAATGATGATTCGGGTACATGGACTGGCACTCTCGGCTCGCTTCGCCTGCTTTGAGCAGCTTGAGTAGCCGTCAAGTTACACGCACCTCAAGGCAAACAAGGGATACGTCACCTCACAAGGCGACACGAAAGGTAGCCTGGCGATTGCGATGAGGGCCCGCTAATTGTTAAATTCTGAATACAAGCCACGCCCCCCAGCCAGACGTAAGAGCTATTAAAATACTATAATATGTGGGCTTTAAGTGAACCTTACTGGACCCAAAACAACATAAATGCCATGGTTGAGTTTCTTATTGTCGTGTTGCTGACTCGAACCGTGTCATTCAGTATTACTACAAGCCCTAAACTGTCCGTCTCTAAAGCCATCGCTCAAAGCGAGATGGCTTTACCCTTTGGTTCAAGGCAAGGTGACGACATGAACCTGGCACAAATATTCTGAAATGCAATCCTGTCTTGGCGGACGAACCGTTACAGCAAAAATACAGCAAAAATAGAGGTGTCATTCTCCAATTTTGCGCCTGGCATGAATGGGCAAGCCAACACCATTTTCGTTCCCGAGGAGCTCACCTCAGGACCGTACAAGTTCCAGGAAGAGTTTGCCCCACCGGGAGGATTGGAAGCGAGCAAGGACACTGAGTCCGATTCGATCGGGGACTGCTAAGACGGTTGGGCTGCGATTTTTTTCATGTTTTTTCACGTTCCTGCTGACTTCAGCCACAGTGCATGGGCTACCTATTTCTCGACGATTTACACAATGGATTGTCAAGTTCCACCCCGCGTACGCACATCCAGTCGAGGAAATGAAGAAAGTGTAGGCGGTTATGGAGAGAACCTTGCTGGTGTTGGGTTACTTAAGACTCCCGCCACAACTATCCGGGCTCTGCGAGTAAACACTTCCGACTCGGCGTCGACAAAGGCACTTCGGTCTAAGCAAGGACGCGAAATCTCGCCGATCGATTCATATATTTCACGGATCGCTGCCAGATTCTTGCACGGGGTATAGAAAGAAGGGATCTACTAGCGCCGCTAGTAGACCAGCTCTTTCAACCCTCTGACCCGAGCGACCCAATACGTAAGTCAACGTACTGTTCATAGCAAAACCACTGCTACTGCTACTCAATCTTTTCAACGTACTGGGTCAGGTGTTGGCGTGGTTCGACGAGTTCCAGTATCGCCGAACGTACTGGTCTGGAGTTCCAAAGCTGCGCGCGCTTACTGCATGTGCGGGGTGACTGAGTTTTCTTGACTGATGCTGCCCAACTATCGCTGGCAATGTTGCTCATATTTTAATATGAGCACTGGCAGTATAGCAAATCTGGCCGCACGCCGGAGCTATTGTACGCTGGGATCTACTACGTGCAGTATACTGTCGGACTAAAAGTATGTTCTCTGCTCTGACTGGTGCTAGATGCTTGTTGAAGTCGATACCCGCACCACCAGAAGTTTGACTTTTACGCTTTTGCCCCTGTCCGATCAAGACGATGAGCTCAGATATACTCGTATGCCCTAAAATATTGGTCTAGCAGTACGTACGTAAAGATATTTGCTGGTCAGTGAGGCGTGTGATGAAGCCACGCATAAACCGAAGCTGTTGAAACGCAACAAAGAGGTTGGCGTCAGAGTTGGCTAACAGGAATTAGACTGCTTTGCTGGTTATTACCGTAGTGCTCCAGCGAAGCCTGAACGTTGTAGAAACCCCATAAGACTAGCTTGGTGCACTTGCTCGCCCTGCTTTTCCAGGACAAATACCAACTGACGCAGCGCAGAAATGCGCAGTTTCTGCCACAGAATTAAGAGGAGTACCACCAACGATGCGAGCTGCAAGCGACCGTATAGTAACACATTCTCGATCGTGTCCCACAAGTGTCGCTCATCCATGCTGGTGATCTGACTGTAGTAAATGCTGTTCGGGAGGTGATACATCACGATTGAATTCGCCGCTGCAGATCGTAGCATTGACATTAACGCAACGTGGTTACTCCAGCTAGCACGGATATATTGGCGTGTCGGGTCTGGGGGACTCACAGAAAATAATAGGGACGATGACTTCCACGTAGTTGAGCAACAGCATGAACTCCGTGATGTAGAGCAGCTTACGTACTTGCACTGTGTATTCCATTTCGAGGTTGATGGCACCCACTCAGCTTTCTTGCAGCAGGAAATAGTCATGGTTACTCAATCGAAAAAAAATCTCCGTAACTCGTGCCTTATACAATCGCTCGTTTGCCGAGGAATGAAGTTATGCACGGCCTCGAGCTGGTGCGCTGTGGCAGTTATGATGCTGTCTTTCGTGGGCTTGTCGAGCCACGGGGACAAATGGTACTTCGAAGTTAAATAAAAATATAGTAGTCGTTAAAACTACGACCGTACGTATACGTCTTAACACATTATTTACTGGAAGGTCACTTCAAATTATGCTGGTTTCATCAAAATTAAATCCGCAAGTGGCCCAAGCCACTCCATACTTTGATGGTGCCCTCGGAAGCATCTAAAACATGCTCTGGTACGCTTTCACGCTGTGGTTGCTGCTAGTTCAGGCGTCATTAGCACTCCTATCTTCCTACCCATGAGACCACCCCTTAGCTGTTCATTTTCGATACTCAAGCTCAGTTGTTTGAAGGGTCGAGCATGTGCTATTTTTAGAATCGACTCGATAGCAGCATTATCAGTGAAGTGGTTGCATGCTCTGCTTTTAATAATGCTCTTCCTCCGAAGTGCAATTGCGTATCATTTAGAGCACATGCAGCGTTTGACCTAGGCTGCGCCGAACGATGAACACCACACTGAGCCTGGGGATTTCCAACGGGTGTAAGCCAGTGACCGATGTACATGTATCGAGTCTAGGAAACTACCCAGTCTATGCCTAATTGAAAATGAATTAAGGAGAACAACTGAGTTGGATGAACCGCACGTGGGCAAAGGTGAATATTCTCACTCTCTACAACTTGTAAGCAAGAATCGTTTTTATTGGCTTCAATATCTTACTTGATACCTTCCTAAGCTTATACTACATTTTCGGGTCGCATTGCTGGGCAGAAGCTACCCGTCCACCACAATCAGCCTTGCTAGCTAAGAAAATAGTGATGTGTCAAAAATCATCCAATCCCAGCCTTCGCGTGGTCCTAGTACATGTATCATTCTTACCATAGTCCTCACACACGGGCCCGCCAAGTCAGAACTTAAAGGTTTTTGTGTGTTTGTTATTGGTACGATAGAAGGCCCTACGTGCAAATGCTCTTTCTGTTTTCCCACTACAAACGTCAACTCCTGCAACCTCAGGGCCCTACAGCACGCCCTTGACATGGCTTACACCACCCAAAAGGGAAGGTGCTAATATCTCGTTTGCTTTGGAGTTCTCCATTTTCACAGTGAGGTCTTTAGTAAGTGGTGTGGGGTAGCTTTTTCAAGAACTCTTGGCTTATCTGCGATTTACCCAATCGAGTTTCAAACGTACCCGCGCTGACCATTACACTACGCTCTACCTCGGCCGAAAGTCCTGCCCCCTGGCCCAGGAACTCGAACACTCAAACATATAATGTTTTTTGTTTTGTTTTGGAAAAAGGTATACTAGTATTGAGTTCACTTACGCTAGTAACGAGCTCCCATAGCCATACCGCTCACTGCCATGGGATCGGTTACCTTTAACGCTGACCAAACAGTGGATGGCAGTGGCGAAAACCCAACTGCCGTTTTTGACAACATCTATCCGACCATTTTGTTTCATCTCTATGTTAGTTGCGCTAGTAGGCCGTAACTTCGTTGTTCTCTTTCTGCCACACGAAAGTCTTCATCTCACTCGGAAACCTCTTGGCAAACGTGCTGTCAGCCACGTCTGGCCGTCGGAACCATTTAGGGTTCGTCTTCGAGTTCCGATGGATGTCCACAGTGAGCAACGCGGTGCGATGGTAAATCTGCAACACGTTCCGCTTGCCAGGATCCGCGGATTCTACGACTTCTAATGTCGCCGACGCCTCCGGACTGGGCAAGAACAATGTGTAGGGTAACACATTGTTGAGGATCCCAACCAGAGACAGGATGACGTCCGTCGTGCTGGTTTGGAACGGAATCTCCACGTCCGTGTATGCTTGGCCGTAACCTTCGCGCATGTTAAAGTAATGGATGGGGTGCTTGATGTTGGGCTTGGGGCTGTAGTACTCGCAGTCGGTTCGGTTGCACAATCGCTCCGCTGCCAGGATGAGGCCGTTAACGTCCTGGTCCTTTGCTCCGCGGAATACAGCAGCCGTCTTGCCAGCGCTGCACCATGGCGCCACCCCCTTTGTTCCTTCAGCAGGACACGCATCCATCTTTTCGATGAAATCCTCAATATCACCCGCACTTTCAGCGTAGACCAGCGTATCGAGCGGTTGGTCCACGTTCGCCACTTTGTTGCCGCGTCCGAGCTGGTGGTCGAAGATGTACTCGCGCAAATCCAATGCCGAGCCGACAGTCGCAGCGTAGTCCTTGCCCGGTAGACCCTTTGGGTTGAGAGCCACTTTGCCTCCGTACGTGTTCACGTTCAGGTACTTGCGCATGACATGCGAGAGGTGCATGTCTTCTGCCGTCGCCCACGACGGCGGACGCTCCTTCATAAAGTACTCGAGCCACGTCTGCTCGAGGAACCACATGCCACAGAGGTAGTCTTGCTCCACCCAGTCCACAGAATTGAGGTTGTAGCCTACGTTCGGCCAGCTCTTGTATCCATCGAACGTGGACGCCCGCAGGTGCCCGAAGTTCCCCCACACGCCCTTCTGCAGGTTCATGTACTGGATGTAGTCGTACACAGTCGTCGAATCGATGTTCCTGTCGTCGTCCACGACCAGAACGTACTTGGTCTTCGCCATGTAGGCTAACAGGAAGCGTCCGTGGAACTTGTGGTTGTAGTTGGATGAGGTCATGACGAGTTGGCTCGACCGGTCGGGGTACTGCAGTCGCATGGCCTCGACGACCTCTTTGTATGCATTCTCATTCGGCGAGTTGAAGCTCATGACCCAAACGTCTGGCGGAGTCACTTTTTGCTGGTTCAGCGCTGCCTCCAGTTGAAGTTTCAGGGCCTCTGGACTGCCGCGAAACACATTGAAGATGATTGTCGTCGATGTGTCGCTCCTGGCAAAGCTTGATGTGTAGAACTCGTCGCCCATGGGGAGCTGCTCGGTCGTTGGATCTGCCTCAACAACGTGGTGGGCGCTCTCCTTGGAAGCGGGGATATTTAGCAGAGTTTGTTGCCCGTCGACCTCTTGAATGGAGACTCGTAGATTTCTGCTGCTGAGCCTGGTCAAACCGGACAACGAGCCCACAGTCCAACAGACAGAAAGGGCCCAGAGTCCGAGAACCAAGTAGCCAACATTGGGTCGTCGCTGCAGCACCTCAACGACGCTCACGCTTGGTCGTCTGGAGCGCATCTGTCCGAGGAGGAGAAGAAGTTGCTGAATGGAGCTGCTATGAGAGACCTTTCGAAGCAAAAACGTATTGTGTTGCAACAGCTTGAAAAACGGATGCATCGTCCCACGAAAAGAAAAGACCAGAGAATATTGGAGCGCAGAAGCTCATTGGGCCTGCTGCTTCCTTATTTTATCGTAGGCTGTCGTCGGTTTTGCTGGTGTGTTCGACATTTCATCGCAATGAAAGCATTGGCAGAAGAACTCGGGTGCTGCGTCTTCCACTGACATTGCAATTAAGGAGTGAGAAAGCTGCATGTTTCGTGTGCGCACCAGGAAACAGTTCGAAGTACAGCGCTACTTGCCGCATAAACAATATTGTGCTGCGGTCACGTTGGAAAGTGTGTGCCATGACGAAGGAAGCTCGACAAGAGCCCAAACATGCGAAAGCAGGCTTAACGGGAGGCTACGCCATCAAGCCATTCATTGGCTCCGGGTTGAACCACTTCCGGAAAGGTTTGCTGTGTTTCATTCTAAAAATGAGCGTGGACACTTTGCAGCATCAAAAAGTGGGCGTGCTATCCTATTTCTATCGCTGACCGTAGGTGTGTGCTGATTGGACAACTACAATAGCAATAGGAATATGTAACCGACTCGGTTCGGTTCAACCGAGGCATCTTGAAGTGTCACACCTACACTCCACGACAAAAAGATATGGACACCACCAAAAGTGGCTGTAGCTTCGTCATTTTTTATCGTTTTAAGGTGCGGTTTGGACTAGAGTTGCAGAACACGCTGATAAAGATCTGCACGCTACTAACACGCGCATTTGCGCTTCTTCAGGTAGCTCACATACAAATCACTGGTTCTGCCCAGGTGACAAAACTTATGGACAGCTAATCCCCATGCAAAATCCTATATTAACCAAAACCCCTTACAAATGATACAACTTGGACTTTGTATGGGGGGAGTTACAGCCACTTTTGGTGGTGTCCATATCTTTTTGTCGTGGAGTGTAGGGCTGTTTCGTGCACCGGTTTTGGTAGGGTTGTGACTGTAATTTCCATCTTTTTAATCGTACTTAGTAGAGAATCGCCATTGATGTCTCAATGGGCTATCCCCGTAATAAAGGGCTGATGAATTTGCACGAAAGTACTTTCGTGCACTTTCGAGCACTGAACGAAACAGCCCTAGTCACACCCAGCTGATACCATGGGCGGATTGCTGTGTACCTGTCGCTTGGTACACTTGGCATATTCGCGCAGCCCCATTTCCGGGACCAGCAAGGTAAGGAAGGATCATTGGGTATGCAAGCGCTACTCTATGGCGACTGGCAAGGTGTAATGCACGAATACGTGAATCACCATTACCGCCCTCATATCGGCGGGTTCATTACTGAACCGTGATGCAGGTTTGCTTCCACGGAGGCTTGAACCGAGCTCAAACATGTTAGGTATCCGATCCTAAAGCTAGCTTCCTCTCATTTGTACGCGCCTCATTTTAGGCAAGAGAGGTTCAGTTGCGAAACGAACGTGAAACGAACCTGCCCTTTGGTAGCGAAGCAGCGACTGGTAGCTGGTAGCTTGCCCCGGACAGCAAAACATGGCACTCCGCCCTCCACAGCACAAAGCTCATTGAGCAGTCGATCGCCCTCTCCGCAGGATCAAATCCACCATGCCGGCGAAGGAGCTAGTGATAAACGCCGAACCAAACAGCAAGTCCGAGACGTACCGTTCCGCCACCGCTATCCACGAGTACGAGCATATCACGGACGAGAGCCCCACCTGCCACCTCCGCAGCGACGCCACTCTAATCGTTATCAACGGGGGCGACGACGCCATCGACGTCGAGAAAGTCAAGCTGGAGAACGACGACAAGAACGAGCACAAGCGGCCGCCTCCGGGCGGAAAAGTCAAGCTCAAGTTCCTCAACGGCCTGCGGGGCATCGCCAGCCTCATGGTCGTCCACATCCACGCTGGGTACCTGCAAGAGTCAACGATTGCGCCGAGCGGAGTCGACACGTTCTTCGTGCTCTCGGCGTTCCTGCTCACGATGCTCAACGAGTCCAAGATCAACCGGTTGATCAGTCGTCGAGACGGCCCCCGCCAGTGGATGATCACGCTGCTGGTCTACTTCGTCAAGCGCGTGCTGCGCGTGTACCCGCTGTTCGCGTTCGTGGCGTTCGTGCTGACGTGTATGCCCGAAGCAACCCGCACGCACTACTACAACCTCGCGCACTACCACATCGAGCACTGGAGCATCTGGGAGATCCTCACGTTTGAGCACCGGTATTACCTCTTCTGGACGATGCCGATCGAGATCACGTACTACTTCATCATCCCGGTCTTCCTGGCCGCGGTTTGCCTCCTGGGTAAATTCAAGTGGTTCGCCATAGTACCGATGTACGTTTGGGTGTACCATGAGGGAGGTCACACGAGCCGAAGAGGCCACGGAGAGTTTCGACCGCACTTGTCGACGTTCCTGGCGGGGTCTTTGGCTGCCGTGGTGCACTCCGAACTGAGCAAGTGGATGAAGGAACGCCGCTTTGAGCCGCGCGTATGGCAGCTCGCTGTTATCCGCGCGTTTGAGCTGATCATGATCTGCTGCGTGTTGAGCAACGTGTCCCGCGGAGACTTCAAGCCGTGGTTCAAGTTATTTCCTTGCGAAGACGCAGAGGTGCCGTCGGTCAGCCTACCGGTGTCAGCAATGATTGTGATCGAGACGTTGTTCCCGTCGGCAATCTCTCGGGGGCTGGAGTGGAACTTCCTCTGCTACACGGGGAAGATCAGCTTCTCCATGTACCTGCTCCATCCGTTCGTGAATTTTCAGCCGTTCCTAAGGGAACTCCCGCGTATTGATCAGTTCATCGTGCGCCTGGTCTTGGTGTACGCCCTGGCGACGGTCTCCTATCTCATCATCGAGCGCAACTGCCAGCGGCTTGCGGTTGCAATCGGCAAGAAGTTGACCAGATTCTCAGGATCTGCGCCAGCTCGAGTCGAAACTGCGTCGAAGACTCCGCAGTCGCTTGTTGCCCGCGTGATCGCTCGTCTTAGATCTGTCCGCTAAGAAACTAAGAAACAAACTGTTTGCATATTAATGGTGGGTCGTTCTCGAAGCTACGCACCTTGCCACGGAGGTTTTGGCTTCTTGAAGTAAGGCCGGTACTCTTCATGGCGGAAGTACGGTGGGTCGTCGATCGTATTAATCCGCCAGTCTTATGATTACTACTTCGGAAATGGATCAACTCGATAACTACCGTCTTCCCTCGTACTAGACGCCTAGGCGTTGTATTCGAGGTTGGTCAACAATCCCGAATCTGATCGCTCCCTCGAATTGAAGCAATTGCAAAATAGAACGCCTACCCAAGCGTAACACAACTCTTGTTAACGTTAGTAGTTGCCAACAATTCTGCTGCCATTTGGACGAGGTAGTACCTCTGTGCCGACCGCCAGCCATACGAGCGGAAGTCGAGCTCTTGTTTTGTCGTATCATTATACAATCGCCCTCCCGCGACACAAAAGCCCACGCCAAGAATGTCAGCCCAAGAAAAAGCGTAATAGCTACAGTATCGGATTCAAGCGCAGTGTTGCTGGAGAGTACAGCAAGGGTGTCGACGGCTTTGGGTTTGCCGCCCTTGCCGCAAAACTCAAGATACCCTCGCCGTCGATAGTTCGGAAATGGGTTGAGCAGCTGGGCGCCTTAGAGACCACTACCAACCTTCAGGGATTTTAAATTTACTTGAATACAACGCCTACCTTTTGCATCCTTCAGAGTTTCGTAGTTTCACTTGAATATAACGCCTAGGCCTTTTATTCAAATATAACGCCCACTAGGCGTTCTATTTTTTTAGAACGCCTAGGCGTCTAGTACGAGGGAAGACGGTAGGGATTTTGCGGTCTGGGGGCAGGTCCTGCATCGAGTAGGCAGCTCCATCTTTCTTGTTTGCCATCGAGTTCAGACCCAGGTATGGAATGGCAAAGTATTTAGCAAGTATTAATAGTATGGGGTGTTGGAACACGTACTCACCAAATACCCAAGAAGAAGGGTGGTATCCCTTTCCCCACAGTGCGATGTCAGTGTGTTGTCGTTAGCGATTTCTCTCGTGTACGCGATGGTGGTGTCCTCAGTGAACGGAATCATCAAGCCATTGTGAACTGCGCCTACTAGAGAACCAAACGTCAAAAATCGGGGTGTAGTTGAAGACTTGCAACTTCTCGTACACGTCGACAAGCAGCAAGTGGAGAACGCTGGCGTACCAACGCGATGAAGGCAACTGGGGTAAATCCATCCGATCGGTTCCTGAACAGAAGTCCGACTCCTCCGGCTAGCGATGGGTAAACAATAGCGGTATTTGCGCTAGTGTCGATCGCTGTCGACCCAGAATGCCATTTGCTTGGCGTTGAAAGTCGGAGCTTTGTCTTGATCATGGTATCGAATTGTTGATTCGTGTGGTAGTCCATGCTGTAAGAGTGAAGCACTCGCAAGGAGCATTGCGGGCTCTTAATGAACGTCTAGGGCAGTAGCCAGTGGCTAATACTACCTTCTCCACTCGTCGAGATCAATTGGGGCAAAGGAGCAGTACATTCACAATAAAGCCTCGGTCTTGGAGGGCCGAGACGAGGGACGTCGACGCGCGGAGTTGTCGTCGCGGCGTCGGTCCGAGTCGAGGGCCAACGAGGCCAGCCCCATTGAGGCTTGGATGTGGATGTACTGTGACGAATGCCTAAAAGATTGAAGACGCTGAAAAAGGAGTTAGTAGTACGAGTACTTCACGCACTTACATGACTCGCACTTCGGCACACAACAGGTTGGTCCGTGGTTTGCCAGACGGTAGAAAAAGCTCTCGCTTGGGATGAGGTACCCGGCCTTCGTGAGATCGGCCTCCCTTCGCGGCTGCTTCACCGTGGATCGAACCACCGATCGGAGCCCAAAGTTGGTCCATGGTTGCCAGACGGTAGAAGATGTTCTCGCTTGGGATGATGTACCCAGCCATGGTGAGGTTCGCCTCCCTCGACGCGGTTGCTTCACCGTGGATCAAGTCATCAATTGGAGCCCTGTGTGTGGATTCACTCTTCGACACGCTCGCGTTGCTTCGTTAGGGGAGCGCGAGTAGCCCCAAAAAGTAGGAGTAGTGAAGGAACGAGCGTGAGCGCGACGAAGCAGGTGCATGGGCCTTTCTCAATTGTGAGCGAACCCGGTAGTAGGACTTGTGACAGCGATCGGTCCGTTCGACGTGGAGGATGATCACTTAGAGCGGAGCGAACCGTCCGCCGGATGGACTGCAACTGCCCTATCCATGGCCGTCGACTCAGGACTGGCTTGCATGTTGCTCGTCAAACGCTAGCGTGACCTTCTGCGAAGGTGTCGTTGGGAATCGTGGGCTTGCTGGTCACACCTCGAAAGAGTGAATGGTACTGCTCCTATCTATCGCTACACTATTCCTAGCGTGGGAAAACCCTCGCCACCGGATGCCGCATGCATACGGAGCCGTTTGGCGAAGAAAACCAGGCACCTAATAATACACACCTAGCTGACTTCGAGAGCTTGGTCCATGATAGGAACTGACTTGATCTCTCCTCGCCGAGAACCCCATTTTCAAATGCGCCTTCGGCTCCTTCCAAAATCTCCAGTCTTCCCTCGTACTAGACGCCTAGGCGTTCTAAAAAAATAGAACGCCTAGTGGGCGTTATATTTGAATAAAAGGCCTAGGCGTTATATTCAAGTGAAACTACGAAACTCTGAAGGATGCAAAAGGTAGGCGTTGTATTCAAGTAAATTTAAAATCCCTGAAGGTTGGTAGTGGTCTCTAAGGCGCCCAGCTGCTCAACCCATTTCCGAACTATCGACGGCGAGGGTATCTTGAGTTTTGCGGCAAGGGCGGCAAACCCAAAGCCGTCGACACCCTTGCTGTACTCTCCAGCAACACTGCGCTTGAATCCGATACTGTAGCTATTACGCTTTTTCTTGGGCTGACATTCTTGGCGTGGGCTTTTGTGTCGCGGGAGGGCGATTGTATAATGATACGACAAAACAAGAGCTCGACTTCCGCTCGTATGGCTGGCGGTCGGCACAGAGGTACTACCTCGTCCAAATGGCAGCAGAATTGTTGGCAACTACTAACGTTAACAAGAGTTGTGTTACGCTTGGGTAGGCGTTCTATTTTGCAATTGCTTCAATTCGAGGGTGCGATCAGATTCGGGATTGTTGACCAACCTCGAATACAACGCCTAGGCGTCTAGTACGAGGGAAGACGGTAGCCACATCTTCACAGCTGGGAAAACGCATATCGCTACCCCCAGTATGACCAGAATCGCCGCCCATGCACTAGTCCATACCCACGTACTCGATGAAACTTTCAATTTAGTCGAGGGTTTGTCGTTGTCAGTCGAAAATATTGTGACACAGCTCGATTTAACTGTTGTCCTTGCACTTGAGTCCGCTCGGTGGAATCCGAGCTATGGCATTCTTGGGTGCTGTTTCTCTTCGCAATGAGCTTCGGAAACGAACCCATCGGCCGTTAACCACTGAGCCGTTAACCACTTCGACGTCGCTTCGAGTATTCGCTAGGCGAGGACAAAGGACGTTCATCCGCTTCGAACCCGGCACGCTCGCTCGGGCGACCCACCACTGCGAGATTTACACTGCGAGGATTAACGGTGAAGGTGCATCAAGATCTGGCGATGTCTGTGCTTCCGCTCTACCTCGACATCGACGTGTACGACGCCGACAAGAGTCGCAAAAAGAGGGATTCGGTGTCAAAGAGAGGATGGCTGTGGGGCGGCGTGATTGCGCTTAGCGCGGTGGTGTTCGTCGTCAACTTCGCAAATGATGGCGGGCCGGTTTCTTCAGAGTCGGAGGTCAGACGCAGTGCGGTGGTTCACAACAAGACATCGGCGACTCACAGCGAGAATAAAAGCGAACTACTCGCTGCTAGAACTCGTCAACAAGGAAGCAGTATCCACCACCTAGTCAACGACGAAGAGGGAGACGACCCGGTTCCCGACCAACTCTCACCTCCGCATCGATGGCCACCGCTACAAGAGGGAGTGGAGGAACACTGTTTGTATGTAGGAGACTACGGACTGCTGGAGCGTCTGAACAACTCAGCACAAACCTTTTGCGCTGGTAGCAAGTCTCCGTATACGGTTTACAGTGTTGCCGAGGCCGAATTTCAAGCCGCAACGATGGATAATCTCGTCCTGGAATGGCGAGGTACCCCTGCGTCCGATGCTGTTGACACTTGGACACAAAATGCGACGGGTGACGACACAAGATTTGTGTACAATTCCGCGTCAGCGTACTGTGGCTGCGAGAATTCGCTGCATGGAGCTCTGAATATCTGGACGAATTCTGCCGCTGGTGGCAGTCATTGCCAGCCCCTACCATCGGATTTGCCGACCAACATATCGATCGTGCCACGTGCAGTGGTCGTTTTGAGAAAAGACCAGACTCCATTCGAGCAAATTGTGGGCATTTTGATACGTGGGTTATGATGAACGTCGTTGGGTGGAGCAGGAAGACGACGCAACTTGTGACATTCGATCGTCCATTGCCGAGCACGTTCGATGAGCTGCAGCACGCGCTTCCAGGGCCCGAGAAACCCGTCATTGATGGCGACCAAGGTCCAAAGCATGTGATTCGCTTTGATTCCATGCTAATCGCTCTGTTTGAAGCCACCGGGCCCTTGATGAGTCATTTGTACGATGACCAGCCGTGCTTCGCCAATAAAATGGTTGCGGATTTCCGGGATGTGGCGCTAAAGAGCATGGACGTCAGTCCACGAAACCAGAAGACCCAAGCTCGGCGATGTCTAGTCACCGTTATTTCGCAGAGGGAACGAGGCGTGTGGCAAAACGAAGGGGAAATCCTGGATGGAATGCGCAACGACTACAAAGACGCTTACAAGGTCGGTGTGTGCGAGTTTCAATCTTTGGATTTCGACAACATGTCTATTCACGACCAGATGCGCGCTATGGTGGACAGTGACGTCGTCATTGGTATGTACAGCGACAGTATGGTGCACGAGATGTGGACTCGCCCCGGGGCTGACGTGGTGGAGATTTTCCCGAACCAGTTCTACCGCTGGGAACATCGCAATCTATGCCAGTTTCTTGGGTGTTCCTGGAATCAATTTCGTGGGGGAGACGATATTGTGATACCTACTTCTGACTCAATCGATACCGACAAGTATATCCCATACCAAGAGTGGAAGGAATTCTTTGGCCCACTCTTTCGGGTTGCCATCGCAAGACTCGAAGGATTCATTGAAGGAATGTAGGTAGGCCTCACGTTAGCGTTTGTATCAGCTGCTTCAATTTTACTTTTCTTCTACTGTATTGTGAACGTTAGTGCGCCATGCGCTCAGGCAAGAGATAATCTACGTTCTCCAATTTTTATCTACTGTTGGCTTGAGTCATTAATGCACGGCTTGGAATCCAAGCATGAACAGGTATGGAGAGAGGTGGATCTTTGTTTTGAATCTGGTTGCCATTAACGGATCTCGTGCCATGTCAATTATCGCCCATGCTAGCTCTGTTCATTGCACCAAAACACTCTGACGAAATTGGGATTGTGCAACTCGAGACTAACTACTGGTTTTGCTTGGTACTATAGTTAGTTCTTTAAAGCATTCTATGTGTCTCGTTCGTCATGCTTGCAATTAATTGGCGGTAGCCATCGCACCCTAACGACGTTCAAAAGCACTGTGTGCTAGCTTGGGTTGATTTGTCAACTACTTCGAAGTAGAAAAACATATAAACGTGAGATCTGTGACTTGTATTCAAAGGAAACCTTGCTACAAAACCCTCGCTAGTAACATCAATGGATCGGCGGATCGGCATGAGGGGCAGCATTTTGGTGTAAGTTTGTTCTAATTTCGACGACAAAGATCTTCGCCTTGACATGCCTAACTAACATAAAATCGCAATATGCTATCCATAGCAACAATTGCCCTGTGCTCCCTTTTCTATAGTACCTAAGTACTGGTCTTCTGCATATAGTTATCTGCTGTCCACGCAGAGCAATGTCTCAACAAAAGCTTTACTTAGGTCAGCTATCCTATACATTGCAATGCACTCGATCATTCCGATAAGATTAAGATCCTAATCTTGTGTGGCGTATCTCAACCCGCGAGCTCTTCGTTTGAGACTGTCAGCTCTCTGCTACCATGCCAGCGTAGACTCAGTTTTCGTTCTTCCTCCAGCCACCCAAGCTCACAACCAACACAAGACATCTCAGATGAAAGTCACCGAGTGCGTCGACCCCAGTCCGATCCAGGGCGATGAACGTCGTGGGGGTCTCAAGAAAAAGCACAAGGCGTATATTGTACTGACCGCCGTTCTAGCGGTTGCAGCGGTCCTCACTATCTCACTGATCCTGACACAGCAGTACGACACTCAGCAGACAGAGACCCAAGAAGCAAACACCCAGCAAGCTGACAGAAACATCCACACTGCAGACAACGAGACTGTGATAGCCCCCGAGAACGAAACAACCTCCGACTTTGCCCCCAAACCACTATTCTTCTTCCTCGGTGACTCGATCACCGAGCAAGGCATTGACCCAGCGAGGGGCGGCTACATCCCGGTGCTGCAGAACAAGGTGTCACGCTCGGCCGACGTCGTCGCGCACGGACTTTCGGGCTACAACACAAGGTACACAGTCACAAAACAACCGACTTTGTTGCCCTGAAACTCACGTTATCGTTTACTTTACCTTGCCTACTAGATGGCTGCTCAAGTACGCAACTCCGGTCGTAGAGGACGAGATCAAAACCTACACGTACACCCCAACGCTCGTCACGATCTGGTTCGGCACAAACGACGCCGTCTTGCTTAACGGAAGCAGATCAGAGAAGCACGTCCCGGTCGAATCCTACAAGGAGAATCTGGCGACAATCGTGCGCAAATTTCAAGCACTCCTCCCCAGCGCCGACATCCTTCTGGTCACACCACCGCACGTCGATGACGAAAACAGACGCAAACATGCCGAAGAAGAGTCGGGCAAGTGGAAGGGGGTAGTGGATCGATCCAACGCCAGGTCGGGGATTTATGCTCGTGCGTGCGTCGAGACTGCCAACGACATCGGCATCCCCGTGCTGGACTTGTACTCGCACTTCAACGCCATGCCCGAGTCGACTCGCAATCCGCTACTCTGGGACGGCTTGCACTTCACTGCGGAAGGCCACGAAATCGTGAGCGAGCTGCTTCTCACCAAATTCCAAAGCGAGTTCCCCGCTGTAACGAAAGCGCTCGAATCGTGGAAGATCATCGGATCCAATGTCTTGTGCGAGACGGACCCATGGGTCCCAGGGACTACAAACGAGACGCTAACGAGTTGATTTCGAGATCTTAGTCAGCTTACATCGCTGCCAATTATGAGATATGAGATAGAGAATAAAAAACAATCCTCAAGGAATAAATTACTTACCGTGGTTGAAGTGACAACTCGTTTTTACACTCCCAATTACAGCAAAACAGGGTCTTATCGGCCAAAGCAACACAACCGCCGCCCATGGAGTCGGACGCGGGGCTGTCGCCGTCGCTGGCGGCGCGCGTGGGGCCCGGCAACATCCGGTCGCTCATCCTGGAGAAGGAGAAGGAGCTGCACGACATCAACGAGTACCGCATCCGCACGCTGGAGGCGCTGCTGCGCGACAAGGTGCGCGCCCAAGAGCCCCCTCCATTGATACATTCACATCCCTGACTAATCCTTTGCCTTTGCCGTTGCATTGCAGGAGACGGCCGCGGGCGCCGCCAAGCAGAAGCTGGGCAAGCTGCAGGAGGACTTCAAGTACAACCTCAAGCTGCTGGAGGGCCGCGACGAGGAGCTGGCGCTGTACGACGCCAACTTCGCGTCGCTCAAGACCGTGCTGCGCGACCGCGAGGCCGAGCTCAGCGAGCTGCGCGCTCGCGAGGCCGAGCTGCTGGCGGAGCTGCAGAGGGCCAAGCAACGCGCGGACGAGCAGGAGGCCCAGTACCAGCAGAAGCTCAAGGATGCGAGGGCGCAGATGGAGGGCGCCAGGTGGAAGTTCGACGACGAGCTGAGGCGCCAGCAGGACGCCATGGAGACGCAGAGGCGCAGCGTCGAGCGGCAGCTGAGGGAGAAGGACGAGGACGTGGAGACCCAGAGGAGGGAGCTCACGGTCACGTTCGACGACGTCATGAGGCAGCGCGAGGCCGAGTTCAAGCGTGCGAGCGACGAACTGCAGGCCAAAGTGAGGGACCTGGAGCTCAAGAACAAGGCGCTGGCCAGGGAGGCGGACGCGCAGCGAGCCAGGGCGGACGAGATCAAGACCAAGAACGAAAATCTGCAGCAAATGCTGCAGGAGAATGACAAGGAGATCAAGTCGCTGGAGTGGACGCTCGCGGATGTGCGCGCGGCGAAGGATACGAAAGTGGGCGAGCTGGAGGGCGAAGTGGCCAAGCTGAACGACGTGAAGCAGCAGCTGCTGGATGAGTACGAGAGCAAGATGGCGGAGCTGTTGCAGTCGCTGCACTCGGTGGAGAAGGCCTTCGTGCAGCAGAAGACGCAGTACGACGAGGAGCTGCAACGCCACATGGAGCGGAAGAAAAGTGAAGCCCAGGAGGCAAGTGCGCGCGGTGAGGCGAAGATTGAATTGTTGACAACTCGACTGCGTGAGAGTGAAGAGCGCGTGGAGGCGCTGCAGGGTGAGTTGAAGCAGGCGAAGTGGGATGCAGATGACAAGTTGATGGAAAAGGAGCGCGAGATTGAACGGGTGAAGAGCTCACTACAGGATCTTGAAGACGAACAGCATCGCGCAGCGAGTGATCTGCAGCAGCAGCTTCGAGCAGGGGATCGAGAGACGCAGGTACTCCAGGAAAGACTGCAGGATTGCCAACGCCAAATTGCCCTATTGAAAGAGAAAGATAAGGCGCAGCGACAAGAGCTGCTGGAAAGCGTGGAGAAGCAGGAAGACCTGCAGCGAGACCTTGTGGCAGTCAATTTACGCTGGGAAAATCGTTGGCAAGATCAGCAACAAGAGCTTGATGAGCGGCACGAGCTGCGGCTCCGCGAATTACAACAAGTGAAAGACCGTCTGCTCAATGAGAAGGAGGCGGTCGAAGAACGACTGCTTCACGCTGAGAACGAAGTGCAGCGGCTTCGTTCTGAGCTATCAGCGTTAAAGTCTAGCGCTCGTATCACCGAATCGTTCGGGTCGCAGTACTTGAGGCGAAGCGGGGACGTAAGGAATTCTTCGAACTCGGTGCCTGTAGCTCCATCACCTCTGTGGAGTGATGATCCAGGAACACTTTCACCTGTCCCGGGCGTATCGCCGATGCTTACAGATAGCCCACAGTTGCGGTCACGAGCTGGTGCAGCGGATAATGCCACCTCTTTGGAGATGGAAAACGCCAAGCTGCGTGATTTAATTCGGCAGATGAAGGAGTCGCTTGCTCAGCAAGCTGACGAAATGGAGGCATCCCCCGGACAAGCTAGTGGAAGTCGAAGCGCGTCTAAACTTGCGGCACAACTGCTGGAAGCCCAGGAGCGCTGTGTAGCGCTCGAATCACGCTTGAACGAAGTCTCTGGCAACGACAAGAGCACCTTGCTTCAACTTGAGAGCTGCAAGCGGGAGCTCTCCGAAGCGCAACGGTCTATCGAAGCTAAAACCAAGCAAATTGTCGAGTTGGAAAGTCGCGTTCAAGAGCTGGACGGGATGCGGTCTGCAGAACCTGAAATGCAGAGTGGACGGGTCGCTCTGGAAGCCCAAGTGATAGATCTCAAGCGGAAGCTCAAAGCAGCAAACAGTGACATCGATCGTTTAGTCAGAGAACGAAGCCAACTCATGGAGCTTAGCAACCAACTTCGTGCTGATCTGCGCCGGAGTGGGTCTGGAGATGCGGGGTCGAGGTCGTCGACACCCCGGGTGGAGTTTGCTGGCAAGAAGGACTACGAGAACATGATTGCCGAACTTACCCAGTCGTTGGAAGAAGCCCGAGTCCACAACAAAACGCTCAAAAAAGAGCTTCGCCGCATGGTAAAAGTGAACGTGCAATTTCAGCAAGAGCGAGAGTCACAAGGGTCTGGTCACAACGAAGGAGCAGGAACACCAGGAGACCGAATATCGCGCGGAAAAGATGAACACTCGGAGATTGAGTCGGGAAGGCGACGTTCGAGCACGTTATCGATGATGAAGACACTGGACCCCGGGCCAGCACGCGGCGCGTCTCGATCTACATCGATACGCTCTGCGTCTGAAGGTGGGGATGGTTCGAGTACCACAAGCAAGAACGATCTAGATGAGCAATTGTTGGCTCTGGCACGGAACAAACGCTTAAGTGTACGAGGCCAGTCGGCCAAGCCTCGCAGAACAAGTCGACCAGTCCCTCCCACGATTGCGGAGGATAGCGACGCTGAAGCTGACGTTTCTGCAGCGGATGAGGATCGAGTTGAGGCAAGGAGTGGGGAAGGAGCGCCGTCTCGATCAAGTTCTGTGCGAAGCGCGGATAAGTCCCTACTTGCAAAGCTGTTTCAGGCAGCAGACCGACGGGATTCGGCAGGAACTGAAGACTCCAACGCAACCATCGGTGGCACCTCCAGCACGAAGGTCACGGATGCACGGCTAAAACTCCAGCAAGCCAAGGAGATGCTGATGCTCTCTGGTAAACGAGCTCCTGTTGCTGGGTCGCGTGCTAGTCTTGCAACGTTTGCAGCGTCTGCTGCAGCTGGTGGTTCGACAGGTACGCGTCTGAGTGACCGAGAAACAAGCAGCCAGCGCTCAGCCGTGAAGAAACTCAAGCAGCTGCAATCCAAGCGAACTGAGATGGTCAATGAGCGCAAGAAAGTCCGCAACTACAGTCTGGCATCGTAGTTTCTTCACCCGAACAGTAAACAACCAGTAGAATACCCAACGCCGACACCATCGGTAATAAAAGCTAACTTTATTCCTACCTTGGTTGTGCCTGGTATTTGTGCTGGGTTTAGTGAAGCAGAGCTGCCGACAAGATGAAGTGGCAAGACGTAACAAGCATGGTCCAGTCGTGCAGAGCGGGTCTCGGTGCTGCCTGTCGACTACAAAAAATAGTCGGGCGTCCGGCGCGACACGTGCGGCTCTCCACGACGCGGTGCCGGGTCGAACTGCAAGCTGTGCACAACACACAAAACAATGGAAAACATTACGTCAGTAGCTCCTCTGTACAACACCACTTTTTCAGCTCTACCGCCACGTACAATGTGTACTGCATCTGCTCGTCCACCTCCATGATGGCGGCCTCGTTGCCGCAGCGGTAGCAGTAGTTGGGCGCGCTGAAGATGGTCACGACGTTGCACTTGTGCGACCAGTTGTAGCCTTCCATGACGAGCTGGTGCGCCCGCGCGATGAGCGTGAGGCCGTTGGCGTGGTTGAACTGGTCCGAGATGTCCTGGCCGAACGTGTAGCCCGCGCCTCTGGGCGAGATGCCCCAGCCGGAGCGGTCGTCCGGGTCGGACCAAAGCAGGTCGCACATGGCGCCCTCGTGGGGCACCTCCTGCAGGCGGTCGAAGCCGCGGATGTAGTCGAGCGTGTCGATGGAGGGCGACAGGCCGCCGTGCAGGCAGAAGATCTGGTTCTCGACCACGGCCGTGAGCGGCAGGTAGTCGAACACGTCCGTGAAGTAGCGCCACACGTTGGGGCTGCCGTACTTGCGCAGGCACTCGTCGTAGAAGCCGTAGACCTGCGTGATCTGGCGGCTCTCGTGGTTGCCGCGCAGGATGAAGACGCGGTCCTTGTAGCGCACCTTGAGGCACACGAGCAGCGTCACCGTCTCGACCGAGTAGTAGCCGCGGTCCACGTAGTCGCCCATAAATAGATAGTTGGTGTCGGGCGCGTGGCCGCCGATGCGGAAGAGCTCCATGAGGTCGTGGAACTGGCCGTGCACGTCGCCGCAGACCGTCACGGGGCAGCGCACGGGCTGCACGTTGGACTCCTGCACGAGCACCTCCTTGGCCTTGGCGCACAGCTGCAGCACCTCGTTCTCCGTCAGCGGGTTGCAGCCCAGCAGCTTCTCGCACCACGCGTCCAGCGTGTCGATGGACAGCTCGAACGGCGCGGCGGAGCTCATGGCGATGGCGTCTGCTTGGTATGTAGTTTATGCGAGCGAAATCCCCCTTTGACGGTCGCGCGGATATATATCGCATCCCGTTTTTCAGCCAATGAGCGGGTTTAGAGACTGGATTTTGGCCAATGGAAGGTGATGACGTTATTGAACCGAAAAGACTGCGTCTTGTGAGCTCGTCAGCTTGACTCTTATTTTTCTACTTTTCGCATTATTTTTTAGCTGCATGAGTTTTACAACAGCTGAAGAAGATGTGGGTCTACCTTGCAAGTTGAAGAGCTCCTCTAGTGCCTTGATCTGTGATTGGCAAGGCGGGCGGCTCTTGAGTTGCGCGGCGTTGCTGGACTCGGTCCCTTCCTGAAGTTTTCGGTTGAAACCCTCGTCGTTGCTACAGCACTGCTGGCGGACTGACTGGCTGGTCTATTGTTGCTGCTTTTTGTGGTGCGTCTTCTTCTCGAGGGCCAGCAGCGCGTCCTCTATTCTCCGCGTGATGGCCGAGTACAGCGCCTTCTCGCGCTCCTGCGTCTCCCAGGGCGAGTCCCCGACCACGCGTCCGTCCGTGTACCGCTCGAAGAGGTCGTCGAAGGACAGCGGCTCGCCGACGATCACGCCCAAGTCGAGGTTCGTCATGGGGAAGACGCTGATGAGGCGGTTCTTCTCGTCCTGCGGCATGAGCTGCTCCATGTTGTAGTGGTAGATGGGCACGACAATCGGCCGGGTTGTGGCACGAGCGATGAGCTTGCCCACGCCCCACTTCAAACGTCCGATCTCCTCTCGACGAGGACTCGGTCGGCCACCGAGCGCTACACATCACAAGCAGGAGATTCACAGCAAACGTCATCAGCATACAATAAAGACAATGTTGGTTTCGCAACAACGAAGCAGGAAGTTGGGCCCTCTCTTACCTTCGTGCTGAACGATCTTGCCCTCGGGAAAAATGTGCACCCAGGCGCCCTCCTGCACCTTGTCAAAGATAGCTTGAATCATCTGCAGACAGTCAGTGTCATGCATCCACACTACGTAAGGATGTGATAGTACAGGCAATGTTGCAACGCCCTTCGCACCTGGTGGTCGACGCCAGCTCCTCGCTTCACAGGTAGCGTCTTGGCGCCGAAGAACACCGTCGACAGCAGTTTTCCCTTCGTGTAGCAGTACTCCTGGCTGCAATAGTCACTCAATCAAAGTTAGCTAGTGCCTCCTTCTCACCCGCACCACCAGAATACGCGCTCCACTCTCACCTCGCCAGACTCCAGCGCCCGTTCCACGGCCACGCGTACCTCCACGGCATCATGCTGCACACCAACACAATAACCACATCAGCCGTCCATCGTACTCCCGACTTGCGTGTATGCACCTGTCTTACTTGGCGAACACCGCCGGGTCGTCCACCGTGGCCGAGTGGTTGGACACCGTAATGACGGCCGTGCCCTTGGGCCGCTGCTCCAGCTGCTGGATCAAGTGTTCCGCGCCCTCGACCTTCGTGCGGTTCAGCAGCTGCAGGTAGATTTTGGCGGTCAGCGTCGCGGCGCCGAAGATGGGCACGCGCGCCACGTCGTGCAGCCACTCGGGGAAGACCTCGGGCCGACGTCCGCCGTCGTAGCGACCGTCGCCCAGGTCCGCCATGGGCGCGTCCACGTACAGCGCCACGGCCCCCACGCCCACGGACACGGCGCCAATTGACAGGGCGCTTAGGGACAGCGAGCGCACCAGGTGCGAGCCCGCCAGGGGCTTGGCCGTGCGCCGCAGCATCGTCGAGGAGACGCGAGTCCGAGTGGAGCAGATCCACTAATGACGACGCAGGTTTATGCAGCTGGACTAAAACCTGGACTAAAATACATGTACAAAATTTTTGACCTGCGGCAATTATGGGCAGTGCCCATAATAATTGGGCGCACTCTGTGTGTTGCAATCGCAAAGTGTAATTTTGAATTTTGTTGTTATGAAAGCCTAAGCGCGAACCTACGTGATGCGGGTCCCTGATGAACTGGGTAATGAATGCACACAGGGCCTTTGATGAGATCACTGTGGTGGGCAAAGTACGTACGTCCAGGTTGGCCCTACCGCTATTCAATCAAGCGGCTCGCCATACACGCACGCTTTGTCGATGCCGGCTCAAAGAAGCACAGCGGCAAGACCTCCAAGGAAGGCAGCCACAGCAGAAGATATCAGCAACGGAACCGCTGCCGACGTGCCAGTGCCAGTGGCAGTCGTCGTGGCAGCGTTGAAGGCATAATATTTGATGTATCCCGTACAGGAATGCGCAGTGAGCGCATCCTTTGTCAGCGCATTCGCATCATCCAAACTCTCCTTGCACTGGAAGTCGTCGTACGTCTGCAAAACGCCCGATCCATCGCTGTTCAGGGTCGCTTTGACGCTGTAGTCAGTCACAACGTGGCACTTCCCGTCCGCTGAGAAAGCTTGAAAGCCCTGTTTGGTCGTGCAGCTCGAGTCGGCGTAATACTCGGCCACCAAATAGGGGGCCTTGGCAAAGGTCGACGAGGCGAGCGTGAAGTAGTCGGATGTGCAAACTTGTTCAATATAGACCCCATCACCAGAGAGGGTACACTCAGCAGGACACGACCCAGAGTCAGGGAACATGGTCACGGAGGCCGGGTCGGCGCATTTCGAATCGTCAAACACAACGTACCCTTCGGCATTGACGGACGGCAATGCCGCCGCCAAAATCAACCCGGTTACCAAGTGACCCGCGAATGACTTCATGGCGTTCGCTTGAGTGGTCAGGTGAGTGTCGGTGCTTGTGGTGAAGCTGGATAATCTGAGAGTGAGGTCGTGCTGGGGCCCATGTTGCTTGACGATGCCGTGAAGACGAGTGGTTACCGCGGTTGCCTCTAGCTTGGAGACGCAGCTTGAAATACTTGCGGAAACCACTCTAGCGGGGTTTCGGTTGGTTTCCATCCTCTCAATATTCTGGGATCCTCACGGATTATCTTTCTCTTCATTGCGTTCAGCTCTGTAAGCAGCTCCGGCCCGGCATTTTGCGACTTTTGTTGCCTTTTCCGGGCTCCCGAGCAACAGCGAAATCCTACTTCGCAATACCGAGTTTCCACTTTACGGTTTAGGAGTTGATCTTGGCTTGCGTCCCACTCGAATATTTCTCGCGTTGTCAACCGGAATCAGCTTTCCGTTTGACCACTCCTTGTGCCAAATATCCCAGCAAGTCATCACCACTTCACGCACTTTGCGACGGGCTCGCATGCAGAGGAAGATCGGGCCGGTGTCATTGCAGTCGCCGCAGAAGTACGTAGTCGTCGAGGCTCGCTGTGTACCCGTACGCAGCGCCGAACACACCTTACGAGCACGCTGTCGCCTCTTCGCTTGGGTATCTGCGTTGCGCCACTCATCGACTTGGCGAGCAGTATGAGGGGACGTCTGGCCTCCGCCAGAAAGAATGGGTTCGTACGCGGGGGTCTCCGGACGGCGCTGCGTGCCGAACGTGTTGCTCTCGTACATGTCCGTGGCGTCGAGATTGCACAGCTGCAAGTGCAGCTTCTTCATTTACTTCACATGCGTGAGCGGGCGGGACGACTTGTTCTTGGGATACGTCTTGTGAACTATCTAGCCATTCACGATGGCCAAATCGATAAGGCCGAGGACGAGCGCCGTGTAGTACTTCTTGAAGCGGAGGGCTCGCTGCAGTGAGTAGCGCTGCAGGCGCAGCTGGTCCTGGACATCCACGCCCCCCATGAAGGCGTGGTAGTCTTTGATAACGCCGGGGCAAGGCACCTCCACCTGCGTCGCGCCGTCCTGCCGTGCAACACGATCGAGATCATGACTGCCACCGGTGCACAGGAAATGCACATGACACAAGTCCCACCAGCTGATGGCAGCCATGTTTGGAACCAGCTTGGACTTAGCAATTTTGAATGAGCCTCGCGCAATGTCCTCCGGGCGCGTCTTCTTCTTTTCGATCACCTCCTTGCAGTAGCCGAGTCGGTTTGTCATTATCGTGCGGACACAGTCGAACCCCATGAGCAGGAGCTGAATCGCTAAGGCCACCGATGTATAGAAGCGGTCAACCATGACCAGCCTCATACCCTGCTTCTTTTTTAGTCTGGTCCAAACACTTCCAGCAGATTTCGCACGACCGCCGCTGGCCCAGACTTCATGTCGGTCTTGTGGGCATCACTCGCGTGCTGCTTTTTTCCGCAGTAGATCTCAAACCTGTCGATATTCAGTTTAAACAAGATATATTTGTAAGATTAAACTGCATAATGCAATGTAATAAAATGACATAACCAAAAAAATTCGTACCGAATGCAGTACGCTGTAACTGCACTGCAGAGCATGAAGCGCTTGGTGCCCCACTTGTGGGGCTTGTCCTTCAGGTAGACGCGCATCTTGTTGAACGAAGATCGGCTTGGTAGCACTGCTTCATCAAACGCCAAGTGCGATGGAGCGACGTATCCACGCGCAAAGGTTCGCTGCAGAACTTCGACGACCTTGCGTATCTTCCAGGCGTGGTCGGTTTGAGCTCTGGGGTCGCTGTTGGGGTTGAAGTGTAGATTACGAGAGATCTCCATGAATCGATCCCGTGACAGCACTGACCCGAAGCACCCACGCGAGATAGCACCCTCATCCGTGGTTTTCCAGTGGTTGGTCAGCTTCTCGCGGTTTGGCGCAATAGCTCTTGCAATTAGCAGGCCAATGAACTGACCCAGCTCATGTGGCAAGATGGGCTTCATACCTTCCATTTCGTGTTGGATGTCGCGCCGTGATTTCTTCGGCAACTTGTCGTTGAGTCGTCGCTTGGCTCGATAGCGGCGATAGGCTTCGTCCACTCGAAGAGGGATCATCTCACGATGATACTCGTTTGAACAGGCAGCAATGTGCTGCCACTGCACGACGGGCATGAAGTAGAAAAATAGAGCGATGGGGGGGGGGGGTCGCCCCTTCAAAGCACCTCAGCCGTAGGCCCCGAGTAACCTTGGCGAAGACCGGGGTAGCTTCCGGCATCATTGACAGGCTCATAAGGCGTCATGAGATAGTCGTAGGTGTCAGGCTGAACGACGTCCTCCCAAACCGTCGCACTCATGTCCCGCAAGACAGCGCTCTTCAGGTTACCTGCCAGCACTTCGCCCTCCCCACCAAACTGCGACAGAAAGTTCTCCGCGAAGAGAACCTCCGCTGCGATCTCTTGCTCGGTCTGCTCGGAATCGTCGACGACGTCATCAGGGACGCACCAAGCGTCCACGTCTTCGTCTGACCCGTACTCGCCAGTCTCGACATCATCCTTCTCTGCTTCATCGCCAGAATCCATGGAACCAAACTGGGGCACGCTATCTCCATCCGTCACAACATTCAACGCGTCCGTGCTGTCGGTCAGTAGCTCATTGCCGAGTGCACCAGCTTCAGCTTCTTCGTCGTCACCGTGATCGTCTACAGTAAAGCAGCAGTAAAAAGCAGAATGCAGCATAACATTCACCATAATATTCAGTATAGTATCCATCATAACATTCAGCATGCAATGCAGCATAAGGGACAGTATAAGAGACAGCTTATCATGTTCATGATCACTGGGTATGTACACAGACTCGACGGGCTCGTTGTCGGGGATCACGGTGTCGTCCGACGGCGCGTCGTCGAACATGGACGCATCTGAATCCTGGACATGAGGTGACGTTGCCAGCAGTGGCGTTGGGCGGCGAGGTCGAGGCGGCGACGAGTGCGTGTGAGCGGTGGGATTGTTGGAGTTGTGACGACTTCGCGCTCACGCGCTTGCGTCTCAGCTTGAGAAACATCCGACTGTGTTGCCGCTTGAGTTGCAGCAGCACGGGTTGCAGCACCTTGAGCTGCAGTAGGGACTCGACTTGCAGCGTTCGTGGCAGATTGGGCTCACGCCTCGGCCCTTTCGATGTCAGCGAGGTAGTTCAAGCGCACGACTTCAGCTGCAGCGGCAAGTTGCGCGTCACCAGGAGCGGCGCGGGGAGGAGTGGGTGGCGGTGCAATTGCTGCTGGAGCACGAGAGCCATCCCGAAGCGCTACACACAGTACGCAACGATAGTTTAAAATAACATCAATAACAATAAAAGCCCTTTGAAACATACCATTTGCGTAGTATTCCAGTACTGCCTCCTCGCCTCGGAAGAAATGAACGCCTTCCGTCCCGCTTGAGCTCTCGCCTGGTCGAATGTAGAAGTAGCGGTCGTCGAGACTGCGCCGTGGAGGCGGCTTCCGCGACCACCCCTTGCCCTTGAGCTTGCACCACACCGACTTGAACGAGAGGTCGCGGCCTGTGACCTCGTAGTCGCGCACTACCTTCCCGAGCACTTGCACTATTTCCGGCTCCGGCGACTAAAATACCAGGATAAGTTGTCATTATCAGCAATACCAGCTGCCTGAATTGATGCGCTTGCTTGGACGACATCGGGTATTCAATCCGTTCTGCGCGCCACTTCACTACACCCTGCTGAATCCAAGTGTAGCTTATCACATCGCCAACCTTTGAGTCTTTGTCGGATAATAAGTTGAAGGCTCTTCGTATCGAATGGGGTCCCCCTGACCGCGCTGACCACGGTAAATCGAAGACATTCGTGTCCATGACGCCCTCGGCAATGAATTCACCCTTATCTGCGCCTAGCGCTCGTTCAATTCTTGCCACAGGTCCATATAAAATGGCAGTCAGGTCACATTCGAGCTCCCCAGTCACCCAACGAGTAGTCACCCCTTCCGCGTTGGTGCATGCTAGGCGTGCTTCGCGTCGTGCATTTACTAAGTCTGTTCTTGTGGGGCTGGTTGCAGTAAATCGGAACCACTTGTCGCCGGTACCGCGAAGTGTCTTGCCTGCTGCGCTCAGTCAATCTCCGACTCATCGGCTTGTAAACTTGCTGGGAAAGCGACCGACTTCTCGATATCGACCCGTAGCCCTGAGAGCTGCGAGAATTGGTTGACTACTGCAAGCACTACCGGTTGCGCACGTGCGTCGTCCACGTAAATGGCTGTGTCATCTGCGTAGCCTACAACTTTGAGGTCAGTAGCTCCATACGCCCCCAAAAGTCTGATTACCGAGAACGCTTCGCTTGCCTCCAGCATGTCATACAGGACGTCCACCGCTATGATGAACAGCAATGGCGCTAAAGGGCAGCCTTGGCGGATTTCACTTGTGATAGCGATTGGTCTCGATGCCCGACCATTAGCTAGGAACATTGCAGACGTACCCGTATGTAAGTTTTGGATCATTGTCAACATGCGTTGGGGTACACCTTTTTTCCTCAGCACTGCAAGCAGGAACTTTCGGTCCAGGGAGTCGTAAGCTTTTTCGAAATCCAGCAACAGCGCCTGGGCACATCCTGGTAGATTGGATGCTGCCACTTTCGCGGCCTCCAGTAAGTCAATGGCAGTATGAATCGATCTTCCAGGCACAAATCCGAATTGCGTTGGGTGTACCAGATCTGCGATACAACCACGCATTCGATGGGATAAATTTTTCGTGAAGACTTTGTAGTCGGTGTTTAGCAACGCGATAGGTCTTAAGTGTAGCGGATTGGTGGCTCTTGGTTTCTTCGCGATACAAAATTTATAGGCTGCTTTGAACGACTCAGGGTAATGTCCGCTCTGGAACCACGAACGGAAAAGTTTAGCGAGAATCGGAGTCAGTTCTTCGGCAAAGTCTCTGTAGAAGGAGTTGCCTAATCGATCCGGTCCAGCCGCTTTCCCTCTTTTGCTGCGCGCTAATGCGCTCTGGACTTCAAACTCCGTGACATCATCATCTAGCCATTCGATTTGTGCTGTGCCCCAGTTTTTGCTGATCTCAGAGATGGACACTTCAAGCTGTTCGGTGCATCTCGCTTGTCGATTAAGGATTGGATGCCAGTTTTCAGCCAAAATGTTGGCTTGGTCTTCGGGCCCTAATTTCGTGTCCGCAATCCCGTGATCCAGTAGTGGGACTGTACTATCTCCATACTTCGTAGACACTCTGGCAAAAAAGGATTTGACATCTCTGGTTGTGCGTTGCACATGCTTCGTCGCCAGTCGAACCATTCGTAGTGCTCTTCGTCGGGTAGATACGGCATTGATCTGCTCCAAGAGCGCTGCCTGCCTCATCGTTGCCACCCTCCGACCCCTGATCGATGGCGAGAAGCTGCGCATTGAGCCGCTTGATCTGCTGCTTGAACCCTCGATTGGTCCTCCGACGACAATCTCTTTTCACTTTTTGCAGTTCTGCCCCAAAGCCTGTCTTGAATTCGTCCCACATTCGAGTAGTTTGCTCTGGTGGTAGGTCTGTTGAAATTGGTTCCTCGAAATCTTTCAATCGGTTCCGTATTAGACTTCCACTAGCCGCAGCAGAAAAATGCGGAGCAGGGTAAACGGAGGCCTGATCACATATTCGCTTCGTTGCGGCTGGATCCTGGAGGTCCCTTGTGGCCCGTTTTAAGTGGCGCCGTGATCGATACGACCTCTACGTGGCTGACCCAGGTTGGTAAGGCTGTCGAGAGGTACCAACGAACAATCCTGCTGAATGCAATGACAGATTTGTACGGGTACCGATATGTGTGGTTTTGGGCGGCAAAGCACTTGGTTGTAGTGGCATTAATCGTACCCGGTTTTCGCCACTCCATCGGGATCATTAAGCGCTTGGGCATGGCCCAATCCATCAGAATTTTGGCACCTCCTTCTACCGAAGAACCTCCACCAGCACGATCCAGCTCTGGGTCCGTAAAACAGTTGAAATCACCCCCCCCACTAGAATGGGTACATCTTCCGGCAACTTTAGTTTTGCAATCTGCTTGAAAAATTGTCTCCTTGGCTTTCCCGTGCTCGGCGCGTACACATTGACCAGGAGCACTTTCGTGTCTCGTATGATGCACGTGGCCATGAGTAAGTGCTGGGACCATAGCTCCCGTCCCCAAGGTTTCAGCTCTCTTACACTACCGTACGGGTTGACCACGATGGTGACACCACCGCGCCGCTCGTCCGTCGCTGCCCATAATAAAGACGGTTGTGCTGCCTCATTCTTAAAGCCCCACGCGGACTTGTACATTATCCCCGCCTTCTCGCACTCCGCTGCCGTCAAGTGTGTTTCTTGAATAAGCACCACCGTAGTCATGTCGTTCACGAAGCCCTTGGAACCAGATAGGTAATTTAGTGAAGTCACCCGCCCATCCACTAACATTGAGCGTCAGTAGGCCAAGTGTCACTGCGTCTCGATGCAAGGCTGCACTCTTCCCTTGCTCGGTCCCCTTTCGTGCTTGCAGGATGTTATTGGTATGACGCCTTTGACTGAGCCGCTCTTCATGATCGAGAAATTGTTGTTCCATTGAGCTCGCCTTGTCTTGCTTGTTAAGTACAGTATAAAATTTATGCGGTGTGTTGGAATGTAATGCAGCGGGTGCAACTGGTGTCCGTCGGGGTCTGTTGCTAGCGATCGCATAAAGACCCTCTCGACTCACCGGCAACCCGCGTGCATGTTTGGATCTCCCCTTCGCCACCAGCACTTGACAAGATAAGATTCTGCGGCCCCCTGGGCCTTTTAGGACCGCAAAGGCGTCTGAGGGCGCTGGGACCTCGGATCCCCGCACGCTTTCCTTGCCAATACCTTCACAGTTAAGTTTCAGTATTTGCGGTGGATCCTGTTGCAGCTCTTTCAGTCCCGTCCAATCTCCACTCGCTCGTGCTTGCTGACACAACTCTTGTACCCGGTTTTCGCTCCAGTACAGTGTTCGCCGGCATGCTTCGAAAGCAGAGCCTGCTTCCTCGACGTTCCAAGCCACCAGACTTCGCAGAATAAGGTGAAGTAAATACCATTCCTCTTTGCCAATGTCCGCCGGCTTGGAGCGATTCTAGCTCCGATTTTTACGCCTGCATAGTCGTTCCCACTTAGCCGTATCACCAGCCACGTGAATATTTACCTCGGAAAGCTCTGTGGCTGAAGCTTGGAGCCACTCCACACAAAACGTATAAAGTGCCGAGGAAGGGACCAATGTTTCACTTCGTCTCAGCACGTGAAGTCGCTGCAGTTCACATGCTTCATGTTTTCCCACTGGATCAACGTTTCACGTGGCCACTGGTACAGGAGTACTTCCGGAGTTGTTAGTGTCTGTATGAGTGATCCCCCTGCCTGTATATCAGTGCTGCAGTAGTTTCCAAGTTTGCGTAGTGCGTGGACCGATCGAATTTGCTGGGGAAGACCCCACCTTGTGCGATCTTCCGTTCTCCACTGCTGATACTCCTGATACGCGGTTTCGTAGCCTTCTGCGTCGGGGCCCCAGGTAGGTGCCTTTGCTGACTGGGTTTGCGCCTCCAAGGCTAAAGGCCTGCAGTCACTGTCGACGTGTCTGGCGCGTTGTTGGAGCATGTCGACACACGCTAGCGCTCGCCTAGCTAAGTCGGCCTCGTCAAACGGTTCTGAGTCTAGAGGACTGAACCCGTGCTCACTAACTACTCGATTTCTTCTTTCCGTCATTGCGTCCAAATCCGCCGTGTCTTATTCATAGCGTTCTGGAGGGTACGTCACCGCGTTGAAGTGATTTCCGGTTGCCTGATGCCTCAGGATCAACACTGTCGGCGGTACGCTTGCTGCTCTCATGGCACTAAACAGGCTTTGTGCCGACGCCTTGTCCAGCAAAAAGGTCTTGGATTGTTCGTAGTTGCCTCCATGGGTAGGTTTAGCTTTGGCGTAGGCATGACAGTGTACAAATGTCTGCCCCGTTTCGAGCTCGTCAATCACAAAGAGCGGTTCTCTTAGATACGTGGCCATGGCCTGGAGCTGAACGGTGCGTACCCAATCCGAAAGAGGGGCCTCGCAGTTGACTGAGTAATTTCGCACCCGCGAAAGAGCCGACGCTATTGCCAAGAGCTTCTGATCCATGGAGCAGGAGTCAATCGACGTGTTAGTGAGCGCCTTGTACAGGTCGTCCACATCAAATTCATCTAGTTCAGCTGCCCATTGCAGTCTTGCTAGCATAAATGTCATTGCTCGCGTCTTGTATGACGAAGAGAGCAGTGTTTCTTCCTCGTTGAGCACCAATACATCTCCCCATAAATTCGTAATTGCTGCATACCATGCGTTCCATCCGCACTGACCATTGGGCGGGACGTCAGTAGCTGCGCTACCCAGCAATGCCAGCCAGTCCGCCACGCTTACCACTTCAATTGGCCCTTCTGGTGTTGATTCATCGATTATCTTCTCCCCGGGCTCTTTCATCTCCACATTTGCGCTGTCCAAGCTGGCGCCATAACAGTCGAAGATTGGGGTCTGTGTGAGAGTACGCTTCTGTCCCTCCTCCATTTCGGGTAGCTGTTCGCCGGGGTTCCCATCTCCTGCCGATTTTGTACGCAGCAGTTTTTTTTGGCTCTGCGGGTCGACCGATGACAGGGTAGGAGTCGCCTGGCCTCTGGAGTTGGGACTGTCGCCGTTGTGTGTATCTGCTCCACACGCTTCTCAGCGTTTAGTTGTCCCCCATCCTCGCGAGTGGCGTCGCCCCCTTGGGACGCCCCAGCATGTTCGTGGATTGATGGAGCACGAGTGCGTTTTCCTTTTGCCGGGGAGAGGGGCTCGTCTTGCTCATGTTCTGACTCCGGCTTGGCTCTCTTCCGCAGGTCGACGGGAATATCTTCATGCACCCGGCTTTCGTCCGGAGTTTCGTCAGCGGTGGAAGCGTTCGGCACCTCGTCAATATCCATATCATCGATATCCTCGCACTTTGTAGGGTCATTCTCAGCACAATACTGTTCAACCTTAGTTTCTTCCTCTGCCTCTATGGTTGTTGGCTCGGTAGTGAGCAGACTTCATGCTCTGAGGAAATCCGCCATATCCCGTATGGGCTGCACTGGTTTGAACAATTGGAGCTTTGTAGTCGGTCCGACGCTAGCAGCAGCGACATCTAAAGTCAGCCGTCGGCGTGATGCCGCAACTTCATCTTCCGTTTGCATGCAAGTGGCGTGCCCATGCCCGAAAGCTCTGCAAGGTGTACATGGCGGAGCTACGAAAACGGTGTGATGGAAATTTGTCAATTCCACATCAAGCCACTTCCAGTGGGTATACTTCTTCAACGCTACGGGCCACATTGGAACTGTGAGCTGCACCTTCCAGGCTCGGCTGTCAGTTCCACCTCGTGCTCGGCCAACTCGCTGCAGATTGAGGATAGGAACCTCCATGACATTGTCTAGGAGGTGGAACAGCTCCTCCGCTGATACTTCGCGATGTAGCACTAGCACCGTGAGCTCATAACTGTCGAGTCGGACAACGGGATGAAGCCCATGTTCATCTACTTGTTTCCTCATTTCAGCGTAGTCGAAAAGCTCGATTCGTCCATTGCCGAGGGGAACTCGCCATCCCACCCAGCGCTGCGCGGCTTGGTTGCTGGGGAACGCGAAGCTGGGGAACGCGAAGGTAATCAGGCGCTGGGGTTCAGTGTACACGATCGTGGATAACGCTCGAATGAAGTCGGCCGCTTCGATTTGCAAATCAGCCGCCGCTGTTTTCGGCGGTGTCATCAGCTCTACAAGTCGTTTGTGAGAGCAGTCGCCATGGAGGAAGTAACCCGGTTGGATGTGCGCAAAATATCTGGTACACTGACTGGTGTTCAAATACACTTTCAAATGCGGCCAGGTCAGCTTGGTTTAGCACGTTGACGAGAAATGGAGGTACAGCTGGGATTTCCAGTTCACCCCCAATTATCAGGTCCATTGTTCTAAGCTCCTTCTGAGTGAAGGCTCTCAGAGATGTTGTCGGCTGCGCGGGTGCTGTGCAGATCTTGTAAAGTTCATTTAGTTCGGTCATCCCGGTCGCGTCTGCGTGAGGCTTCCGCTCGGTCGCGCAGAAGCCGCTCACCACGTCCTTGTAGGAGACGCCACTGCTGACAGTGTGCGAAGCAGGCACGGTCACGTCGCGCGCAGAGGGCTGTGCCTGTTCGTTCGTTTCGAAGTCGAAAGCCATAAACCGCTGTTCAACCTCGCGTTGTCGAAGCTGTTTAGCAATGATCCAGTCTTGTAATTCGACCAGCATGCTGGTAACATTTCGTTGTCCGAGGAGGAGCGACTTGCGCTTCGCAATGAATGGGAGAAAACAGCCCGTATCCCGGTACATTATGGTGGCTATCACAGCCAGTGGGATCTCTCCAGCAACGACAATGTTTCTTTTGCCTAGCCATGTCCGATGCAAATCTGTGGTTGCACACTTTGTTTCACAGTGCCAGTACCAACTCGATGACTGGAGAGAAGGAAGCTTGTCCACCCAGGATTTTTTTAGAAGTCGGAAGTCGTTCTCTCCACGCGGCATTGCTGCCTGCTTTGCTTTCTGGCGTTGAGCTGGGTGGGCTGTTGTTGGCGATGAGTGCACGTTGGGCGTGGCCCGTCGGTTCCTGGCGGTCATGTTGTTGTTCCTCTCGCTGAGTGCGGCTTAAGAGGGAGAAGAGTCGCGGCCTTTCGGCTTAGGGCGTCGGTTCGGGAAACGGATCACTGCGCTCCACCCATGGCTGGATCTTGGTGGAGCAGGTTCCGGGGGAGCTTGTTCGCTGGCGGTTGCAGTCGACGGCGCTAGACTTGTGCCTCCGCGCCCAGGCGTCATGAGAACACTTTGATAACCCCGCCCTGTTGGGTGGTATTCCTTCTTTGAACTTATTCGAAGGCTTAACGATTGGAAATGATAGCATCGTAAAGATCCTTCCTTTATCATGAATACACTGTTTACATCTAAATAACACAGGTGAATGTTGCCTGTGGTCTTGACATCCACCCAAAAACAACAAATGTTATCCAAAGGTACGTGGGTTAAACGCTATTTGAAACGTATCCGTTAAAAAACCTAGTGGGTGAAATTACTGACAGCCACCCTGAACTTTCAATGGCCGGCTCGTGCCATGTCTGCTGAGCCAGTCACAAGATTGCTCTTCACTTATTTTGCCCGCTGATTACAGCAAGCCCGCTAATTCAAGGTAATAATAATCATTGAGAAAGCGACTCGATGCATGAGTGAAACTCGATTGACTTCATCTGGGCAGCGCAATTGCAATGATTATCCAAGCCTAAGCTACAGGCTATCGCAACGAGATCCAATACCATTGACGCAAGGACCGTTGTGCTGGTAAAACAACGAGTTACGATGGAGTTATATTTCAAAACGAGCCACGCCGTCGCTTAGACAGAATTTGGGCAGGAGCACAATAACTTTACTTCCTGAATGTAAAATTGTCAGGATTTCGTATAGCTACGGTAATAGAGCAACTAGAACGGTTGGATTAATTCGATGAAGTTTTGGTCGTGATAAAGCTAAGGGCAAACTTGTACTTAGTAGTGTTTGCAACGCGACGGCCTTCTGGCATGGAGCACACATGAAGTTAGCTATCAAGAAAGCAGCAACAATATACAGGTGTATGGTTAATCAAACTTCAGTTCATCGTTTAATTCAAGGTTCAACCCAGAAACTGCTGCATATAAATATTTCATAAGAACGTCCACGGGTCATTCAGAGTTTCATGTAGTGATGGTAAAGAACCTGAAGGGTTGAAAACTTACACAACGTTGTCAAATTTTAGAACCGGGTCTAAACATTTGTAGCTAGCACAATCGCACCATACTTTTATAAAATACCCTACCATAATAGAAGACCTATTCAGCGCTGCTCCGCGAACGGCAATCTGGGGGCGACATCGAGTCGCATCTTTATCTGTCGAACCCAATGTCAGAAGGCAAGCCACTCGCTTAGGCATTGCTACTAGCGCTTCCGCGAAGCCTTCCCAAGTCCAAATGGAGCAGCAGTCACCTCCTCCTTCGGCCCAGCGCCATTGCAGTCACGCTTCACCGAGGTTTCCAGTCGCGCTAAGCTCTCCATCTCCTGAACAAGGTAGAGCGAGTCAACCATCACCGGTGTTTCCGGCTGTGTGGGGGTCTGCCGCAGCCGCGGAGCGGCAACGTCGTGTCTCGGAGTCGCCTACTATCCAACAAGAGTCGAAGTCGGAGTCGCGGGACTCGCCTCAAGCCATCTCCGCGGGGCAGCAGCGTACGTCGCCCTCGCCGGGGGTTTCATCGCATCGCTCTCCGTCTCGCAAGCCTGGCCGCCCCGCGCATCCTCTATGGGAACACTTCGTGAAGAAACCAAAGGGCGATGGCAGGAAAGTGGCTGCGGAGTGCACATACTGCCACAGCCGCATTAACACGGGCCAACCAGTTCGGTTCATGGTCCCGCATTTGGTCGGCTGTAACGCAGCGCCGCCACGCATACGCGAGCAATGGAGTGAGTTCGCGAGAGCTGACGCAGCTAGGAAGCAGCAGCGGTCGGCTCCGGTTACGACTAGCACTGGTGCTCCTCCGCTAGCAACTACTCGAACGGACTTGCCTGTTGGTGGAAATGTTATACCTTCGGTTACTCAAGAGCAATTCGATTTCGCGTTTGCTCAAATGATGTTTGGATGTGCGCTATCGTTTGTTCTCGTGGAGTCTCCATTCTTCCGCCAGTTCATGCAGTTACTCGCGCCTGGACTGATAATCCCGTCGTCCCGACACAAGATCGCCGGAGTCATGCGGCAGCGAATGCGCGATGAATGCAGAAAGTATGTGATTCAGCTGATTAAGCAGCAGCGTGTGGTCCCTGTTGTTACTGACGCATGGAGCGACACCAACAACGCAAGCATCGTCAACTTTATGGTCGTCGCCCCTGGTATGCCAGCTCTGTTTTGGTCATCACTACCGACGGGTACCTCTCAGCATACCGGGGCATACATGGCGAAAGAGTTGGAGCGGGTAATAAACGAAGTCCATACCGAGACGGGGGCTGTCATTGCAAGTGTTATGACGGACAATGCGAGCAACATGGTGAACGCATGGGCGCATTTGAAAGCCAAGCTACCCATTTTCGCTGGTGGATGTGCTGCCCACACCATTAATCTGTTGATCCAGGATGTGTTCAAGCTCTCGTTCTTCACAGCTATCCGGAAGGAGGCTGTCGCTATCACGAAGTTCGTTCGAGACCATCACGCGCTTCTAGACGAATTTCGCAATCTCCAGTCAACTGTTATTCAGGCGCATGATGATTTGCTAGATCAGTTTCGGTCGCTTCACCAAGCCACAACTCTCCCAAGCACGGATCGGCGCCGTGCTCTCGTTCTACCGACTCAAACCCGCTGGTACACACTTCATGTCTGCCTCCGTAGCGTAATGACAAATATGGTGGTTATCAAGAAATTGTTCGATGCGTCGGATAACGCTGAGCTCCTGTCGCGTTACCAAGTCACTGCTGCCAATCGAACGTCACTTGACAAGGTGATTACAATTATTGATGATCCGGATTTCTGGGAACGCTTAGAGCACGCTGTAAAGCTGATCGACCCGATTGTGGAGATGTTGCGAGAATTGGAGTCCGATAAGTGTGCAACATCAAGAGTGTACTCGTTGTTTCGACGCCTGAGAACACACAGTTATCTATGAAACCAGCAACCGCGTGATCCCAACCGGTCTACTTACTTCCATAAAAACTCATATTGAGTCGAGATGGAAGTTTGTGAAGACGGACGCCATAAAAATCGCATTTCTACCGGGTCCATCCACTGACACAAGTGACTTCATGGAGAATGACATGAACGAAAGCGTTGCAGCAGCAGTTGCGTTTGCCGAACGAGCCCATTTGCTTGGTAGCACGTCTTCGACAGCGTTCACGGCAGCTCTGTACGCGTTTGGAGCCTTGAAGAAGGGGTGGTCGGCACAGGAGAAGGCTCAGTATGCTGCTGCAGCACCGAGTCACTGGTGGGAGGACAATTCGCAATTCTTCGAAAAAAGCCATCCTAAAGTCTACGACCTCGCGAGACTGGTGTTTGCTGTTCCGACTTCTTCTGCAGCAAGCGAACGCGACGGAGCATATTTGACTTTATTCACAGCAAAAAGCGCAACCGGCTGACGAAGGACAAAGTTGAGAAGCTGGCCTACATCTACATCAACCTGGCCGCGACGACGTCGACATGGATCGATGTAGCACGCGTTCGCGAATACCCAGAGAGCGTAATGGGTCCGGAGACAGAATTGGTTGCGGAGCAGGTGTAGCGGCTCGATCCTTTCAACTATGTCCAGCTTGCATGCCAACCGCAGACTGCCGTCCGCAGTGCCGAAGGTGCTGCGTTGCAAACGTCTATTTTTAAACGGGGTTCTGAACCTCATGGTTAATGAAACTTTATTTGAAAAACGTTTAGAACGGTTCTTTTCCATCACTAGTTTCATGAAACACAAAAACTAGTAATCCAGAGCTTTTCCGTGTATACACGGCGTTAGTGTGATATCCTGTACTACATTCGGTACACCTGCGTGGATATGTGGATTCCACTGGATACCGATGCGTCAGCGGCGACGGCGACTACAACGATCACGACGACTACGCCCACCGCCACGATAGCGGCAACGACGATGACGACATCGACAACGATGAAAACGACAGCGCCATCGACGACGACGGTTGCGGATTTTCCTCGAGTAAAAATCGGATTCATTGAAAGTAACACTTTATTGGGATTTCGCTCGAGTAACATTTTGAGATCGGCTTCTACTCTGTGTTACTCGGATACATCATCTCCTAGCCTTAGCTCTAGAAGCAGACGGATTGCTGATCAAGATATTAGCACCGCTCTGGAATAAGAAGCACAGGGTCAGGGTCCGCAGCTGGTCCAAGGCCTCCGGGATCAGATAGCCCTGCATGCCGCCGAGATCCAGGATCTGGATCGCCAACTGACACGCGCTCAGGCCAATCTCGCGACTGCTAACGCCGATCGTGATCGACTGGACCACCAGCTCGATCTCGCCGCGGCGGACATTTCGAATCTCCGAACGCAGGTTTCTGGGCAAGAGCGCGAGCTAGACGAGGTGAACCACGAGCTAGACCTTACGCGCGGCAGCCTCGATCGGGTCCAGACTGCCCTTCAGGTGGCCGAAGCAACCGTGGCCCAGCGAGGTCACGTTGCGGCCGCGGCCACTCCGGCCGTTCCGACCCCGACGCTTCCCGCCGGACCCACGCCCGCCCTGGATCAACTGCAAGCTGCCCTCCACCGGGTAAATGAGGAGCTGGATCTGATGCGTACCACCCGAGATACCGCGAAAGGCCAAGCCACCGCTGCCGGGAGAGACGTCGATCAAGCTCATCAAGACCGCGATGCTGCACTCCGAGAGAACGCCGATCTCCGTACGTAAGCTTCCCGTACCACCTATGCCGTTGTCGATCGCTGCTAATGCTGTCGCTGTGCTACAGGATCGTGTCTCGAAAGTGCGCAACAGGTGATCCGGGCCCAAGATGCCCAATTCCTCGACGTCCAGAATGCCTACGCTATGTTGCGTCACGCCAACGATCGATCCAGCGAGGATCTCGAGAATGTGGCTGACACGTTGTCTCGCGTTGCTCGGTGGATCGGGTTTCGTCAGTGCGCGCCGGTCACGCCTGTCCGTCGCAGCCGCAGTCGCTCAGGATCTCCGGACTCTACCGGTCACGTCCACAAACGTGCCCCAGTCGATCTCAGAGTCGATCGCCCGCTCGGTATCCCTCACCGTCCTTCTCGTTACACGGTAATAACGAGGAACTTCCTGCTGAGGATCAGCCTGCAGGGAAGGTACCTGCTGCAGATCGGCCACGTTCGGATCCAAACGAGCAAGAGGGATCGGACCAAGACGGGTCCGGTTCGCCACCTCGATCTTCGCTGGGAAATCAGTCGGAAGAGGGGGAGTCGTCTCCGGCTAAATCCGCGGCCGACGAAGAAAAATCCGAATCGGAGGGGCCCGATCAAGAGACCGACGAAGAAGAAGACGAGTCGGAGGGGTCTGATCAGGAGGCTCTCGCAGCCTTAGCTCGATCCCGATCGGAGGCTCGTCGCCGTCAATCGGCCTCGCCAGCCCGTACCCATACTTCGCCGGCTCGCTCGCGATCGCGATCGCCCTCCGTCGTGTCAATTCACTCCCAATCTGGATCGGCTCGCTCCCAATCGTCCCACGGAACGCATCAGTCCCGTCATGGCTCACCTAGATCGACGCCTCCGTGATCCCCGCCCGGTTCTCCACCTGGATCGCCGAGGCGTCGTCCCCTGATCCCGCCGTTGTTCCCGATCGGCGCCATGATCCCGGGTTTCAACGCCCTCAGGGCACTCGTTCAGGCTGACACGGACCCCGGGCCTTCGAGCCTGCTGAGACAGCCATGATCATGTCGACGCTGACCCACCATCTTCTCCTACCCCAGGGGTGGCTCTTCCCGCTCGCCGTTCGGGGCACTGCACATCCTGCCGCCGGGATCGGCTATCGAGACGACCTGATCACCGGACCCAACATTACTGCGTTGATGGCCGATCGCCCCTGGCAGGTGCTACAGAACCCGGCCAACCCGTTGACTTTCGATCTGGCACTCCATCGAGGCGCCAGCACTCGATTGGGTCGGATCGCCACCGTCTATCTTCAACTTGAAGAGCAGCATCGCCAGGCCTTTTGGAAAACCACTCATTATCTCCCGATCACGGCCGCACAGCGTCGGGACCCGATCGTTGAGCAATACCATCGCGATCACCGAGCCCGACAGATCCGCCTCGGTGATCGGTGGCGCCGACTCCTCGACGCGATGCTGCCCATGATGCGAGAGATGTAGGCGGACGTCGATCTGCTGCTGGACCCGTTCTTCTTGCAGATCCCGGTGCGGTGTCTTGTGCTGCGAATGCTGGCAACCCCATCCAATACCAAGGTGAACCGACCGACCTCCGAACGGCCCTGATCGAGGCCGACACCCATGATCCCTGGCGGAACCAGTATCGCGACCACCCCCAGGACCATCCAGCTCAACGGATCCCGCGCCTCTGCAACAAGTTCAACCCCAACGTCGGCGCCCAACACCAGCCGTGACATGATCGCCGTCTTTGCGATCGACTTCCGTAAGTAGCGAGCCAGTCGACCATTTCACGCCCAGAGTAGGAGTGACTCGGAGGCCGATCTTCCATACGCGTAACGCGAAATATTCAGATTAATCCATTCCATCGTAACAAGCCACATTCTTCCTCGATCTCCCACTCTTTCCCGTCAGTCCATTCCTTGCTAGCTCGATCGGCCAGGATCCATCCTCATACCTTCCTGCACTCGCTCCATAACCATCCGATCTGCACTCACGTACACACATTCATTCATATACAACCCCTTCCTCCGATCAACGGCCTCCCCGTCGATCCGTCATCCATTTCGCTCACCAAGGTGACCAACTCACCCTGGCGGTCCGATCTCACTCCTCCTCGTGAGACTGCATCGCGCCGAATCGGTTCCGGCGCACGCGATCTCGAAGGACTCGTGTACTAAAGCTCCACAGTTGAGATCAGCCTCGTCAACCCAGTCAGGCTCGTCATAACCCTTCCAGTGTACCAGGAACTCTCGATACGTCCGGCCATACCGAGTCCTGCGACCTGTTCTCGTATCCGTGATCTTCTCCACTTCGTACTCGTTCGCGTCTCGATCTGGGGCCCAGCTGTCCTCCGGAAGTAAGACTTCGTCAAAATCAAGTCGATCTGCTTCGTTCACCGTGAGCGCGATCTGCGGTCGATCGGGGAAGTCTCTGACCAACTTCAGCTTCGACACATGCACGATCGGGAACAGGTGATAGTCTGTACCAGCGATCTGGAGCTTCATCGTGTACTCGTTCACCTTCTCCGCAACGTGGAACGGACCGTGCCACAGATGAGCCAGCTTTCGGGCATACCCCTCTTTCACACGGTCCAGGTACAGCCACACCTGAGATCCAGCTTCGATCGAGTGCGGTCGAACTTCTTCATTGTGTCGATCGGCCCGATCCGTGATCGCCTCGCGTAGGCGAGCATTCACCTGACTTCGAGCCTGATCGTAGTGCCTCTGGATCCGATAACGCCACCGTCGAGGATTCCGATCCCGAGTACTACCCAAAGGTATCGTCGCCTCGAGCGTCGATCGAGGATCCCAACCATGCACCAGATAAAAAGGGGAGTCTCCATGGACTCGATCTTGAGCCGTGTTGATCGCGAAGGTCAATCGCTCTGCGTACTCATCCCAATCACTCTGATCCAGATCCTCCACGAACATCTTCAGGGCTCTCGTCGCCGTCTGTACCATTCGCTCTGCAGTACCGTTAGCTTGAGGTCGATATGCCATCGTCGCTCGCTGACGCATACCCAGGATCTTGTTAAAGGCGCGGATGAAGTCGGCCATAAATCCCGGTTCGCGATCATGCCTGATCATCTCGCTAGCACCAAATCGCCGGAACACGCACTCTTCGTAAGACTCGGCGATCGTCTGCGCCGTTCGGGACGAACTGGCCTTCGCGATCACGTATCCCGTGAACAGATCGGCCCAGATCAATAGTTCCGTATTACCCTTGTACGACTTCGGCAGCGAAGGTATGTGATCCATCGCTATGATCTGGAACGGGTATGTCGCCAGGATGTTCCCCGGCGACTCGCCCCTGATCGTGGGTCGTCCTTTGCCGGTCTCGCAGTCGACACATTCACCGACGTACTTCTGCTTCGGCAAGCATCGACACTTTGGACACTGAGCTAGTCGTACGGTTAAGACTGGATTAATACATTGACCAGCTTGACCTACTCTAGCGATCAATTTCTTGTGTGCGAACCCTCGATCGACCGGATACTGCTTGGCTGGCGATCGTTTCTCTTCTCGATCAACCTCGATCCCGCTATAGGAAGCGGCAAGCAGCTCAGGAAAGGAAGGAACACACCCGGAAAGGCAACTACAGGCCTTGGATCTACTCCAGGCCGACCGATCGCAGCGAACAACCCTCGATCGGAGCGAATACTCGGACGCAGAGCGAAGATTACCGCGCTGCTCCACAGACTATCCCCGCGTCACACCAAGACGCTCGATCTTCACCAAGTGCTGCATCTTCGGAGCCCCGAGAGAGCAGATCCAGCCCGCCGACGGGTACACAAGGTGAGAACAAGTTCAGCCGATCACGGATCGTTGGGGGACCCCCTCCGTTAGTCGGTGTCGGGGCGCTGGTGGGAAGCTCGATCAGGCCTTAACAAGATTTTGGCCGATCCGGCTACACCACACTTCTGCACACTCCTGAAGAGACCTCTCCAGTGAAAATGATCGCGGATCCGCTGGTACGCCCGATCCCCTGGTGTCCACCTTCAAGAGTGGAGTGATAGTGATGCAACATAGCTTGATGCAGCGTCTCCGGTGCCACCAGTCTCATCAGTCCATCACGATCTGCCTCCGATCGTTTGGAGGGTGGGCAATAGAACAGCAGATTATCACCGTCGATCTCATAGTCCGATGCGATGTTGCCACAGGATCGAGCCTCCTCGTGTGCCAGATCAGCCACATCTCCCATCAGGTACTTCTTCATACCCGCGATCCACGTCTCTTCATCCTGTGCTCGACAAATCCGATCGATCCGCAACTCTCGCACGAACTCCTCCTGCATGGCAGCCGGGTTCAGCCGTGATCTGGCGCCCGATCGGGTGGTCATCGGCGATAGTCGGACGATCGACTCATCCGATCGAACGACCAGGATCTCATCAAGTCGGTTCAGTGTCACTAGATCCCCATGATCGGCATCATCCTCGACGACGACGCCCCCTTCACGTTGGAGTGCTGCACTGGCCAGGCTGTCCGCACTTCCGTTCCAGTCTCGTTTCACATGTAACAGCTCGTGATCTGGCCAGTTCCGTAGTTGATCCAGCACCTTCTGCTTCAGCAATGTCAGCTTAGGTGCTTTGCAGTCGATCTCGCCCCGTACTTGTCGGATCACCAGGTTGGAATCACCGCAGACCACTAACCTGCCTCGATCTATGCCGTCAAGGAGGTCGAGACCCAACAACAGACCGTGATACTCCGCCTCGTTGACAGTCAGCCCCTCAGCATAGCCCGATCGTGCCTTCACCACACTCCATTCGGGTAACTTCCACAAGATCGCACTGTACGCACCCCCGCCTCGCTTGACGCGGGCAGATCCATCGAAACTTATCACCAGCAGCTCTTCGTCCGCACGTACAGTCGGGATCGGGGCCTGAATCTTTCGCAGGGGTTCTTTCTTCGGCGCGATCGCGATCAACGCGTCGTCCATATCCGATCGAGGCGTAATACTAGGGGCGATCGCCCCCAATATCTCGTCCTCTCCCTTGGTGCACTTCGTGATCTCCAGTGTCCAGGGCGATAGGAGTGCAGCCCACTGACCCAATCGGCCTTGAAGACCGGGTGATCGGAACAGCCACGCCAACGTCGAGTGTCGGGTCAAGACCCGGATCGATCGTCCAACCAGCATGTTATAGTTCAGGCCCAGAATCCGTAACAGCGCCAGCACTTCTTTCTCCACCACGTTGTAGTTCAATTCATTCGACTTCAGCGTTCGACTGGCGAAGGTAACGGGATGATAGATCTGGTCGTGTTCCTGCATCAATGCGGCCGAGATCGCCCAGTCACTCACATACACAATCACGACCGGAGTCCGATCGCGATCGAAGTGCCGCAGGATCGATGTCGTCGCGATCTTCATCTCCAGTGTCGAAAAGGCACGATGAGTACGGATCCAGCGTTCATCGGCAACACCGACTTCAGGAACTGGTGGAGTCCGATCGGGGTTCACTGGGTCCGTATCCACTAAGTTCGGCACTTGACGATCCAGGATCTGGCGCAGATCGGGGCGCTTCTTCAGCTCGGCGAAGTCCACCTCGCGCAGTTCGTACAGGATCGCCGCGTAGATCGCGTAATCTTCCAAGAAACGGCTGTAGTAGTTGAGACTGCCCAGGAATGACTGCATCGATCGGAGCGATCCGGGGAACGGCAGATCAGTCAGAGCAGTGAGATCCTTCGGATTGGCCTCCAGCCCATCGTTCGACACACGATGCCCCAGATAGTCCACCTTACGCATCCCCCAAGAGCTCTTCTCCACACTGATCGAGAGGTTCCACTTATCACAAGCGTCCAGCAGGTGATCCACGCGATCACACAGCTCGTCCCATGATCCGGCCGTCACAAGAATGTCATCAATGTACGATCTGCGACCTAGCACTGATGGACGCCCCGGATCTTCTGATTCTCCTGACTCGATCAAGTCCGTAGTGACTTCACAGTCCGACGATCGCGGGATCCTGGTGAACCCATACAACGCGTCGTCCAGAAGTCGCTGATAGATCTGAGGAGCGTTCTTCAGGCCGAACGGCATCCGGTTCCACTCGAACAGACCCATGTGGGTGATAAAGACCGAGATGCACGAGCTCGATCGGTCATTGTCACCACCCAGAATCCACTAGCCATGTCCAAAGAGCAATATCAGAGTACCTTGCCCAGATCTTCTAGCAGATCGTTGATCAAGGGTATCGGATATACCATCAGCCTGGTTAGACTGTTGACGAGCCGATAGTCGATACAGAGTCGGATATCCACGCCGTTTTTTCTTGATGATCACGACGATCGGCGAGGCCCGCGGTGATCGAGATTTCCGAATCGTCTTGGCTGACAGTAATCCCTTGATCAGCTCGGACACCTTCTCCACGAACTGAGGGACAACTTTCCGGACGCGTTGAGCGATCGGCTTCGCGTTGCCCACGTCGATGTCGCAGGTGACGCCTCGGGTTGCTGGGGAAAGTGCATTGCCCTTGCCGATCAGCAAGTGATTCCTGTGCCAGATCTTCTTTCGCAGCCGATCGATCTCCTCCGGGGTGTTGAACTCCCCCACCTTGATATCATCGATCTTCACCTCATCCGTCGTCGAGATCACAATTTCAGGAAGCACAGCTAATTCACTTTCGACATCTTCTGCTGACAGATTCCCGCCCTCGTGGTAATGGACCTGGTCGTCAGCGCCAACGTCTCGATCTGGTTCGGACGTAACGAGATCGCCCCGATTTGAAGTGGGTTTGGCCTCCATTTCCAGCTGTTCATGCGAAGGGTTGACCCGTGATTGTCTGCGAGAAACGATTGACGCACTCAAGAATTTGCGCAAGTTGGTGCTTCCTGTTTACGCTGATCTTCAATTTCGCTTGTGTTGGAAGCTTCTGCCGACTCGATCACGGTTTTGATGTCTTCAGCGGTTGAATTCGACTGCTCTAAACTGCTCCGACACGGAGTGCGCTTTCGTTGAGACCGGACGACATCTCTTTTTCGACTGCCCCTGCACAGCGGCACTCTGGCGATTTATCCAGTCGGATTGGGCTTCGTTCATTGGCGATGTTACGTGGCACCTTATCTCTGTTCCCACCGAGCCACCGTGGAGTACTCGAGCTGAGCCTTTCAAACCTGAACTGTTCTCACTTTGGATGATCATGCGGAGCATTACCATTCACGTAATTTGGACGACGCGAAACAAACATATATTCGAAGACCAGCCTCCTCTGGAGGCGACCAAGGCCCTCTATCGAGTTTATTCCGTCTTTAGTGTGCACTTCCGCTCCCTTCTTCGGTCGTCGAACTTCGAGGCCACTTCCAAACTATGTAAATGCCTCCGACAATTTCCAGCCGCGTCTCGACTACGTCGCTACGTTACGGCTCACCCTCGTCTGTTTGCGCTGCGCCGCCGTGCACTCTATCTGGACGCCGCGGGGTCGGTCCAAGCTCCTCCACGATCTCTCTCTCAGATTCCTTTCAGGTCCGAAGCGCCGCACATTGGCGCTTCGGCCAATGTGTAAGTTATTCGTAGTCAGCACGTTGCTTGCATTTTGAGAAGTTAAGATTAACACGGCTTTAACCTTTGCCCCCCCCAGCTGATCACGCCCAACGATCGATGAGTCTTCAGCCACTTGCGGCAGTCGTTCAGATGCTGGAACACCGTCGACTGCTGTATCGTCACTTGATCTCGCCTCTTCCGCAGCTAAGACCGCCACCGGGTGTGGCCGATCGGTACTCGCGCCCCCAAGATCTGGTTCGACGGCACAACCGCCGACCTGATCAGCCGATGGCAAGTGAGGGAACACTGTTTCGCCCTTCCCAGCTGCTTTACCGCATGGACTCATATGATCTGGCCTCCCCTCTGGGTCACCAGCACGATCATCTTGCGGCTTCGCGTCATCCATCATTGCACACTCTTGGTCCGTGATCGGCGTAGGCGGGGGGTCCAACACCACCTGGTCCTGCTCTGGAGAACATTCGTCCTCCGATCCAAAAGGTTCACACACCGACTCCGCAGGATCCGGTCGTGGGTCTGGTGGATCTCCGACTAAGGCAGTCGAAGCAGACGACCCCGACTCCTCTGTCTCGCGATCACCTTCCTGCAACGGTCCGCCCCCCGATCTGAGATTATCAACGACGGCCGCCCCCGGATCAGGGCTCATTGCCCCCGGTTCGCTTGTTGGATCGGGTGGACCCGTCGACTGATCGACGATCGAGGGTATTTTGTGTCTCTGGAGAATGGCTCGGGGCGTTGGATAAATCGGTCGCTCGACCGCAGGTATTGGAGGTCCCGCTGGTGCCTCCTGGTTCATCTGTCGTGGCTTGAAAGGCTAGATTCAGCCATTCCATGTATCGACGAGATCCGATCGACACATATCCTGGGATCCGGGGTATCCGATCTCCAGCCTGCCATATTTCGATCCGCTCATTCCGATGCAAGACGAGGTCTTTGTCGCTGATGTTGGTAACCTGGAGATATCTGATCCTGCCGGGTCCTCGGACCACGATCGGCACCCAGCGATCTCCACGGGTGACCCATAGCTTTTCTCGATCCGTCACCTTCATTCGTAGCGGAAGCTCGATCGAATCCCCGATCGCGATCTGCATTCCCTGATCCACACACACGTGTCTGACATTGTCGTTGTACAGCTGACGCCATCCGCTAAGCTGGATCTTGACTTCGGCGGGGAGACAGATAGAGCCGTCCGCGAGATCGAGGCAGACCCCCGCTGGAACCATAAAGTCCATACCCAGGATCGCTTCTTGTCCTGATAGATCGCCGACCCAGATATCGAAGAAATACACCAGCGATTCCGCCAGTGTAGCCTGATCCTGATCCTTCCTTCCGTCATGTACACGCTTTCGCCAATCCCCACACATTCCTGGCTCTGACTCGTGTCGACATAGCACCCCACCTTACGAGCAAAGGCGGTGTCCACGATGGACACCTCGGCGCCGGTGTCTAAGAGTAAGATCGACTTCTCATTGTTGATCTTGCCAGTGATCTTGGCCTGACGGAACCACTTACCTGGCGAACGATGTTTCCAGTACCCTCTGGACTCCCCAGGAAGGAGATCGGGCACCACATCGCCAGATCTGCGGTGTTCGCTGACGCGAGGCCGACTTCGATCGCGATCATGCTCCGGGATCTCGGTCGTCACTTCTCCATCGGCTGGCGTGAACCATTCTTCCGGTCTGCGTTGCTTCCAATAGCCCCGCGTTTCTCCAGACTTGAGATCCAAGGGCACTTCGGCGTCAGAACGGCTGAAGTCGTCCGATCGATGTAGACTTAAGACCTTGGCGGTAGATTTCGCATGTAGATCACATGTATTACCGCGTAGATCAGTCCGTCCACTTACTCGATCTACCGTGTTCTTGTTCACGAATGCGTAGATGCAGTACCTAGAACGCTCGGCTTATACCGGATTCCAACCCGGCGAGCGTCCTAGTTTAACATCTTCTCGGCGATCGCGGGCAACATGTCAGCGTGCTTCACCGGGTTGAACCATTGACGAATCTGGTTGTAGAATTCCTCCATCGGACACTTGCCCATTTCGTGTAGCTCACCACACAAACAGGCAACGATCCGCCGGATGACCTCTCTTGCCACACTTCTCGCACGTCAAACGTCTCCAACAATCGAGATCGGTGTGTTTCCGCGATCCTCAATGTGAGCAGCGGCTTGATCGCTCCGATCCGTCAGGTGAAGATCGCGATCGTGGATCCGATCGAGGTGCGTCATGGTTGATCTGCGCTTGGTTGCTTCGATCCGGCTTCGTCGCGTCGCCCCCAGCGTTGCGAGACTTGTCCTCGGCCGACGCTAGGTAAACGCGACGTAGATCACCCTCCGAGTCCGATCCGTCCGATCCTGTGTCCGATCCAGACTCCTGGCTCGCGATCTGAACTGCACGCACTGCCCGCTTGGTTGCAGCAGCTAGTGCTGAGGTCGGAACCTTCTGACGATACTTCGATCCAAAGGCAGATCGCTTCTGTCTGCTCTTCGCGCGCTCTCGAGCGCGCAGGACTTCCTCCAGATCTTCTGCGTCCGCAAGCCGGAGTAGAGTGAGCCTGTAACGGGCCAGGTGTGTGTCCGTTACTAGCTTACACGTAGCGGTGAGGAAGCCTAGTTAAGACCCGGATTTAGTGAGACCAAGCAGTCAGTCTTGGGTAAAATCAACTCTGTTTTATGTTAGGACCAGGGCGGCTACCCCTGGTCTCATGTGAGCCACTCAAATGCAGGTCAACGCCTGATTGGCTGAAATGGGGTCTGGCTCCCCCAATTCAGCCAGTCACAATGACCGTCAGTACACGCTAGCCGTGTACTGACTTAACTACTTTATGTACTGTCAATCTACCTACTTATGTAACTGGGGCCCATTACATCACCCCCCTCTCAAAGTTGCGCTTGCGCAACGTAAGCGCAAAAGACACATTTCCCAAAGAACACCATGGACGACCGAGGCGGCGGAGGAACGGCGCTCGCGCTACCGAGTGACACAGGACGACGCAGGCGCAGCAAGTTTGAACACACCAAGCCATCCCATCGGCGCACACGCCGATGCAACGCGCAGCGCCCCAAGTGGCTGCGGACATCCACGGACACCCGAAGGGACAGCGGCCGTGACAACGACGCAGCATGGGAAGCGACACCAACGCTTGACGACAAGAGCAACTGTGATGCGCACCGAGCGGAGACCTGGCGAGTGTCGACACACAGGATGGCGATCAGCGTGGCGTGGCTCTTGGCGACGACCCTTCGAAGTAACTCCCGGCGAAGAGTCGCGTAACCGTCGACTCGAACCGACGCGGCAGCGAGACCAGCTTGGACGTCTTCGACACCGGCGATCATCGGTGGAGCGGCGTAGTGGGCAAGCGCTCATCGTGCTGAGCTGTGACGCGTGGGTACGATCCCCACGCGAATCCTTAGTCACGAACAACATCGGGGACATCCCGACGAAGAGCTGCACGCGTCTCCCACGTGTCCTCGTCAGGTGGAAACCCAAGCCAGCGTACTCGGTAACGTCGCGCGGATGGGATCGCACGAGGAGCTCGGGCTGGATTACACCCACGCCCGTTTGCACGAGATGAGTCCTCGTGGTGAACGATGCGGTCCACAATCCAGCGCGCTTCACCCGCCGAGTCGACAATCGGAGGAGAACCATCGCGACGGTACAGGCTTGGGTGATGGGTGTTGGCCTCGCGAGTAGCCTCGGGTACATTACCCGCCAGTGAATCCTGGTGATCAGAGGTCGGAATATCGGCAGGATGATATCGCTTGAGGCGCCCGACGTAGAAAGTCGGGCGAAGACGCAGCGACGACGGGATGTCCAGTGTGTACGCGTCGCCGAGGGCCTTGATCACCTTGAACGGGCCGATGAAGCGCGGCGCGAGCTTGTTGGCACCGAGGTTGGTCACGGCGGAGGAGCGGATGCCTTCGGTAGACAGTAGCACACGATCACCCGTGCGAAATGAAGTCTTGTTCTTGCGTCCACGCTTGTCTGCATTCTCCTTCTGCCGGTCCACTGCGGCTTGCAGTGCGTCTCGCACGAAACGTGTGATTGCTTGACGCTGCTGCACAAACTCGGAAACCGCCAAGTGATCCGTGGGACTCGCCGAGGACTTCGATGCATAGTTGGCGGTAGTAGCTGGTTGCTGCATCGTCGCTGGAGCGCCAGCGGGGTCGATCAGAGTTCGCTCTGTCCAGTCTGCGAGCGGCGTCACCGCACGATGCGGTGCGGCAAGGGCCTTCTTCACTTGGGATCGTGTCACTGCATTTGCGCTTGATTCGGTCACTGGGAAGCGTGGCGACGCCGGTGAATTGACCGGCGACGGCTCCGCCGGCGTCTCGGTCGGCGGTGAGTCTTCAGCGGTAGCTCCTCCCCCACCAAGCGTAGAGACACGAGCCTCCGTGGGTTGGCCTACGGCAAGCATGGCGGGTACGCGCGGGTGGCGCGCGGAGTTCAGTCATGCCCGTCGACGAGTGCTCGGCGTTGTTCAGAGCGAACTCGGTCAGGGGCAGGAAAGCGCTCCAGCTCGGGAACGACGTAGCGTAGCTGCGGAGCACGTCTTCGACGACGCGGTTGACGCGTTCGGTTTGTCCATCCGTCTCCGGGTGAGCCGCGGTGGACATCGCCAGCTTCGTTCCAAGCAACTTGAACAGCTCCGTCCAAAACGCGGACGTGAACCTCGGATCCCGATC